TGACATAGATTATTATGACGTCAAACATAATCAAAATTTTGAATTTAAAAAAATTAAGAAAGTAAAAGATTCAAAGTCTTTAAACAATGTCAAAGATTTGAGAAACAAATTGAAAAAATTAAAAAAGCAAAAAAAGCAAAAAAAAGCACGAAAACAAAAACCAAGAACAGGGAAATTTGAAACTATTGCAACTACTGGAAAAATGAATGAGCATTGCTAGATAGTAAACAACCAATAGTTTCTGAGTCTTAATTAGAACCAGCAGTAATTGGCTCGCCTGTTAATACTCAATCTCAGAGTCAAAATTTGAATCTTCCTATAACTTCAGTTCAAATATCTGAATCACAAATCACCAAATCCAAAAAATGTAATAATTCTAGGTCAAATTAAGTTGATTTAATAATTTGAGTGCGAATGCTCCTCCCAATATATTGGAATCTTGCCTCCTTTATCCAAAGTTTTTAAATACAAATCAAGAAGAAAATCGACCCATCACATATGACTGTCAAAGTGAAAAGAATGATAGGGCTTGGAATGCCTCACAGAATTATCAAAATGAATTAGTTCTCACAAAAGGAAATGCTTTAAAAGGGTATCAAAATGATATTGTTTCTGTGAATAGAATTTTACCAAATAATCGTAAAGAAATAGTTTCTTTTTAAGACAATATTTTATCAGTTCCTCACAATGACATTTATTCTGAGAATAGAAATAATTTACCAGCATATCAAAACCAAGCAACTTCTTTATTATTTTGTAATTTGAAATATAGAGACGAATCACTTCCACTTTCATCACAAAATATTGGCTCCTATAGGAAATTTTTCAATTCAAGAAACAAATTGGTCTTACAGAATACAGACAACCAACCATCAGTCGAGGATAATTGTACCTTCATCATTTAACTCAATGTTTCATCCTGATAACCAACAAATACAGAATAAGGGTATAAAAATATTCAATTAATTAATAGACTTGGTCCATCATCCTCTGATACAACTTTACCATCATCAATGAATCATCAAAATTATCCATTTAATGATTCTCATTTAATGGAAAATTTAGTTCAGAGCAAAAGTAATGATGATTCGTTACTTTTTGTGTTAGATAAATTGAATAATTGATGAATTGAATAAAGTTTATTATTTGTATTTCAGAAAAAAATGAAAATTTCAGAAGGTGAAATTAATTAGCAAAGAAAAATGAATGTTTTAATAATTTTTTCAAATGATCAAAGTGTTCATATTTGATTGAGTCTTAAATGTGAACAATAATAAGTCAATTAATCAACTTTATATTGATGTGTATAAGAAACACAAAGTTGTCAGGTTTTGCTTGATAATAATGATTAATACAAAAATGGCTTATAAAATATAATTTAATAATATTCACAAATTTTAAATTATATATATATCGAATGTACAAAAATACAATAATAATTAATATACAATATAACGGCCAATTTTATTTATTTCAAACAACATAAAAATTATTTTCGTAAACTTAATTTCCCGACAATGAAAACCGATTTTTGTTTAATGATTTTCATGAATCAATGATATTTTAATGTAATACATTTCAAGGTTGTGCAAACTTACATTTACATTAAGATATTTTGAAAGTTGACACCGATTTACTACATCCACTTTGAATTTAACAATTGTTTTTCATCTAATTGACACAAACTGCACTATCACGAAATGAAACTTAAATTTACAACCTTGAAGTGAATCAAGCCAAAAAGGAAAAAGTCTATAGACAGACAGACAGACTTATAGGAGGGCTACTTGAAGCTCTGAGAGAATTGAATGAAGAAATGTGCATGAATAATGCAGTTATGCAAAACAAAATAATTTTTTCAATCATAAAAAAAATCTTATTGTTTATGACATAGATTATTATGACGTTAATCATAATCAAAATTTTTTAACGGAAAATTCAGTACAGAGCAAAACTAACAATGATCAGTTACTTTTTGTGCCTAATAAATTGAATCCCAAAAAAGATTCACAAATATCTTTTACAAGAAATCATAACTTTACACAATATCAAACTCAAAACAAGGGTAAGTCGTTTAAAAGAGAACTGATATGTTCTTATAAAATAACTATTGTTTTTTTTTGACTTGCATAAAGATAGCATAGTTCCTACGCAGAAGAATGTTTATGAAAAAACCTTTACGTGAGCACCAAGCTAGATGTAAGTTTGTATGAGATTCAGAAATCATAATATGTTTCATATATTTAAAATCTTTTTTAGGATCCGATTACTAATTTTTCTGATACTTGGCAAACTAAAAAAAAATTGACATAAACAAACCTTTAATTCAGAAACAATTAGAAAATAAAGCAAAAATAGATTTGGTATTATTTGTATAAAAATTATTTTTCGATACGCTAAAAAGAAATTATTAAGTTTATTACGTCAGATGATAAATCTAAAAAAAAATTCGCCGCCAACTAGTTTACAAAATTTAAATATAGCTTCAAATGTTTCAATATGCCATTCAAACATAATCTTCATTGCTTCTTTTTTGTCTAAAAGCGCGGTTTAAATAATTCGATTCGCGGGCGTGAATTCATAAAATCGTTTTATATATTTACATTTATACATGGGTGGATCGGTGGGACGGGTGATCCCTGCGCGCGGTTACAAAAATATAATATCCGTCTCGTATATATCAATTTATCACACACCACCAATTACTACGACTATCGTCCGATTTTCTATACTCGACTTTTGTTTTATACACATACATACACATACACATACACATACACATACACATACACATACATACACAGACAGACATACAGACTATGTGGCGGGGCCGTCGAAGTTCTTCTCGACGAACTTGATGTAGGACACGGCTTTCTTGTGACTCAGGAACAGACTGAAGGGCTCCTTCATCTTGCGCAGATCGTAGCAGTGCACGCAGTTATATTCAGTCACGTAAGGCCAGATGACAAGAGCTCTCCGTAATAAATTTGCAGTAAGATGTTGGTTGCATAAGATGTTGCGCCTATATTGTCAAAACAGTCAAAGTAAAGGTCACGTTGATAAAATCAAGATATAACAATTTTATGAAAACAACCACACACACATTTATGTAGTATAGAATAAAAAGTATGAAACTATGTATTTATGCAGCTGAGCTTAAGTAATAAACAAGAATGAAACAAAAGACTAAAAAAAAAATACATACCATACTAAGCGCAGCATGCTATGATGTCAAGCCCGTTAAGCTGGAAAAGTTAAGTCCAATCGCCTGTACTCTTCTCGCACTGCTACAATTACCCATCCATATCTTTTCGTGTGAGGTCTACATTTTTCATGGACTTGTTTCAAAATTGTGGACATGCGTAGATTCGTGTACAGAGACATAAGAGCCTCGTATATTATCATGTAGAATATATGGTTATTCCTTTTTGCTTCAAGATTTTTTAATATATCGATGGTGCGTTCGGTCGCCCCCCTTTGTAAAGTCACATTTAAATTGCGCTATTTTATTATCACGTTTAAATGGACGTTTGCGCGAAGAAGCAATTACGTAAGTCATCAAATTATCGTTGAAACAAGTGGTTATTTTATTCTTTTGGTTGGAGTTATTATATTACTAATTACAGCGATGAACGATGCAAAATTTTGCATCGGTGCATCGGTTGTTACATTGAAAAGAGATTCAAGGTACTTTTGAAGCAATTATGATACTGATGTTCTTACTGAGTTATGAGTAATCAGAAATTGCACCAAAATCACGATTTACTATGGGAGTTGAAAAAAAAAGATAAAAAGAAAATAGTAATTGTGGCGAATACGTCGTATATCGGCGGGCATTTGCGGGCAGCGAGCTTAAATATAGAAGCGAAGTGCGAATTAGGTGCGAAAGGCGAGAGCGAGACGACACCGCCATATTATTATATATATTGCGGGCTCGTCGTGTTGTTGTGTGCCTGGTTCGTGGTCCACACGAAAACATTATAATGTCGATGCTCAGTCGTCGGTCGGCTTGCGGTCAAACACATAACGCATTAATCGAGTCGAATATGTTATTCCCACAAAATTAGCACGAGGAAAAATTAAAATCGAAATAATGCAGATGAAAAGAGGTGGTATGCGAAAGCAGCTCGCACTCTGAAAAGTTTCTATGTACGCAAGCTGCTATAATAGAGCTCACGATATTCTCGTTAAAAAAAAATACTTGTATAGGTATGCGCGAGTTTGTCATAGCAGTGTGTTTATCGTTACGGAGGCTTGGACCATTGAATTTCAAACTCCGAGAGACAAAACTCGATGCGTAAGGCCTCGCGGTACGAGCCATGCGTGTTGTCAACACGCGCGAATGTATCTATATGGTCGATTCTCAGTGAAACCGATTGGCCGACAAAAGGATTTTCTGCTGGCGTGAAACATCGTCGAAACTGTTCCCAAGTTTTGTTAAAATTGTCGGAACCTCCACTGTTTCAGAGACTTAAAGTTGTTCCTTATCTTGAATCGTTAATTTTCGAAAATACGTATTCATCCTGTAAGATAAGCGATGAGCGATTTTTAGCCGGAAGTCGACGGAGAATCGGCCGTATACATCGCGCTTCCCCTCCAGCGCTGCACGGCTATATATCCGCGAGCTTTTCGCCTCTGTGCGACCCCTTACCCTACCACGGCTGTGAACAGACAATTTAGAGTTTTATCGTTGACAATTTCGCACCGAAACTTGGAAATTTCATAATGCACATGTCAATGTGAAATTTTTCGATTATAATCAAAAGGTGTATACTCACTTTTTGTTTATGTTATTTTGTTCGCAAGCTATAATTTTCCGATTCTGACGGCTTTTCCGAAAATTTAGGTGAAAAATAATTACAAATTCGTATCCCCATGAAAGTCGTACATAACGAAACCTCGTCATTTCACATGCACCTAAAATTGCATACATTTCGGGCTTAAAATCCAGCCGACCAACAGATAGTGCGGTCGACTCCTCAGTATTGCGCGTCGCCCGGCCGAGCGAGGACGTATCGCAGTCACTCGCACGTTTATATACGTACATAAACGCGTAATAATAACATAAGCTCGCGCGTCACACACACTGATAAGTCGTCCAGCCTACCCTTGATTATAATACTCGCACGCACACCTTTGTTGCCGCGGCGAGCAATCGTGTATTTATAATTAATCCATGATATACGCAGAGGTGTCTGCACCTGTCGCAAAAATTGATCGACCCCCTCGATGTGTTTTTGTCCGCGATCGATGGACAGCAGCAGCAGTAGCAGCAGCAGTGAAAGCAGCTACGACGACCAAGTACAGAGTGAGTCTGCTTGTCTTTTTTCTACTTTGTTTTTTTTATTTTGTTTTACGTTCGTGATAATTATTGTGCATACGAGCTGCGAGGGAGAGAGCAAACGTCAAAAAGTTTATTGACCTGGTTTAGAAAGAGAGAGAGAGGCTGTTACGTAGGTAGGGTTAGGTCTAGCGCGCACTAGCCGCTGCACAGCATGCATCTATATGTGCATATATAGTACCAAGTAGTAGTGCAGTGCCGCGCGCTGACGGGCAGACCTACTTTTTTGTGAACTACATGCCATTATATCCGTGGATTTGTTGCGTGTAATAATTGAATTGAAATTTGTCGCTGATCGCGTGTACATTCTTATATTCTTTCTTCTGCGATTGGCCGATTATTCAACGCGCCTCCGAGCTTCGGTTTAAATTTATGTCATCGATCGACGCGGTCGCACCGAACTTTCTACTTTTACCCCTTGCGAGTATGCGTATGTGCACGCATAAAGTGTATATCTATACATTTGGGACACGGCTGCGTTGTGTATGCAATTCGCTATCTGTAGGAATGCAACTATACGGTATGTACAGAAAAATTCTTTGACAACGCGTAACCCTTATAAGCTTTAGCGGGTGTCGTGCCATTTTTTCCCTTAAAATTTGGAAAACAGTTTGCAGCTTGGCATTAATTGTGTAATTTGTCGGTTTTACCCATGCGAACGTAAATATTTTGGTTTTTTACTGCTCATCGAAGTTATTTAAATGAGCCATGGGTTTTTTTTTGACACTGTGCTACAATAAATGCAGTTTCGAAGATAGACACACCCGCCGCGCGCATAATAATATTTATGTGTGTGTGTGTGTGTGTGTGTGTGTGCCGAAGAAAACACGCGCGCCTATAATGTGAAGCGCACGCGTGGTACTCTCAGCTTGATTCTATTAATGAAACTTCCTCGTAATATACGTGTATAGTTATAAAAACGACGCACTTCTCGCAAGCGCATGCATAAAATAGGAGAGATTCTTGAGTTTTGCGCATACACGCATGGGTTATATAGGCGTCAAAGTAGAAAGAGAGAAAGAGAGAGAGAGAGAGAGAGAGAGAGAAACAAGAAGTTGTGTGTCGAAAAACCGGACGATCGACTCTCGCAAGTCGAGATTGTGTACTTTCTTTTTATTTTTGCGCGCGAATATAATATATTGCGATACGGCAGCCGTCACGTGGCTCCTGCAAAGTCTTGTTTATACACCAACACATTTACTCATAGAGGATAAAATACATGGGTATATCCATGCATCGATTCCTCGAGAGCGAAGAATTTTTATTATTTCAAATTATGCCCAATTGACTCGAACTCGTATGTGCGGTGGCGCCAAATGATCAAAAAAACTTACGATACATGCATCGGGTGCAATCATTGACGATCACTCAAAATCAGAAGTAAATTATTCGTTCGTATGTGTGTATAACTGCGAATAATTTTGCGACGCATAGCTATGTCGCAGCAGTGGTATGTATACTAATTTATTCGGTTCTTGTGTCTACATACAGGCGCGATCGGCATCGAATAGGCTCGAATAAGATATCCTACATGTGTACAAGCCTTACTCGAGTCATGCAGTCGTCTGTTTAAACTCGAGCCGGGCAGCCGTTGAAAAGGACGATACACTTATTAATACATTATTCTGGCGTGTAATATAATAATTAGCTACATTACTTTTAAATCTCTATCGGTGTTTGCTCGCGGGCAATAAAAGATTTTTCAAGGTACCTACTTAATTACTAAGCTTTGTATTTCTCTTTAAATTTTTCAAGGATCCTTTGTCGTTTCCTCGAGTTTATCGAATAGATATATACATATAACGATATGGATCACTTATGCGAATCGTTAAAAGACAAGTGGGATTTATTAGGCCTCTCTTTTCTCTCTCTCTCTCTCTCGTATATATCTAGGTGCTAATACAGGCATAGTCGTCTTCAACATGGTATATAAAGCCGCGAACGAAGCACGTGCGGACGCCAATCAGTACATCAGTCGGCTAGAGCGAAGTATCATATACGCGTCGCCTCCGCTGCGCGCCAGCCAATTGTCCATAATTTTTAGAGCGCGCAGCAGTCAATCGAGCTTTGATATATATCAATGTTGTCGCTGCTGCTGCAGCTCGCGACGCGCAAATTGCACTCAACGATGTATATTTAGATCGTTTTATTGAGTATTATTATTTGTGGTGCAGCAGTGACTCGACGTTTGCGTATCACTGTTGCTGAAGTGGTTCAACGAACCAGTGCCAATAGCGCATAGATTCGCGAGAACGGCGAATTTTCTTCGAGAGCTATATAGAACTGCGCGATTACATCGGCACAAGGTGAGGCTGTCGTCGTTGTTGTTGTCGTTATTCGAAACTGCAGAAAAGTCGGATTAATCGCGGAAAAAAATTGATTTCACTTATCCTTGACGCTAATCGCGCGTATATGAAAAAAAAAAAAAAATCGAAAGTTATATCGCCGAGGTGTTTTTATTTTCTCTTATCTGTCAGGGTATAGTTGCGCGCACGCGTAACAACGCGTCGACGGGATCGAGTTTTGTTTACTCGACACCTGGAAGTAGTCGCGCGTGTAATTACATCACCTTCTTTTGCTCTTACACCGCAGTGAGCGGAGGCTAGAGATAATTTGAACTTCGGAGTCCTCGCGCTGCGAAGAAGAACGTCATGCAGGACCAGGCGACGACGTCCTCGAGGCGCTGGGCTCGCGGCCGATCCTATCTCAAGCGACTGATGAGGAGCCGCTTGCCGATTCTGCAGTGGCTGCCCAGTTACAATCGGGACAAGGCCCTGTGCGACATGATCGCCGGCGTCACCGTGGGACTCACGGTCATGCCACAGGGTCTGGCGTACGCCACCCTCGCCGGACTCGAACCACAGGTATGATCGAATGAAATGCATTACACTCGCAATAAATGTGACGCAGGTATTAAAATTCAAAATTCACAAAATAATAGTATCTAACATAATGTGTGAAAAATATAATCTAACGTTATACTTCGTAGCAATATAACATAATAATGCACTAGATAATGCTTTATAAAATGTTTACGAGTAGTTTATAATTTTACATTTTTTTTGCATCTTTCTTTGTCCGTTTGGAATAATATAATGTAATGGCTCATCGAATCGTCAATTAAACTCTTTTTCCCTTGCTTTCCTCAGTACGGCCTGTACTCGGCCTTCATCGGCGCGATGATCTACGTCGTGTTCGGCTCCTGCAAGGACATCACCATCGGCCCGACGGCCCTCATGTCCCTCATGACGTATCAATACGTGCAGAATCGCGGCCCGGACTTCGCCGTCCTGCTCGCCTTTCTCGCCGGCCTGATGCAGCTGCTCATGGCGGCTCTGCGTCTCGGCGTCCTGGTCGACTTCATCTCGATCCCCGTCACCGTGGGCTTCACCTCGGCCACGTCGGTCATCATCGTCGCGTCGCAGCTCAAGGGCCTGCTCGGCCTGAGGATATCGCCCCAGGGCTTCCTCGACACCGTGGCCCAGGTGGCCAACAACATCCACAAGACCAGCTACTGGGACGCCGGCATGAGTCTGAGCTGCATCGTCGCGCTGCTGCTCTTCAGGCGCATGAAGGACGTGAAGCTGTGGGCCGCGGCCGACAAAGCGACGCCGCGACAGAGGAGCCTCGCCAAGCTGCTCTGGCTCGTCTCGACCGCCCGCAACGCCATCGTCGTCGTCGTCTGCTCGAGCATCGCCTACCAAGTGCAGAGGGTCTGGTCCTATTCGCCTTTCGTGCTCACGGGACCGGTGAAGCACGGCCTGCCACGGTTCAGCTTGCCGCCGTTTTCCACGACCGTAAGAAATTGAGTTCTCAAAATTTGGTCTTTTATTTCAGTGCGAAAAATTCTAGCTTGATTTTGAGTTTCAATTAAAAATTAAGTATAAAAATGTTTTAAATATTTTAGAAAAGTTATATCATTTGTTTGATGTTTTATTTGTCTAGACATTTAAAATAGTTAATTATGTTTCACACTCTTATATAATTTTTTGCATTTTTATGTAAAAATTCGTACACATACAAACAAAAAAAAATAATATTTTTTTGTCACCCACAGGTGGGCAATCGCACTCTCGACTTCATGGAGATGTGCCAGGAGCTCGGGCCCTCGATCGTCCTCGTGCCCATAATCGGCGTGCTGGGCAACGTCGCCATCGCCAAGGCCTTCGCCAGCGGCAATCAGGTGGACGCGACCCAGGAGCTCGTCACCCTGGGCGTGTGCAACGTCGTCGGCTCGTTGGCCAGCTCGATGCCGGTCACCGGCTCCTTCAGCCGCTCCGCCGTCAATCACGCCTCGGGCGTCAAGACGCCCATGGGCGGACTCTACACGGGCCTGCTGATACTGCTCGCGCTGACCCTGCTCACGCCCTACTTTTACTTCATTCCCAAGGCGTCGCTGGCTGCGGTGATCATCTGCGCGGTCGTCTACATGATCGAGTACGAGGTCGTCAAGCTCATGTGGAGGTCCAGCAGGAAGGATCTCGTGCCGACCTTCGCCACCTTCGTCCTGTGTCTCGTCATCGGCGTCGAGTACGGGATCGTCGCCGGAGTCGCGATCAATTTGGTATTCCTGCTGTATCCCTCGGCCAGGCCGCAAGTCAACGTCGAAAAGCAAATCGTGAGAAAAAGTACGACGTTTTTATTGGAAACAAATACTTATTTTGCATCGTCGTCTTTCAGACGAGTTCCGGAGCTGAATATTTGATGGTAACGCCGAGCAACAGTTTGTACTTTCCTGCTGTCGATTTCATCAAGCAATCGGTGGGCAATGCTGGGATCACCGAAGGATCGAGCCAAATACCCGTTGTCGTTGACTGCAGATACATGCTCGGGGCTGACTTTACCGCCGCCAAAGTACATACCTAAATTATTCAATTTGTTTTATTGAATTATAATCGAATTGTTATTTACAGGGTATAGCCGCTTTGATAATGGAATTCAACAGTCGCAAACAGGGGTTGTACTTTTACAATCCTCGCTGCGACGTGGTTGCCGTACTGAGAGGCGCCTGCGGCGATGATTTTCAGTACGTCTCGACGAGCGACGAGCTCGCGCATCTCTTGCACAGCGCGACGGATCGCGGCTCGTCGCATCAGTTGCTGGAAATCGAACGCGAGATCGTCGACGATCGCCTCGCTTCAAACGGTCGAAATGATTATTCCGTGAATCAGGAATTGAAAGAAGTTAAAACTAATTTGCTGCAAATCGGCGCCAGTTGATGAAGAATTTGACAAAGTGGATCTTGTAATACCGCTCGTATATATAATAGAAAATCAACGGGTACACACTGTCGTGCGTAAAACTGATGTTAACTCGTAATAAGAAGTACCTTAGAATTAAGTTTTTAAAGTTCTTCAGTAATTTGCGTCGTATTCGAACATTTTTCATGAATCTGATCATTTTCAAGATGTACATATCATTATTAAAAAAATAATTTAACACAGTGTTCTTGTGAAAATTTTTTTTATGATTTTAGCAAATATTGGAAGATTCTATTGATTATTATTCTATTTTAGTACTTAGTTGTGTAGGTAGTTCTTAATACTTATAATATTGATATAAGAAGTAAATTAAATACTTTCGTGCTTTTGACTCTATTCTTTTATTTTAGTTAATTACTTTTGTTCTTATTTAACTTAATAATTTGTAGAAATTCGGACTTTATATTATACATACTTTACAAAATACAGATTAACCGGGTAATGAATTTTTATTTGCAAAGAATACCCTATCGTTTTAAAAGTAGTTGGATAGCGTGAGATGATAAAAATTGCTTCTTGAAATTAAATAGAATTTGTTCATAAATAGCTCTGTAATTGTTGCAGGTAAATCAGCAAGGATAATGCAAGTCCATGTACATTAGTAAACAAAACTCATTAAAAATTTCGTTTTGTAAGGCAATGACATCGCGGTTTTTATGAGACTATTTACAAAAATTGATTAAAAACGCGTGTATCAATCTCAGTAGGATAATTCAATTTTACAAATGTATGCTCTGATGTTAAATATTTCAGAAAGTTAATTTTATAAAATTCACCCTTATGAACATGTGAGTACTTACCTTAATTTTTACTGGAAGATTATTCCATTACAATTGTGAAAAAATTCAATGTTATTCAAGAATGAAATCTATAATTAAAAATTTTTTATTTCAGTAAAAAATGAAGTGTAGTCAATGTGTGAAATGTCATTCAAAATGATCAGTAATAAGAAATTTATTTATGGATGTATGTTATGCAAAGCAAAGATCATATAAATACTTTACCCACTACGGGTAAATATATTCATGAAAGTTTAAAAACCATAAGCTGAATGATCATTACTAAATCTTACAATTTGTGATTCTACAATATTTTCTGATATGTACCAGATGGATTCATTAAACCTTGATTAAACTTTCTGGTCAGGTTGAGAACAAGAGTTATCAATCAAAGACTTTACAACAAAATAAATTATAAGTAGACACAGCTGAACAACAAAACAAAGTATTTTACATGACTTATCGCAAATTTTTCAAAAATGAATAAAAGCTGTTTGAGAAAACATCTCTCTTTTACATTACATCTATATTTTTAATATTGCATACAAAATGGAATTCATAATTTATCTAAGAAAGAAATTTCCATTTTTTTTTATATATAAGTTAATAAGTTAATACTGCCTTAATTATCATCACAGTCGTAATTGAAAAATATATATTTTATAAAAGTCTTCTCATAATTACAGGATTGAAAAGTTTCAATTTAATAGGCATTTGAAGTTTAGCAAAATAAAAAGTAATTTTCTTTGTGCTTAAAATGACTTTATTTACATAATTCAAGCGATATATTATAGCTGGCCCTTAAGAACACAGTATGATACACTTCTTTCAAAAATTACAATCAGTTCACAGTTTATCTCATACAATTGACATATTTACAAAATGTTGAATTCAATAAAAAAAAGTGAAAAACCAATTTAACTTAATGGCTCTTCAAAAATGATGGTGCCCATCTGGCTGTCAACGGTTTTTCTTCTGTCATCATTTTACTATCCTGTTCCATCTGAGCTAGTAATTTTCTTTGATTTTCTCTGAAAGCTTCTAATGGATTATCAAACTGACGATAATAACGTAAAACTTCTCTCACATCTTCAACATTTGTCTGAAGTATAGTTTTTAAGAAAGCAGCCAAATCATATAATTGTGTATCATTATCGCTACCTGTCCACTTAGGAATCTTTAATGTGTTATCTGGATGGAACTTAACACTCTCACTGTTCCAGTCAATAACAATGACTTTACTAAGATCCCTGTTTAGTGCATCAAGATCTTTCACATGATGACCATCAACAAAACGTGTGGCATCGCGCACTAATCTATACATGATGTATCCTTGAGGGTCCAAAGCATCTAAGATTGGAAATACTGTAAGACCTTGCTCAGCAGTATAGACAACTGTTTCAAACTGAGGTGGAGCAATAGCTTCCAGAAAAGCATCAACTCCAGGACGTTTTTTAAATCGCCAGCCCGTCTGGTATGTCCAGTCAGGATGCACAAGAACATCTGTCATTTCTAACACAACTGTATAAGGTGGCTGAATGTAAGGATGCGTTAAAGGATCAGGCAATAGTTTTTCTCTGCTAGGTTCTTGAATAATCTTCTTGTAATAGGTAAACTCCTTTTTTAAACGATAAAACATTTGGCTAAAGTAAGGTAAATGTGAAAACTCATCTTCAATTGGATTTCCATCGGGATCAACTTTTGGTTTTCCTATTTCATACAAAACAGTTAAACCTGCAAAGCCCATTGCTAAGCCCATAAGTGTCATGCCAAATTTCATCAACTGCCATGATCTGCTATTTTTCTTTTGCGCTTCCTCATCATTTGTCTGCTGCTGATTTGATTGTTCAGCAGATATACTTGAATAATTGATTACTTTTGATACTAAATGACTATTAACAGTAAGAAATTGCTTATTTGTTAAGTAACTATGTGCAAAATTTGAATAATTTTTATGGCTTGCAGCAGATTTGATAAAGCTATCCAATGTACATGATGATTTTTTATGAAAATCAGAGTGTTGGACAATATTACGCCATAAGCGCACTCGTAATCCATTTTGATGAAATTTCAGTAAGGACATCATGATAAGTTTCTTCTATTGCAAACAATTAGGAGCTCTAATCACATGTGCAACTGTAAAAGAAAATAAGTGTATTATTAGCAGCTACACTGTACAATAAGATTTAGTGCATTCTGTTTAACCTTTATACTAAAAATGATACTTTCGGTATTTTTTGATGACAAATAATAAAAAAATTAAATTATTACTAAGTATTGGAAAATTGTTTATTACCAAAGTAAGATAAATTCAATCATCAGTATAAGGAGGGAAACAATTCGTTATAATACGTTATTAAATAAAAGGTCACATTGAAAAAAAATTAAGCGTAAAAATCGAGTATATCCGTGAATAATAGTTATTTGAAATATTTAGTGCTGAATATAATTTTTAATCATTATCGGCACTCACATTGTTTTTGCGGTGTTTGTGGATTCGCACACATATATTATGTAGGTTAACCTTCTACTTTCACAGTTCAACGTTCTGACAAGCTAGAGTCATGACTCGAAGGCGGTTGGTATAGTGACTGCACTGAAATCATGTAACAAAAATCCAAAATTTGCATTTTGTAAATGTCACCATTAAATAATGAAAAGTCATAATTAAGTTATTATGACAAATCCGCAATTGCAACATAGAGTGACAAAGATTAATATCAAATTTTATAATTGTTTCATATGAACAGTAATTAGTTTTTAAAAAAGCATACACGGTTCATTCGCCGGAAATTAAAAAATTAAATCTAAATTAATTTACCACGAATTTGTATACGTAAATACCTAAAAATACTTTAACTCCCACACCACTAGTTCTATAAATAGAATATTCACGTTTAGTATGTCAATGAATCTTGTAAAAAATTAAAAAACAATTTCAGATAAATTTGACAAATTTCTCTAAATAATCATGCGTTGAATAATTCCAAACATACCGCCTGTTTTTTTACCATGAACTGATAAACTGATTTTTGACGTCCATAACTATGTTCGTGTCAAGTATTATGACCTAAAATTCGTTGTATGTCAGTTGAATGTTTAAATTTCTATTTTCATGTCCTTATGTTAAAAATTTTAGCTCACTTGAAAAATTGAGTGATTGTAATAATTTTACAACTTCATAAGATCGACTAAATATTTTTTTTCGTTTCCTAAAACATTTTTGAAGAATTTGACTCATAATACTGTGATTAAGAACAGAGAATGCTTGATTAAAAAATTAATAATAAATAATCATTCAAAGCATATACATTATACACCCGTTGCGAAAAGTGCTATTTCACAAGGTAGTCTAGGCACCAATGGGTCCACCGTGGCCACGTGTTCTTTGATGGGTGCACCAATATTTTTTTTACGTATTTCGGGCCGCTGAAACCGAATTTCTAAGGAGCATGTCATGCACCAATGCATTCGATTCTCCAGACAAAAATACGTAAGAAAATGTATTTTTAAGATTATTTTTACTCTCAAAACAGCTGAGTTTGAAATAATTTGAATGGTTAACCGATTTTGCTTCTTTTTAAGAGCACGTTTTCAAACTTCAAAAATCTATCGACACCGGTTCCTGGCACTTTTCAGATATTCTGAATCCGGCTTTATTTTCTCAAAGACTTGAACTTTAAGAATCGCCATGACGTAAACGCGATTTTGAACATTTTTGCAAAAGCGAACCACCCTAGTTACCCTACCTCGCCTATGTTAATTTAAAAATGTTGAAATTAAATATCTAATTGTGAACTACACGGTCTGGAGAGTATTACTGTGTTGATTAAAACTACCTATACCCTCCAACTTTCAAGAAAATCGTACGAAGGTCACTTTTACCAATGTAATACATTAATTAATCATAGTATAGACAAATTTTAGGACTAGAATTTATCATTTTCAAAGATATTTCGTTTCTATTAATCTATCGAAATTTGAGGTCATTTGGTAAGTATGCGTATTAATTAAAAATAAACATTTATTTTAAAATGCTTAAAATAATGTGAAACTCGTTTAATATGTAGCTATCGCCTGGAAAGGCTTCGAGAAATGTTTGATCAATCTGATGAAAACTATTCCAATGAAATTGAGAAGATAGTCAAACATACTTGTGCTAACCATTATAATTTTATTGAGCAACAAAATATCTGTATTTGTAGTTTCTTTAGGTTATTTCAAATATTTAGTCTTAGAGTTTTGGCAGTTCTTCCTATTTATGTTTTTGTTGCCTTGAGTACTACTGGTACTATGGTAAGATGCATAAGTAATAAGAAAAAATCATTACAGAAATAAATTGTTTCAGTTTTTCAATTATATGTTCTAGATTCTGTATGCCTTTAAGATCAAAAATACTTTTCTTATCCTAGAGATGATCGTTTCATTTCTCTGCATACTTTACTTTGCTTTTTTAATGGGCAATATCGGTCAAATATTACGCAATGCAAGTGATAATCTTTTCTATCAAAGGTGGGTCTCATTTTTTCCGATTTTTTTGTTTGTAATTCATAGTTAATAATTTCAGCTATTTTTGCGGGTGGTATAATTTACCAAAAAAATCAATTTAATTTCATACATGACAGTCATAGCTTCAGTTATGTAATGAATTTCGGACAAATTAAGATGAGCACGATTTATGGAAAAGCTTACAACTGTGTCACAAAAAAAGTATTAGCAACCGAATTAGACTTAAGAAATGAAAAAAAAACTATTTTTTAGAAGGCCAATTAGAAGGTATTGATCATTTTGAAAAAAAACGACCCGTTTTACAACACCGAATGCTCAATAAATAGTATAATTACGAGAGTTTTAATGAGTTGATATCTCAGGAACTCGAGGCATAGTCAAATTAGACTTTTACTTACGATTTTGATGGCAAATGGAAACTTCATCAGAGATTACAATGTCAAACTGGGGCTTCCATAGGTCTCGAATTTAAGTTTGCGCAGTTTCTTCATTTGCCAAATATCTCATGATTTCTTTAGTTTTTTTTGTTTGCTTCAATAAAACTTATAAATCTCCTAAATTATAGTACAAAGCTTTAAAAGTTTTCTTAAATTTACTAGAACATATCATATTACTTGTTTTAATCTTGCAGTAGCTCTTTGCGCGCCCAAGTGACGTATTTTAAATAACGATCTCTTTTAAATAACAAATGCTTTTCTGACCTGTCTCTCGATTGCCGACGTTGTTTATTATTATATAAATATTTGCTTGTGCGTGTTTCTGTGCACCTATCTAAATAATTCGCCATGATACTATAGCGCGTGTGCGGCGAGACGGTACACGTGCACTTAGTGCGTACACGAGGCGCGTTTTGAATCAATATAATATAATATATTTACATAATTGAAAAAAGGACGCTTATATAAGCGAAAAAATGTTTAAACGTTCAACGGGACGTACGTTGTGTACAGAGAAGCACATTATGCCGAGGCCTCAAAGTTGCATATAAGCGCTCTCATCAGATCGAGCTTCTCGCGACGCTGACAGCCGCACACGCGCAGTTGAGGGAACGTCACTTGCACTCTCGATTCCCATGGCTCGAGCTGCCAAAGCTTCAGTGTGCGTATGCGTGTATGTGGTCGTGTGGATATTATTACTATTTATTAGTATATGATAATAAAAAATTCGAATCACTGGATTGGCGGTTAAATAATTATTTATTTATTTTTTTGAAAAATTTGATAAAAAGCCATCAAGTACGACAGTATCATATTTGAAATCTATAAAACAGTGAAAGATATTAATTAGTCACTTTCGTCATGAACATTTGCTTCTTTTGAAAATGATTTACTCACGCTCGCCAAAGTCTCGAAATTCAACGGAATAGTAGGGCCAGCCGTCAATTCACAAGTTTTTGAACTTCGAAGTATCATGAAAAGTATTAAGCGTCTCTCTTTCGGAGGCAATAAGTACCATTTGGAACTGTAATTAATTATAATTTCAATAGATCAATTTGATACTTTTATCATGAATTGGAGGAAATAAAAATACCAATTTATTTCTAATCGATTACTCGCATTTATCAATTCTTGGCTTGGATAAACTGTGCAAACTAAAATCATTGCCACTGTCACCATCCACAAGACTAATTTTAAAGCGTACATTTCATCATATGTGCGTACGACCAGAAACTAATAGGTTATAATTTACAAAATTAAATAATAGCTCAATAAATTTTTCTGGAAAAAAAATCATAAAAAATTCAAACTATAACCCAGAAGCCTGTCAAACTGAAGACCGTTGTCATCGAAACTATTGCAATTAGATAAACCGTTCTTGTCAAGCATTGGAAGTCCTCAAACAAGCTGTAAGAAATGAAAAATTCTCAATTTATTATTTCGCGAGATAAAACAGCAACATAAAAATTATCTTTATTTTTAGCTAATGATTACAAAGAATTTAAATATTTATAATCTCTCAACTCGATAGCTCCTTGATGCTGGATAATATTTTTTCGAATTCTTTGATTTACTGTTTCAATATTTTTTTCGCTCAATAAATGTTCAAAAACTACTTCATATTCCTCTAGTATTTTTTAAATATCTTGTCTGACAGAAGAACAATACTATAGTTTATATTAAAAATATTTAAAACGACAAGTCTTATAACGAAATAATTCACATTCTAAGTTTATCCAATTGCTAAGAATATGCCTTGGATAAATTTGACGGAAGTGATTTGTATAAAGTTCATGGCAGCAATATATAAAATTAATACACCGAATAAAGCTGCTTCGCTTATAAATACCAAGAAGTAATGTTCTTGTAGATACCCATCAAAAAGGAAAGGAAACACAAACCCTTTTGGTCCTGAATGCTTTGCTGTTTTTGAATTCAGAATTAAATATCTTATTAACACTCCAAATACATAAGCTGTAGAGGCGATGATCAAAAATCCTGCAATGAATATTTTCAAAAAATATAATGAAAAACATAGAACTTTTGACGAAAATAAATTTTTTCGCATTAAATTAGCTGGAAAGAAATTTTGTGGGAGGCATTGCCAATGAAGAATACATGGAATATTTACCATTACTAATTAAACCCAAAAAAACCCTTCTTTCGATTTTTTCATTATTATCTCTTTTTGAATATCAGTCTTTGGTTCTTTACAAATATCTAGAAATTTTTTTAGACAACCAGCGTTCTATATTAAGTTATTTAAATAAATACAAATGAATTAAAATCAAGTTCATTGCCAGTTTATTATTTTACACGTTAAGGTGGTAAATAAAAATTGTGAGGACAAACTTTTAAAAAATACCATGAAGTTCGTTTCCGGTCCGGTTTCCGAGATACACTTTTTTTATAAATCACGTTCATAGTTTCTATCGGTATGTAAAATTATTACTATTGAACTGCTCAAATTCTTGTTCGTTTCTCAGGCATCGGGCCACGCCTTTCAGCTGCCATTCATAACTTGATAGAGAGAGAGAGAGAGAAAACTCCTGTAAGAAAAGAGGGGAGTACAGCGTTGCGTGGAGAACAGCCATTTTTGCGCAACGAGCTGCGTTTGACCTTGCAAGTTATACAACAGCTCGATATCTTGAAGAAATGGCTCTTCCTACACGGGGAGAAAAAATACGTGATTGACGGAGGACCTGCCATCAGGCGAGAATCGACGGCCTCGCAGCATTATTTACCCTAAAGAAAAGGATAAGGTGAGAAATCAGGTCAAAAATCATGCCAAAACACCAAGTGAGAAGTCACCTGATACCTATAAAAATATTTATGTTGAATCATTTATGATTTATAATTTATTTAATATCTTTATATTAAATATATCTGTGTCTTATAAATTTATGTTGAAATTAAATAAAAATACAATCATTTTATCAATATTCAGGTAAGAAATCAGATGACTTCTCACTCGATGTTTTGTTTGATATCAATATATTTATGTTGAATGCCTTTATGTTAAGTTTTTCTGGTTAAAATGAAAATTTTTTGAAAATCTGACCGCACCATCGGAAAGCTGAAACAGTTTCAAATCGAAATCATATGACTTATTTTTTATTTAGGTGCATTTAGATACTTTTCCAGCAAATTAGAAATTGAGCAATTTCGCTTAGTAATGCCACGCAGGCGCAGTACTAGGAAAATTGACGTGAAATTACTCATAGTAATTTTGAAATCACATAAAATACAATCATTTTATCAAAAATCAGGTGAGATATCAGGTGACTTATCACTTGAGAATTTTTAAATAAACCTGTGGACGAGATCCACGGATTTTCCTGAAAAGGGTCCCAAAACCAGTATTTGAGACCCTCCACCCTCTACCCCCTACTACCGCTATAAACGTCTATTTTCTATTTATATTTATCCTGAAGACCTGAAGTAATCAAGAGATCTGAAAAAATTCATGAAGATACTTTTCAGCTATCAACATAACTTTGAATTTTTTCAGATTTTTTAAGTGCTTCAGGCCTTCAGATAATATCATTGAAAATTTGAATTATTTTGTTTTCGGGAAAATAGTTCGATATACCAGATCAGAGTATTTTTTTCTTAATTCTGACACCAAAAAACGATTCCTTGAATTTTTTCAGAATTTTTCTTTCTTGCCCCTGAAGCCTAGAGCTGGAAAACCGCTTTTTTAATGTACAAAAATAATTTTTTTAGGGTGGTAAGCCTCAAAAAATCTGGAAATTTTTTTTTCTTTATCAAAATCGAGTCACCTACCCAGTGAATGAAAGGTTTCAAAAAAATTTGCTTAAATTTTGCTCAAATTAACGTTTTTAATAAATTCAAGGCTATCAGATTTCAATTCAGATGGATTATAATAGTAAATGTCTTTCTCCACTGATTAGAATTTTTGCAGTTTTTACTTTCAACTTTCATTAATAAAATAAGGGAAAAATACACGATGCACCAGTGAATAAAACATTTTTACCAGTAAATGAAACCATTTTCAGAGTCATTTAATTAATGATAATGTATTCAGAAAGTTGTTAAAAACTATTGGAATATTTAGTATTAATGCTCAATTATATTATAAAATTTCACTGCCGAAGAAATACACTCGGCAACAAAATTATCGCAACAAAAAAATTCATCGAGATTTTGTCGATTTTCAAATGCTTCTATCTTGGGCTAGATTTATCGTATCGACACGCTTTTTTTTTTAATTTCTTGGAAATTTTGTCCTCTTTAAATCCATATAAATTTAGATAAGATTTGAGTTAATGTTGAGTTACCAGTAGTATTTGAGCGTGACCCTAAAAATTACTGAAAAAAAAGGACTGTTTGAACGTGTACCAGTACCACAGTGATTTTTTTATCGAATTCTAACATACACCATCGCAAAGTGCTCTTTTTAACGAGTAATTTAAAAAAAAAAAGACTTCTCTACGATTTTTTTAACGCCCTGTAGGTCGATTTGAAGGTACGGTTTATGTACGCAAAATGCCCAGAAAATCGTCTTGATTTCAGGTAAACGGGGGATTTTACGTACTTTAAATGGTATCTTCAAATCGACCTACAGGGCGTTAAAAAAATCGTAGAGAGGTCTTTTTTTTTAAATTACTCGTTAAAAAGAGCACTTTGCGATGGTGTATGTTAGAATTCGATAAAAAAATCACTGTGGTACTGGTACACGTTCAAACAGTCATTTTTTTTCAGTAATTTTTAGGGTCACGCTCAAATACTCCTGGTAACTCAACATTAACTCAAATCTTATCTTAATTTATATGGATTTAAAAAGGACCAAATTTCCAAGAAATTAAAAAAAAAAGCGTGTCGATACGATAAATCTAGCCCAAGATAGAAGCATTTGAAAATCGACAAAATTCCGATCAATTTTTTTGTTGCGATAATTTTGTTGCCGAGTGTAGTTCAGTATAATTAAATTATATTAATTTATAAATAAATTTTCATTCACTGGTGCGTTTTCAATCACTGGGTAGGTGACTCTACATAATCTCAAATTTTTTCATATCTCTTTATCGAGGGTGATAGCGTCTAGAGCCGGAAATTGCTATTTTTAACAAAAAAGTTTCCGGGAACCCGATGGTTCCGGTAAAAAAAATTAAAAACTTTTTTTTTTAATTTCTTGTCAAATTTTAATTAATTTTGACCGTTTCATTTTTTCGATTGAAGCCCCCTATATATAGCTCATTCTAGAGCATAAGCAAGATTAATACGAAATTATGAAGACATTTGAAAAATAATGTAAGTATATGATGAATGTCTTATCGTAAAAAAAAACACAAACGTAAAATCCACGCTTTACGTCATGCTGATAATTTTGAAGTTACTTGAGAGTCATCGTACCCGATTTGATAGTATCTGGCGAAATTTCAAGTACACAGCCCGCTCGACGATATCAAATGAGTCGGCCAGCCGATAAAAAGAAACGAGCTCGATCGCGCGCACGAGTAGCCACGAAATTAGCTCGATTTTCAGTCGATGCTGTAACAAGCTTCGAGCAGCATCACAGCCATGGATCGCAAGTTGCAATGGATTTTGGCCATAGGCTTCGTTATAGTGGCACTGGTTACGACACCGAGTCGCGGTCAAGATAATTACGTTGCGAACACTGCACCAGCACATTCTGGATCATCCAGGCTTCCTGCTGTTAGTTCTAGGCCAATTGGTAGTCGGCCTCCTGCTATTAATACCAAACCGACTTTACGACCTACGTTGCGTCCAATTACGGTAACTCCATCCAGGCATCCACCTAATAGTTCTCGTCGACCGGTGGTACTGCCTTCGTTGCCGGTGGGTCCAACGGGAAAATTCACGTATCCACATACAATACGACCTATGGTGCTTCCAACGAGAACTACATCCAGTTGTCTTCTCATTAAGTCTGATTTATCCAAGGTGTGTCTAACGAACATTCTTACACAACGTACGGTGCACCCAACGGGATCGATCAATGTTCGACCGTCGCGTTCAAAACCTGGTTCACATATGCATCCAACGAGAACCATGTCCCATCACATCAGGCCGACTATGCATCATCTTGGATAATACAGAAAATTATTATAAACTGTGAATTTAATTTATCATCTAATACTTGTATAAATTTATCAAAATTAAGAAAATCCACCAACTGATATCGTCTATATTTATTCGAGATCCAAATGAACCAACTTGAACATCCGATGGATTACAAGCGGTATGATACTTGATATGATTTTTTCAAATTTTTAGTCAAATCGATTATTATTTAGACTTTATTGGAACAAAAATCATTGAGATGCGTAAAATATTTGGTAAGTTTCATCTTGAAAATAAAATATTGGTTTGTCGTAATTTTTTAGAATTTCGCTCTTATCTCGTTTAATTATGTAATCAAAAAAAAAAAAAAAATAGATCGCATATAATGTAAAATTATGGAAATAACTCGACTTTTTATCAAGGTTTTAAGTATGAGAAGCATTTGCTCGTGTATTAACATTTTGTCGGTAGTATTATCTCAATTGAGTTGCGTGAGATTGACCAAAAAATCGTGCTTTTTTTAAACTCAAAAATCGGATTCAATGGACGAGAGCTCAATGGAAAATTGCAGTGCACCTTTCACGCGCAAACGAGTCATATTGATAAAGGAAGAGAAAATGCATTTTTGTTTAAATCTGGGCGCTAACTTTACCGATCTGCGCTAATTCCAGATTCATAATTAATAATCGAGCTGGATTTTCAGTTAAAATGTCTAACTGGATAGTCTAAAATTGAGTCGGATTTTTAGTTGAAAAATCTAGCTGGATAATTCTAGATTTTGAGTCAAATAGGGCTAGTTTTTCAGTTAAGTTTAACCGGATTTTTTATACGGAAATCTCTTGAGTGAAAACTTGGTACCTAGTAGTAGAGTTAGCTGTAGAGTGATACTTTCACCTGTACTAGCTATTTTATTTAAGCAGAGATGATGTACAAATTTTGTGAATAAATAAACAGTAAACAGAATTTAAAAATGTAATAACATGCTCGCTTTTTCTTGACATTTTTACTTTTTCATTTCAGTTGCAGCGTATTCCAAAAGAGTTTAAGTATCGAAGGGCATTGTTCAAGACGAATTTCGAGACCTTCGAACGATGGCTCAAGGGCGGGCTTTGTCATGTGTGGTTGACTGGTGCTGCACGATAGCGTGGCGCGAAAAGTGAAAACAATGTTTCAGAACATCAACATAAAGCTTGGTCGGTCGAATTCTCGCTGCTGATCTCGCTGCTGCGCATCGTCTCACGCGCATACACACATATATATACCGCGTGTGCGCGTATCGTACACACACACACACACACTCACACACAAGACATATGGCCAGATGGGTCGAGTGTGCAAATTTCTGCTGGATGGCAGTTGCTAAATCCCCAACTCTGTTGAATTTCAACCCGTCGAACTTTTCGTTATAATTTTTCAAGTTCAAAAATGTATCGGCAGTGAACGGTTGAATTTTTTTCGTGTTAAATATTTTTATCCTATTAAGTTTTAACGATAGAATAACGAAAATGCCCACATGACAGTGCCAGGATCAAGCTTAAAATGATATAAATCCTTCGCGAAACCAAGAGTTCCTGTCAAAGTAGTTCAAGGTTTGTAGGTTATTGTGCTTTTGATTAGTTAAGTTAGCAATAAAATACTTCATACCCGAGTTCTTCGACAAGTAATCAATGCACATGAGTTTAAAAATATTTACCTTGTAACTTGATGAGTATTAAATCAATATTAGCATAAATCAAGATAAGCATGCTGTAGTAACATAAATGTGTTCATTTATATGCATACTTTTTTTTCAGAGAAAAATCATAATTTTCAATTAATTTTGATCATATCAAAATGTCAAATCAAGAAGAAGCTGGATCAAGTTTATCAAGAGCAACTAATCCTACTTTGATGGAAGGAATAACCAGTACAATGGAGGAAAAAAATAATGACTATATGTGTCCTGTCTGTTTTGAATTTATAGAAGAAGCCCATGTTACAAGATGTGGTCATACTTTTTGCTACAAGTGTATTATCACGTCAATACAGGCTTTGGGTAGATGTCCAAAGTGTACGATTTGTTTAGCGCAACATGACATATTTCCAAACTTTCTATTAAATGAAATAATTGCCAAGTACAAACAATGTGCCAAAAGTGTAGAAGCATTGGACCGAACTTTGTTGGGTAGCAAAAGTAAAGGAAAATTACTTTCCATGGATTCTACAACATCATGTTTATCTGATAGTTTAAAAAGTTTTATTACCTCCGATAGTACAAATCTTAGTTTACCTGATGTTAATGCTATGTTGGAAGTACTTACGCAGCGTAAAAATTTATTAGAAGCTGAATCATGCTCAGCCCAAAATAAATTACTTTATGAATTTTTGAAACACCTTTTAAATCAAAAGAAGCAGGAGTGCACTCGTATACAAAGAGAAATAGCCATTGTGCAGAGAGACATGAGTGAAGTTGAAAATATTCTAAATAGTTTGCAAAAAAATTGTCCTACAGTTGAAGACATCCAACAAACTACTGAGTTTAATACAGTTCAAGCAAAAGTATTTAAAAATGAAATAATAAACACACTAAATGGTATGGATTCCAATGGGCCCGCACAGGAAGGTGATAACAAGGTATCCGGTGTACCAAGCAGTCAGAATAAATATAGTATAGCAGTGAATACGATGCTGGCCGCAAGAAAACGAAGGATGCACCAGCACTTTGATGATTTTGTACAGTGCTATTTTGACAGTCGAGCGAAGGATGTAACTTTTGGCAGCAATCTTCCAGAATACGAATCGAACAATGCCACAGGATTGGACAGTTTTCGCGACGACCTCGTGAAATTTTCGCGCTACAACTCTCTCAAGCCTCTGGCCACGCTGAACTATTCTTCCGATATATTTTACCATTCGACCATTGTTTCCAGCATCGAATTCGACAAGGACAACGAGTTCTTCGCCATAGCCGGCGTGACCAAGCGCATCAAGGTGTTCGATTACAACACCGTGGTACAGGGCAACGTCGATCTTCATTATCCCTGCATAGAGATGACGTCGAGCTCAAAGATATCCTGCGTGTCCTGGAATTCCTTTCACAAGTCGACCCTGGCCTCGTCCGATTACGAGGGCACCGTGTCGATCTGGGACTCTGTCACCGGCCAGAAGACCAAGGCCTATCACGAGCACGAGAAGCGCTGCTGGTCCATCGACTTCAACGACGTGGACACGAGGCTCATTGCCTCGGGCTCGGACGACGCCCGGGTCAAGCTCTGGTCGCTCAACATGGACCACTCGGTGGCCTCGCTCGAGGCCAAGGCCAACGTATGCTGCGTCAAGTTCAACCCGGAGAGCTCGTGTCATCTGGCCTTCGGCTCGGCCGATCACTGCGTGCACTACTACGATCTGCGCAACATGAAGGAGCCCCTCAGTCTGTTCAAGGGCCACAAGAAGGCCGTGTCCTACGTCAAGTTCGTCAACAAGAACGAGCTCGTCTCGGCCAGCACCGACTCCCAGCTGAAGATGTGGAACATCAAGAATCCCAACTGCCTGAGGTCGCTGGTTGGTCACGTGAACGAGAAGAACTTCGTCGGCCTCGCCACCGACGGCGACTACGTCGCCTGCGGCTCCGAGAACAACGCCCTGTACGTGTACTACAAGGGTCTGTCGAAGCAGCTGTTCTCGTACAAATTTTTCGCGGCCAAGAGCATCCTCGAGGTGCAGGAGAGGCGCGAGGACGACCTCAACGAGTTCGTCTCGGCGGTCTGCTGGAAGCAGTCGTCGAACGTCGTCGTGGCGGCCAACTCGCAGGGTATCATTAAAATCTTGGAGCTCGTTTAAGTGTGCACTCTGCATAGGGCCCTCCTATAAGTCTGTCTGTCTGTCTGTTTGTGTATGTATGTGTGTAATACAGAATGCGAGTATAGAAAATCGGACGATAGTCGTAGTAATTGGTGGTGTGTGATAAATTGATATATACGAGACGGATATTATATTTTTGTAACCGCGCGCAGGGATCACCCGTCCCACCGATCCACCCATGTATAAATGTAAATGTACAAAACGATTTTATGAATTCACGCCCGCGAATCGAATTATTTAAACCGCGCTTTAGACAAACAAGAAGGAACGAAGATTATGTTCGATGAATTGTATTTTTGTATATTATATTATATTGTTAAAGCTCAATTACGCTAAAATTTGAGTTCTCCGTGTACAATTTGACGAGTGTGTCTCTTTCGGCACGCGTTATAGAACAACAACAACAACAACAACAAAAACCGAACTCGAGTGTGATAGTAACGATTTAGCAATCAACGATACGTGCTGTTAAATACATGTCGGCCTACAGAATATATAACTACACGAACTTTCAAAATGTCTTACACTGGCGATTCTGATGTTATTCGAAAAAATAAAGCTTTAAGCTAACGTCAACGGTATCTCTTTCAAAGTGATAAATACTACAAAATTTCGAAAAAAAATATAAATATATTTATGAGTGACTTCAAAAAATCACTTTTCACTAGTTAGATTAATTAATTCAAGCTTGCAACTATTAATCGAGTAGAATAATATACGGAGTCGTTTCAATGGAATAATAAGTGTATGACGAGAAAGGAAAATGCAATACAAAGGTTATCTATATATATGAATATTAAAATTAAAATTTATATTAATAAACGAAGAGTACCGAAAAATATGTAATAACAAGTGAGAATTTTCAATCTCCTACTATAATTAAAAAAAAAATCGAACAAAGATTAGGGAAATACAAGTCGATGTCAAATTTATTTTTAACTTTTTAAACAAGCAGTAAAAATATTATTATGCTATAGACCTTTTTCCTTTTTGGCTTGATTCGCTTCAAGGTTGAAAATTTAAGTTTTATTTCGTGATAGGTGTATAGTGCAGTTCGTGGCAATTAGATGAGAAACAATTGTTAAATTCAAAGTGGATGTAGTGAATCGGTGTAGACTTTCAAAATATCCTAATGTAAATGTATGTATGCACAACCTTGAAATGTATTACATTAAAATATCATTGACTCATGAAAATCATTGAACAACAATCGGTTTCAATTGTCGCGAAATTAAGTTTACGAAAATAATTTTCATGTTGTTTAAAATAAATAAAATTGGCCGTTATATTGTATATTGATGATTATTGTATTTTTGTACATTCGATGTACATAATTTAAAATTTGTGAATATTATTCAATTATATTTTATAAGCCATTTTTGTATTAACCATTATTATCAAGCGAAACCTGGCAACTTAGAGAACAAATTTAAAAAACTTAACTAGTTTGTAATAATGTGGTATAATGTATTAGAGTTATTCAAAATAATTTAAAAATACATGTAATTCCATGATTTTATTAAAAAGTGATATTTATTTTTGTAAAAATAATTAAGTTGTTTTAAATAAAATTTAATTAGTTTATCAATTAAATATTACTTTGTATTTCTTATACACATCAATATAAATTTGATTAATTGACTTATTATCGTTCACATTCAAGACTTAATTAAATATGAACACTTTGGTCATGTGAAAAAAATGACTGAAACATTCACACATCTTTGGTAATTCCACCTTCTGAAATTTTTAGTTTTTCCAATAATTTCCTTTTTTTCTCTTTTTCTTCCAAAAATTCTTGACGACGCTTTTTTTGCTCTTCTATTTTTTTGCAATATTCTCGCATATCATCATCCATGGTAAAGATAATTGCAATATCTTCGTCCTAAAATACTCAAAATAATTAAGATGTTGATCACGTTATAAATTTTAATTATAATAAATCCTTACATTTTGTTTCTTTTTCAAGTCATTGTTGAATTTTGATTGCTCTTTTGTAATCTCCGATCTAGAAGTCTTTTTGGTACTGTTTTCTAAAGTATTTTCAGTGCTACACTTTTTGTCTTTCTTTTTATGAATGCTCCCAATAACTTTAGTAGTGTTCTAAAATAATATAAAATAGTTTTATTGCATTTAATGCTAAATGACGTATTGAAATATTTTAAGCTATATCTACATTTTTCAAACTAGTTGGCGGCGAATTTTTTTTAGATTTATCATCTGACCTTGGGCATGTGTGTTTTAATTTATTTTGTTTAGTCACAATTGCACTATTAATAACCTTGAGTTTTTGATCATTTTTTTTCTGAAATATGAATAATAAACTTTATAATTTCTTTTTAGCATATAAAAAAATAATATTCATATGAATAATACCAAATCTATTTTTGTTTTATTTTCTAATTGTTTCTGAATTACAGGTTTGTTGATGTCAGTTTTCTTTTTAGTTTGCCAAATATCAGAAAAATAAGTAATCGGATCCTAAAAAAAAATTGTAATTATATGAAACATATTTTGATTTCTAAATCTCCTACAAACTTACATCTCGTTTGGTGCTCACATAAAGGCTTTTTTCATAATCATTCTTCTGCGTAGAAATTCTACTATCTTTATTCAAGTCTAAAAAAACGATAGTTATTTTATAAGTACATATCAATTCTCTATTAAACCACTTACCTTTGTTCTGAGTTTGATATTGTGTAAAGTTATGATTTCTTGTAAATGATGTTTGTGAATCATTTCTGGGATTTAATTTATCTAACACAAAAAGTAACTGATCATCATTACTTTTGCTCTGTACTGAATTTTCCATTAAATGAGAATTATTAAATGGATAATTTTGATGATTCATTGATGATGGTACAGTTGTTTTAGAGGGTGATGGACCAAGTCTATTAATTAATTGAATATTTTGTATACCCTTATTCTGCTTTTGTTGATTATCAGGATGAAACGTCAAGTTAAATGATGAGGGTAGATATTCTTGATTGATGGTTGGTTGTCTGTAAGACCAATTTGTTTCTTGAATTGAAAAATTTCCTACAGGATTTATGCCAATACTTTGTGATGAAAGTGCATACTGCTGTGACAGTGGAACAGTTAATTCATTGCATTGAATACTTTGATTCTTTGACAAGATAAGTGATTCATCTCTATATTTCAAATTACAAAATGATAAAGAAGTTGTTTGGTTTTGACATGCTGGTAAATTATTTCTATTCTCAGAATAAATGTCATTGTGAGGAACTGATAAAACATTGTCTTGAAAAGAAGCATTTCCTTTTGTAAGAACTAATCCATTTTGATAATTCTGTGAAGCATTCTGAGCCCTATAATTTTTTTCACTTTGACAGTCATATGTGATGGGTTGATTTCCTTCTTGATTTGTTAAAAACTTTGAATAAAGGAGGCAAGATTCCAATACATTGGAAGGAGCATTCGCACTCGGAATTATTAAATCAACTGAATTTGACCTAGAATTATTACATTTTTTGGATTTGGTGATTTGTGATTCAGATATTTGAACCGATATAGGAAGATTCAAATTTTGACTCTGAGATTGAGTATTAACAGGTGAGCCAATTACTGATGGTTCTTGAGACTCAGAAACTATTGGTTGTTTACTTGAGCAATGCTCATTTATTTCTCCAGTAGTTGCAATAGTTTCTAATTTCCCTGTTCTTGGTTTTTGTTTTTTGTGCTTTTTTTGCTTTTTTAATTTTTTTAATTTGTTTCTCAAATCTTTGACATTGTTTGAAGACTCTTTGAATCTTATACTTTCTTCATTTTTTTTTAATTCAAAATTTTGATTATGATTAACGTCATAATAATCTATGTCATAAACAATAAGATTTCTTTTATGATTGATAAAATTATTTTGTTTTGCAACTGCATTATTCATGCAAATTTCTTCATTCAATTCTCTCAGAGCTTCAAGTAGATTTATATTTAAAATCTCGTCAATCGAATCCTCTTGATCAGACTAAAACAGATAAAAAAGCTTGAAAGTCAATTATTGAAAATGATCAAATTATTTTCTAATTAACATGTTGATAAGATTCTATTACGGCCTCAATACTATGGTTATACAAAGTTTCTTCGTAATCACTGACCGAGGGTAAACTCAACAAATCTTCATCCAACAATGTATCATCACTGCAAAAATTCAAATTCAAAATTTAACTCACAGTAAAATTTAATTATGATAAATAACAAATAGTTCTATAGATTAAGAAAAACATTTAAATTCATAAACATCTGTAACCTGTGCACATTTTGAATTACAATGCAAGTACCATCATAAAGAGGACCCTCATATACCAACAATTTAATTCATATAATTCACAACAAATTTTCGATCATTGAATAACATTTTTCACGTTCATACTTACAATTCGGACATTTTTTGCTTCTCACATAATATTCGTCCTTTTTCCGATCTATGCACGAAAATCTTAAAAATGCAATGTTTGTCAACAAAGGACGGGATAACGCTTTACGCGCTGTACGATATGAAATCATTGCCGAGACAGTCCACGCTCGGCATTCGATCTTAGTAGCTCCGTAATCTGATATACTGCTGATTTTAATTCGCACACTGAATTTGAGACTGCAATGGTGAGTAATTGTTTTCAGCAATGAAGAATTTTTTAAAGAAAGAATTAATGGAATCGAAATTATTTTTATCGTGAAAATCATTTTAACGTTTAAAATTGAAATTCAAATATTTTTACGATTATTGAAAAATTTGTTGTATTACCGTGCGATAGCTGTAAGTAGTAACGTAAAATTTTATGATCGTTAATATTCACTTAAAATTTGAAATATATTACTTGTTTTTAGAATCAGATACGCTGTTGAAGTTTTACACAAGTTGGTTATCTGCAATGATCTGCCTGCTTGCGTTTGGTGACTGGCCTATAGTGCATTTTTCAGACTTATCATCTTTTAGCTCAATCAATAGATGAGGTACTCAGGGTATGTAATGTAAGTTAACAAAAGTGTATTATAAATAAAAAACTGCAGTTGCACTATTGAATTTAAAGTGTGATTTTATGTTGACTGATTTTACACATGTGAATTAATTACAGATTTGAAAAATTTTACAATATAAAAATATATATACAAATACAGTCTTAAAGATTATCTTATTTACAATATCGATCTGCTTTCATTTTGCTCCTTCTGTCAAGCAAAGTTTCATGCAATTGTCCTTCATCCTTTGCTTTTTTTAATACAGAAACTTTGTCTTTACTCAATCTCATTTTTTTGTCTTGAAATTTCTGGAACTTTTTCCTGCAAAAGAATTATAAATTTAATGTACAATTCTTAATACCACCGTTGATTGGAATGTTTGAGCACTATTATTGATACTTACACATAATTAACTTCTATGTCTTCTAATGTACCTTGCTCTTCTTGAGGTACATCCTTGTAAGGATCTTCTTCTTTTTTAGCTAAATGCCTTATTTGGCAATATTCCATTGGTCCAGCAGTTTTTTTATTGCAGATTATATCATCATCTTCGTCAACAGAAATAAAACATCCCGTACTGCCTAAAATAGCTACCTTACCATCCTGCAAAAATATACGTTGATGATAGTTTTTCTTTGTCTTACAAGTAACAGTGTTAAATTATTATTTCACAACAAACCTGAAAAATAGGTTCCCACTGTTCTAATGCACCTACAGCTTCGGTACGTGCAACAACTCTTTCCTTTTTATCAACGCTCAAGTACATGCCATATCCAGATTTTAATGAAATTTTTGTATCATTCAGTACAAATGCTGTTAATATTTCTTCAGGGGAGGGACCTTCACTTTCATCGTGTGGTGCCCCAAGGGTAAATAGGCCATTGTCTAAGGCTTTTAAATAGCACCGATCTCTGAACTCTATGGCTACCGTTGGAGTGAGTTCGGTAAGATCAGATATTTTGCTCCATCCTCCTGTAAAAATTATTCACAAAAATTAAAAAACGTTTTGAGAAAATTCCATTCGAAGCTCATTAAGGATTAAAAACAACTTTTTCTATCGAAATTTCAACAGGTTATGTTCAACCAATTACAATTAAATAAACTTACCGTGTTTAATCGAATCGTGGTCTACCTCAACCTCGCCTTTCTTGTCACCATCCACCTTACTGCGCTTTCTTTTTTTTGTTCTAAATCAAATAAATTAATTAAAAAAATAATGAATATTTTTTTTCAAAAAATGCATCAAATATTTCGTCGAAAGAGACTAACTTGGGCTTCTCTCCTTTTAAAACCAGTTTCTTTTTACGAACTTGTTCGTATTCCGACATAGTGTTCACTAATTATATTTGTCACCTGAAGAAAAACAAAGTAGCTTCTGACAGTTTACCACACAATCGATAGCTTTGATGCAGACTATAGACGCGTATACCAGAATTGAAATTATAGGTTGACATGTCTGTTTACGTTTGAAATTGATTGGTGGCGCCTTCGTCATATGAGTTTTTCTCATTTTTCATCTGTGAAGAATTTGCAACAATTTCTTCAAAAAATACAAGGAAATTTATTACAAATTATTTCAAGTTTGATTAAAATGTTGAAACATTTCATTAATTATAATTAATAATAAAACAATTACAAGCTTTCGTACCTGCAAAACTAGTTTATTTATTTTTCATGCTACCTAAGCCGTTACTAAGCTTCTTCGTCCCGGCGGCAAAAACCAAAAGTTTATTCCCGCTGGGGGATTCATGAAAAATAGAAAAACAACCATATCTTGTAAAATATTGAAGATAGATTGAAACAATTTTTGTTATTTTATTTGTCTTTAAAAAACGAAGAGATTGAATTAGATTAATTGAAAATCCGTCCACTAGAAAAAAAGTTATGCAATAATTAGTGCACAATTCCTAGAAATACGTCTTTTTTTGTCTTTTAACCCCTGTAACTTGGCTCGTATGAATGCGATCGAGCTCATTGATATCTCGTTTTGAAGGTAATTACCTGCACAACAATTCGGTATAGTTTTCATCTCAGTATAATTGTTTTTATGGCAATTATTAGCCGTTTTTAGACCTAATTTCATGACTGTGACGTACTTTTTATTTGTTTATACGCGTTTTTCGATGGGATAAATTATTAAAATAACGTGGCAACTTAGTACCAATAAAAGTACGTCAAAAAACGAAAATTTCAAGACGTTCCAATAGGTAATCGATCAAGTAGACGCCAAGTTACAGCCATCTAATGTTAAGCATAGAAACGAGCGAGGGTTGAATGTTTGGGCACAAGCTCATGTAACGTGATTTTCCCGCTTATATACACTCATAAGAAGAAACAGCTGGAGAAAGCTAGAGCAATGTTTAAGAAGCTGCATAGCTTATTCTATTCACCTTTTTTAAACAATAGAGCTAAAATAATTTGCTACCTATGCCTCATTCGTCCTCTGCTTACGTACGGTTGTCCCATCTGGTTCAACTCGTCTGCGTCTGCTGTTAAAAAATTGAGATTATTCGAAAAAAAAAATAATTCGAGCCTTCTTAAACAAATACCGATCGGTAAGCAGCAATTACGTAAAAAGAGTAAGTAACTATGTGAGCTACTCAATCAAGCTGAAATACCCAGAATTGACTCGTTCATTGTATACCTAATTAGAGCCTAATTAGAACTACATTAAGTGCGCGCTTAACAGTAAAGTTAATAGCCCAATTTATGGTCCATATATTTATAACGATGTATATATTAGAAAAGCATTAGGTAATGGGTATATGTGCCCCCAGAAGCCTTCTTCTACTTAGATAGACATAATGTAATAATACATAACGATGGTAGACATGTTCTCTACCAGATGAGTAGAAATAAATCTCAACATAAAAATATACTTCGAATCATTTGATAGTAGTCAACATGTTTATTGTGACCATATAACAAAATTTGACGCCTATTTGTTAAAAGGCTTTAATTACTATAAGTAAATCTTGTAAATATATTTGTATAGTTTATAGTTTATCATGTTAATCCAAAACCACTAACTTTAAATTACATTGTAGCAAATTCTTAGTTTACATTTTCTAAGAGGCTCAATATCATATTATTCATTAACATGTAAGTCATATTATAATTACTATAACTCATTATATACTGTCGAGTGTCCCAAGGGACCATTTCTTTAAGTTTGACCTCATTATATAGTTGTGTTTTCTGTATATGTTTAACTTGTAAAAAACACATTATTTGTCAAATAAACATAATTCTTTCAAAAAAAAAAAAAAAATCTTCCCGATTATATTACCGCGAAATTAATATTTAAATTGATAATATTATGTAAACTAAGGGGAGGCTCTCATGAGACTCGATCAAAAAATCGATTTTTTTTTGCTTACTTAGTTAGCAAATGTCCCGTAGAATACACCCCCGAAACCCTTTTTACCAAAATCGATTTAGTTAAAAAGTTATAGACAAAAAACCGAAGCTGTCTTTTTATGAGGCAACGATGTATGTATGTATGTATATTCATTTTCTAAAACTTCTAACGCGTTTTTCTCGAAACCATGTTTTCTGAATCTGGCGGCAAGATATCTCGAAAAGTACTGCACTTAGAAATACGCTTTTTTTAATTTAAAGCTAATTAAATTGTCTGGAGGTTGAACCTATAAAATTTTAAACTTTTTCATTATTATTACTTTTTACAGTCCTTAAAAGAGCCAAAAAAGGGCAAAAAAATTTTTTTTTTCCGAAGTCCGCCATTTTATCAATTTTTAATTTTTTTGCAATTATTTAAGTTCAACCTCCAGCAAATGTCATCTATTTTAAGAGGAACTTCGCATTTTTAGTTTCGGGCAACAACTGAAGGCGCTAACTTGCCCCGCCCGTTGAGGTACCTTTTTCTAACATGAGCTCCATCAAACGCTGCTGAGCGATAAATAATTCGATATTTTGGTCTAAAAAAATTTGTAAATATAGTTAAATACATACTTTATAAGTACCAAAAAACTTGACTGCATTATTCACTTCCTTCCACAAAAAAAAAAAATCACGAAAAACACGTCATTTTTGAGGCGCCAGATGAGAGCCTCCCCTTAAGATTTTATAGGTGGTTACCGTCCATTTTCACGAATCGTATATCACGAATAACCGATTTCACGAATGACTTTGTTCACGAACATGTATAAATCGTACAAAAATTTATTTATGTTAAAATATATCTTACAAAATCATGTAATAATTCATAATAATATATTGCTCCCAATCAACTCTAAAAATTTCAATTTATTTCCAGCTTTTTTGTATGTGGCATAATCAATTGTAATATTTTGAATTTTTTTCGGTAAAGCTTTCACTTTTCTACCCAAGCATATTTCTGTGATCGCAATTTCCGTATCTGCTTGTTCTTTTTGAATCTCGGACATGAAATATATAAATATAAAATGAAATATAAATGTATAAGTCAAGATGGTTTTTGCCTACGAGCAGGCGGAAACGTGTATGCCACCCCGCCCTCAAAAAATCAAAAATAAGGTTATCGCAAAAAAAAAATGTTGAACAATGCCGCGTCAACCCGTTACCTGAACTTGCGCATACATTATGCTTATTCGTGAAATTAGTCATTCGTGAAGTTCGATTCGTGAAAATAGCGTTCGTGAACCATATATTCGTGAAAAAAGTATTCGTGATGGGGGTATTTGTGAAATCGGTTATTCGTGAAATTTGATTCGTGAAAAACGACGGATACCAGACTAACTGGGGCTTTCCAGTTTTTCACTTCCTCCGGACGTAATATGCTAATTTTTTTTACTAAAATTGGGTTTTCCCATTATTCAAATTTAGATAAGAATCTGTGTTTAAGTACGCGTCATGACTAATCGATTTTTAATTTGATATTTTCGGCTTCAAACTTTCTCTGATAATGCAGTACACAGATACTACTTCTCATCATACCCTGTACACGAATCTTCGTGCGTAAATAGCGGCCACCACAGTAGCATACACAGTACACACAGCTTAAGTGCCCGCCTCCATCTCACGCCACTACCAATGACGTTCGACTCTCTCGATGGGCGACACCTTTCTCTAATTTTATTGAGATACAGAGCCGAGCTCTGTATCTTTTAGATCATTCGATATTGAAACATTGGAGTGTTCAGACGTCTCTCAAATTTTCTCTTCGATCGAGTGATTTTCAATTAGTGTCTGTGTGTGTGTGTGTGTGTTTTGTTGTCGCAATCAGTAGCAATAGCAGCAACAATTAGACCTTCTAGTAGATTTTGGCGTAACTATACTACGCCACGCTGAAAATATCGATTAGCATTGTGTTCTATAAAACGCTTACAGTTACAATTAGTGCTGTGAAAAATTTTACACTCCACGTGCGATCACGACTTCTATTGTATTTTATCATAAATCAAAGATGGCTCGATTCGAATTGGAACCATTGAAGAGAGCTCGCGTCGAAGAAGACATCTTGGACGATTATTCGGACCTCATGAAGAGAGCTCGCATCGAAGAAGACATATCGGATAATTATTGGGACCTCGACGGAAGAGATACCGAACTCTTGCAACGTTTCAATCCTCTGTTAAATATGACAGTACAAGATTCATGGATCCGAGCTTCATTCAGACCCGAAGAAATCGATCGGCTTCTCTGCGTCGCCTCGATGAACTGCAGCATCGCCGAAGATTACCCCGGTCAGCGCATCATCGAAAAAGTAGCCGCCAGCGGTTACGTAGACATCGTGCCTTCGATCGAATGCGACAAGCCAGTGCATCGAACCACACCGGTGCATCACGCGGCCAAGACAAGATTTTGTAATTGGCAGGTCGCGGCGCGCCTACTTTTGAAAGTATACGGCAACTTTCGAGTCGATTACATCGACGAGGAGAGCGGCTTGACCCATATGCATGTCGCGTGCATGTCCGGCGCCGTCGATATCGTCGAGGAATGTCTAAATCTCGGGCACGATATCGATCGGCGGGTGGCAAAAACAGGTGATTCACTGCTACATTTGTCAGTTGAGCATAGCCAAGCGGAAATGTTCACGTTTCTACTGAGACGCGGTGTTGATATCAATGATACCAATAGCCAAGGATCGACTCCGCTTCATCTCTTGGGCCAGAGATTTTACGATGACGACTTCGCCGAGATCTTCTTCCGATCAATCGACGAAAGGTCGCAGAGTGTGCAGATCGATTTTCAAGACAAGAACGGAAACACAGCTCTACACGCAGCTGCTGACAACAAGCATCAGAATTTGATCAAGTTATTGCTTAGACGAGGTGCCAATCCCAACGTAGCCAACGCCAAGGGTGAGACTTTCTTACACGCATTGTGTTCTGAGCACATTGACAGCGATATATTGGAGCTGCTGTTTGAAATCTCTGACGAGAAAAATCGACCGGTGCTGATAAATGCCCAAGATGAAAGAGGGAACGCTCCGTTACACTTGGCTCTGGAAGAAGGCTTGAAGGTCACAGCAGAATTACTGCTTAAAAGGGGTGCCGATCTTGATTTAGAAAATAACGACGGATCAAAAGCTCTACACGTCATTTGCAAGAGAGCCACATTTTGGACCGACGGTTTGCCTCAGTGGTTTTTCAACATTAACCAAAGTCTGTTGCGTACGATAAGAGTAGATGCTCGTGATAATTCTGGTAAAACACCGCTAGAATTAGCTCTGTCCGACGGCAACGAAACGCTGGCGCGATTGCTTTTAAAGAACGGAGCTAATGTAAATTTAGCAAACTACGACGGATCGACCCCCCTGCATTTGGCATCCGCGAAAGAAGGTGATTATAAAAATCTTTTGGAGGTAATTTTCGAGCTCGGAAAGGAGAAAAACCAGCTGGTGCAGGTCGACGCTCGCGACAACAAGGGCCGAACGCCTCTACATTGCGTGCTGACCAGCGAGTGTAAACTAGAATCCGTGCGCTTTCTGTTGGACAACGGGGCAGACATCTCTGCGGTCGACGACGAGGGGCTTACTCCGCTGCATTATATTTGTAGCAATTGGAAAGGCGACGCCGATAATTTATTGGAGAAATTTTTTCAAATTATCGACGACCAAAGTAAGCCGGTAGAGCTCGACGCGCGCGACAATGCGAATCATACACCACTGCAATTGGCTGTAAAAAATTTCCTGCCAAATTGCGTGAAAATACTTTTAGAGCGTGGAGCTGAATTTACCAACATTGTTTTACCGGACAGTACTTGCTTGGTCGATGAATTCCACCATTACGATAACTTGGAGTTGAAGTTAGCTGCTGGTGCCTTCGCCGTGGTCGAATTGCTTGGAGAAAAGGGCTACGATCTCGATCGAAGCAATCAGTTAAGATTAATCAAATTTTTCGCCAAGTACAAATTATTTGAGAGGTCGGACGATCACGAAAATTACTGCTGTAACAACTATGATTTCGTTGTAGAAGCAGCAAATATTATAATACAAGAGGACGATTATACGAGTCTGACCCTCGAAGATCTCGTTCGCTTGCCACATAGAGAAGCTGCGCAACGAGTCTCGTTCGAGAAATATTATGAGATCGCTTGCGCCAGCAGATTCTCGTGTATGACGAGCGAATCTGTCAAGTTTTGCACCTTGAATCTGTGTGAGAAGCTGGCGAGAGAATATTTTCTGATATCGACGCAGCTTATCTTTTGGAAATTGATAAGCTCTCGATTGCCGATCACGGTGTGTGATGAGATTTCCACGAGGCTAAAAAACGAAGATTTGTGCAATATATACTTGACGATAGAAACAGAATTGTAAAAATAAATTTATGTACAAACAAACGAATGTGACAAGAGAGCAGCGAGAACTTATGAAAAAATTATATTGTCGGTTACATTTTGTAAATATATTTTGATTGAAAAATCGAATTAGAAAAATAAAAATAATGTAGCATTAGTTATACATTTTTGAATAATTAATAAAATATGAGTTTATGAGAAACAAAAATGGATTACTTTTTACTTTGTTTCACGTACTATGAAAAAAATTAGACCTGAATTTTCAATAAACATTATGTGGAGGTCGGGTTAAAAAAAGACACCTCAACGGGCGGCAAGCTAGTGCCTTCAGTTTTTGCCTGAAAACAAAAATTCGAAGTTCCTTATAAAGTAGATGAAAATAATTGCAAAAAGTTAAAAATTGATAAAATGGGGGACTTCGGAAAAAATTTTTTTTTGCCATTTCTTGGATCTTTTAAGAGCACTAAAAAATAATGATAATGATAAAATTAAAAATGTTTTGGTTTAAGATTCAGACAATTTAATAAGCTTTAAAATAAAAAAAATTGTATCTTTTAGTCCATTATTTTTTTAGATATCTTGCCGCCTGATTCAGAAAACGTGGTTTCGAGAAAACCGCGTATATAGAATTGTGAATTAAAATAAGATTAATTCACAAAGCAAATTTATTAAAATTGATATAACTAAAAGTTTTATTCTTACTTTTATTTCTATTTTAGCTGAAATCGTAAAAAACTCTTTTTAAATTACTCGTCAAAAAGACTACTTTGCCAAGGTGTATGTTTAATTTAACGAATGACTGCAATACTCAATTTTTGTAGCACTTTAAACGTTATGCACGAGCATTCAATGTAAAATTAAATGCCCTTTCAGAAACTGAGCTCCAAATTTGTACTTTTGGGGTAATGAAAAAGCTATTTAAAAGAAAAAAGTAAAACTTTTTGCAAAAAATCAATTCCTCGATTTTTTGAGCCATGTTACATGGTATAATTGGTAAATTTTTATGCGGAATTTTCAAACCACTCCTTCAAACAAAAAATAACTCATTCATATGAAACAACTCATTTGTACTCGAAAACTATTGAGTTTAAAGAAAATGTACACAAAACAAAAGCTTGAAAAGTGGTTCGAAAATTCAATGAAAATTCCCTGAGATATTTTGATAGTCGTGATTACCCCTAATCATGTTTATATCGTGATTCCTTAGCGGTAACATGGTTAAAAAAATCTAGAAATTGATTTTTTGCACAAATTTTTACGTTTTTTTTCTGTTTAAATAGCTATACCTTTTATCAAAATTTTGAGCTCAGTTTTTATAAGTGCATAAAATTTTACACTGAAATAGGTCGGAGCGAAATGTTTTAGTGGCCTAAAACTACGGAACATATCGCATCGAAAGCCAATAAAAAAAATCAAGCTTTTTCGTCGTTAATGGGTTAAACTAGAAATGATTTTTCAGAAAACTAAAAAAAAATCGTTTCGATACGATCAAAATTTACAGAGATAGAAGCATTTGAAAATTGACAAAATTTTGATCAAAATTGTTGTTGCGATAATTTTTTTGGGGAGTGTATTAGATTACAAGGAAAGTGGATAAAATATAATGCCTCAATTTTCGTGTAAATTACCATGTTCTCGCTTCTAATTTTGAGCCCTTTTAAATAAAATAGCATTTTCGTTTTAAAATAATAAAAAATTAACAATACACACTTCAATAATATCAACTAACTGATATAAAAGAAAATCATTCGAGCAGGTCAAGAAAAATCATTTAAAAAATTTAAATTCAAGCACAGAAATTCAATTAAATGAAAGCACATTAATTCAGACAGAGTCTGGAAAAGCCTTGGAAATACTATAGATACTATACTAAATAATTGTGTCATATCTTTATAAGCAAAATAAAAAAATTCAATTTTAATTGTAAAACTACAATTATGAACTATAAATGAATTATGAATTAATTTAAGTATAGACACGGTAGACTGTTTAGCACGGCTGCATTTCAAAAGAAAATATTAAAATTTTTTTCATTGCAAATTCACAAATAAAAGCATATTTCTGATGAATAAAGCATATATAAATAGTAAATGTGTATGAATCTCCTAGGGTCCTAAGGCCCTTTTCTCGAAATACTCATCCCCACTGCGAGAATTATTTCTAAAGCCCTTGTACGACACACTTATTTTTGAATTGGAGCGCAGTTGGTTTTCGGCAGTGAATCAAGATACGCGTGTTCAGTTTTTTGAAAGGTTGATAGATACCTTCCTATGAAAATAAGTTACTTCTCAGTAATTTTTAGTTATTCGCAATCCATCATAATGTTGAAAATTCTCAATCGATAAGAAAATTATATCCGTCGAACTATTTATCTATGAACATTTAAAGGCATTACTCTTTTCAAGAATGGAATCTAATTCAGACAATGTATTAAAATTTTTAGCAGATTCTATTTCTTCTTCGACTATTAAAAGTGAAATGTTAAATGGACCTATACAGAATTTGGCAAAACTTTTAAATCCGTCGAATGCTTTGCCGAATGATATCAATGCACTTTTTAGTGTATTACAAGTGCTCTCGCCTAATGGTGTTTTTGTTCTACCAGAAACACCACAAGTTTTACAAAAATCATCAAATTTTCCAGTTGAAGATATAAAAGGTAATTTCAACAATTGCTAAAACTAAAAAATTCCTCATGAAACAACCCGTAATATTTTTTTGCATTTCGTTTTATGATGGTTCATTATTTTAGTGAGCATGTGAAGTGACAGTTTTAGTTTTAGGCTTTTCTTTTTTGTTTTATCAAATTATTTAAAAGTTAGCCAAATAATTCTACGTTAAATATACGATTATTCAACTTTGAAAATATCTCAACTAATATTTTTCCTTTGAAAATAAAAATGTACTGTATGTCTTATCAAATATGACCTTGAATTTTATTAATATTTTTAGTATTAGAATGCTATTTTAAGAGACTATAAGGAATCTTGAAAATGACAGTTTTCTTTTATTTATAATCTTCGATAAAATTAACAAAAATCTTGGTTAAGCTCAGAATGAAAAAAAATTAATCAAATTTTAGGAAATAAACATCCGATCAGCTCCGAGTGCTTTGAGAAACACTCATACTCCCCAAAAATAACAACAACTAATTTAAACATTTTATAAAACCAATTCAAAGCAAAGAAATTTATTTTTGCGAATATTTTCGTTTTTAAGAAAAGATTTTTAAATAGTGCTTATAGAAAACCATGACTACTAGTAATTAAAATAATAATTTTTATGAATACCCTTTTCTAATTAAATCCTCATGTCTTTGCAGCCGAACCACTGGACCTCTCTGTTCACGAGAAGATTCCTTACATTAGCAATGATAATAAACTGGTAATAGATCGAGCGGCGATCGGCGATCGTCAAAGCGAACGGAATTTCAACTACTCTCTCGGAATATCATCTACCCAAACTACGCAAATTAGCACAGCTCAAAGCAGTAGCTCCGAAAGAGAGATCAACAAAAGAACGTACAAAAATTACAGTCCAGAGCAACTATTGCTGGCTATAAAAACCGTAGCCGAACAGAAAATGTCACCCACGGCGGCGGCGGAAGCGAATGGCATACCCTCCAGGACTCTTTACGATAAATTGACGAAATACGGCATACCGACTCCTAAAAAAAGGAAATCCGATAAAGTTACAAAACCGATATCTTCGCGAGGGAAGAACCCATGAATCGAAAGTTTGAAACACGATAGAGCGTCTGATTCGTGTGAATAAGCATCAAGTTACATTTTGTATATTTTAATAATATAAATATATATGATATATCTATATTATCGGATAGGTTTTGTAAATATTTATGACAATCTTGTTAAAATCGGATTACGAAAAGTTTAATGGCACTTCTTAAGTATTATTGTTTAATTTAATCCTGACTCTTCCGAATTGACATTGATGTATTGTGTCTATAGACTAATGAAAAGAATTATTGATAAATAACTGTTAAGTTTACGATACTCTGTTCTAAGTTCGCTTTTACTTTTTAAGTAATTGATTTACAAAGTTACCATTTTTTTTTCATTTCTCAAGTATTAGAAAAAATCCTACTTTTTATTACGAGCTTCATAATCGAGTAAAGTAGAATAATTGAATATTTTTGATATTAATTTAATAAAAAATGTATGTAATAGCAAAGAGTTAATTCTGTAGCACCATAAGAATCGTATTCATTTTGAGCATTCGAGCGAAATAAAAAAAAAAATTTCTCAAAGTTTTTTTTCTCATTCTTTACTTTCTTTCCTGCACGACAAAGAGCATAAAAACCGTCCAGATCCGCGCATCTCTCGACGTGTGCGCGGATATTTTAGCAGAGAAAGAGACGAACGATTATTTTTTGCTATAAAACGCACCCTCGATTTTCTCCTACGCGCGTACGTACCTATATCTAGATTTATTATTGTGCTGCTGCTGCTGCACTGCGAATAAGATCGGATACTTTCTTTCAAGGTTTTCTTTTCTAGGTTTTATACGATGTACACAATAGACGAGACGACTGGCGGTACGCAGTCCGTGTGCGTGTGCAAATCTTTCTCTCTCTCTCTCTCGGTCTCCTTCTCTGCTCCTACGCTCGCTCCTCTCTTTTTATTTTCTGCGCGGAGTCTCGTCTTTCGACGATTCAATGAGCGATTATCGCAAGGGTGAATACCGCTACTACTTTTGCCTTTGCTAAAATTTTCAAACGCAACTGCGCGCACACCGTACACACGAAAACGCGTAACAAGACTTTGAGGATGAGAACTATTAGGTGTACCGTGTATAAATGCGTATATAGAGGTAGTAGTTGCACACGGCAAAAATTGCTCATATATATACGCGCGCACGTGAATGATGGCAGGATGTGCCAGTGCGTATATTTTTTGCCCGAGGCTTTCTCCTGCGCTCCCTTTCACAAAGATCGCGCATAGATTCGCTCGCCCGTCTATGCGTGTATGTGTTTACATTGAATTTTTTTTCTCTATGGGCAGAAATTGTGTCAAAGCCATCGAACTTCGCGCAGCAGTACCTACACACACCCCTGCAGAAAAGAGAGAGATCGCGCGAGTAGTTTTTGTTCGGCACTTTTGTGCGCGATACACATTCGCACGATTTTTTTTTCTATTAATGCATGACTCAATATTTGGAGCGTGGGCTGCTACAATGAGCTCTCTATAGCGTGGAATACTTTCATTTTATTTTATACGTACTTTCTCTACCCTCTCTTTTTGAGAAATGAATATTATTATATTTTTTTTAATAATACATATTTTATCAAGGGCTTTAGAAGATAAAAATTCCATTATGCAGCGGTAACTTACAATTCTCAGTACTTAAAATGATTAAATCTCTTTCAAAAATATTAATTAAAATGATTAATTTTAACCAATTTTCAATTTTCACTGATTTCAATTGATTTCAAGTGCAAATTTATATGGGTAGCTCAGAATTGAAAAAAAAATGTTATTCGATTTTCGGCATTTTTTTTTAATTTCAAAATGTTTATTTATTATAGAATAATCTTAATGAAATTTACTAAAATGGAATCATTTCCCAGATCTTATGTCACTTTTGTAACCAATTGCCTTTCACATAATTTCTCATTTTTGATATCATGAACATTCTTAAAAAAATAACTGCCAGTCAATGCATATATTTGAATTTAATAGGTACGTGCAGTAGCACATTTGAGGTATCCGATAGGTAAAAAAATGATCAAGAAAAAATACGCAGAGTAAATTTTTGCTTGCCCTTTTATTTTTAACAATTGTTCATGAAATGGTATAAAAAATTTATAATAATTAATTTTTGATTCAAAGATTTGTTGTCATTAGAATATTTAACAAGTGAATATTGAAACTATTCGATTTTTTAAGAATTGAATTGATAGTGATTGTTCAGGACCAAGTAAATTAAGAAATATTACATTGCAATTTACATCGTTCACGCACATTTGCTTAGATAAGTGAAGATTAAAGAGCAACAAAGAATATTCAACGGTAAACACCATTTTCAATCAACTGTGGTATTTGTAGAATTTCAAAATAATGTTCATTTTCATCAGAAACATGAAAAATAAACTTTGGGGTGAAGGTATTTTTGTCGATTGTGACTTGCATAGCAAAAATTGTGCTTGGACAACAAAATATTATTACAACATAATGTATTCATTTAACTTCATTACATCAACAATGGTTACAATGTAACTTCTATAGAATTATTGATGCAATATTGTATACAAATATATTACAAGTATAATACATAAAGTTAGCAATTTATAAAAAAAGGGCTTGAACCTTAGTGCGACACAAATAACTTACTACATGTAATTTTTTACGCAAAGAAATTGCTCATTACTTTGTAATCGATAAAATTACTGTCAACACAACATTTTCAAAATCGATATACAACTCATTTATATGGTTTGAGAATGTACTTTTAAACATATTAAAACTACATCAGGCTTCTTCTAAACACATGTACACAAAAAATACGTTGAATTATTATCAACATTATTACTACTTATCTGAATATGAAAATTATTATTATTTATATTTTTTACTACGCCTTGAGCAATTCAACTCAAATTACAAACACAAAAAATACACATTTTCAATATTTATTATTAATATTCTAGTCAAAGACAGTCATACCAAATTCTTCTTAATCAAATTTGACGAAATATATAGAAATTTTTTGGTTATTATACCAAATAAGAAAATTTTGAAATCTAAAATGTTTGATTAAGGATACTGTTACTTAATCACTTTTTTTAATACACTTATTAAAACAGTAATGTTACTATGACAATTATTATTAGCATTTATTTTTAAAAAGCTAACTAACTTTATGCCTAAATGAACCTACTTTATTTAACATTTATGTCGGAATATTATTTATAGCAACAAAATAACTGAACCAATAAAAAATAACCCACGTGTTTTTGAAGCCTATAATTTCAGATTTTTTTCAATTTTTTTCCTTATTTTTCATCCATTAACAAAATCTAGAGAAAGAGGCAAAGATATTTTTACAATCGATTAATGCCAAGGTATTTAGATATTTGATACTATCTTTTTTTACATTATTTTTTAATTGAATACTAATAAAAAAAATCATAGATAGATCAGATCAGCTTCAGCTATGTACAGTTTCCATTTGGTTGTTTTCCAATTGTCTTTGTGCTTTTAACCATTCTACAAACTCATCAAGCATCACAGGCCCTATGAATGAACATGTTTTATATGAAAATTAATTTATTTGCTCATCAAAAACAGTTATTCTATACTTACATGCTCCATCCAGATCATAATTTGATAAGTCGTTACTAATTGTTCTTGAAAATTCTAAAATATTGCACCATTGATCTTTGTTTATCACTTTGTACTTGGATTGACTCAAGAAGTTTGCAAAATGTGTAAATAGTGGCCACTGTTTACTAAGTAACAATTGCAGCATTAATTGTGCTGTTTCCATTTCCATGCTTCGTTGGTCTTTATCTTGCTAAACATGAAACAAGGAAAAATTACAGTTATTCTCTCAGTTCAGTTAAATTTAAGATTGAATTAAAAATGCTGAATCTTTCTATCTGCTCACCCTAGCAAAATCGTATGCATATCTATAAATAGCTTTGAACAGGTTGTGATCGTTCAGCAACGACTTTAGGTACTCGAGCTTTGACTGGAGTTTTGGCACACTGTCGCACTGCAGTTCCATCATGCCTTTGAGCCACTCGGCTTGTGTGAAATATCCCATTCGTCGGGCATTCATTTTATAAGCTATCACAAGCATCACTATGTTTTCCGGATCGACGGCAATGTCCTCGCAAAACCTCACCATACCATCAGGACCCAAAAGCTCCGCTTCTTCGGCGTATTCCTTGAACCACGCGATGCAACGCCGCTGCGAGAAGGCCTGGTTCAACAGAGGTCTGGAGTCTTCCTGCTTGTGACTGTTGCGCGTCGATCGCGCACTGCTGCAATTCAAGAAAAACAAGAATGAAAAAAATAGCTACATTTTATAAGTCATAACTTAAATTTTATAAAAAATAATTTGAGGAACTTTTAAACCAAGAGTAAGTTTTTTAAAGCACAATTTAACGCGACAATATCTTCATTTGAAACACAAACCTGTCCTCCGCGTCCATGTGGCAAACCCCCTCTTTCTACTGAAGTATTCTAAAAATAAATAAAAATCACGGGAACTCTAAATTTATCAAAAANAATCTCGTTTCGAATATTTCAAAAAAAAAAAAAAAAAAAAACACGTATGATTATCTAATTCATTGTTTTGATTGAATTATTGTGCATTGAATTATGTTTTTGCAAACACTTTAATGCCACTAAAAAGTAATGATAATATCGAGCGCAAATGAAATAGTGAGCCGCGAGAGACGAAAAGCTGAACTGCAGAACTTGTGCCTAAAGCAATCGGGAATAAGAGAGACAGACATCGTAGCTCTATTTTTATCGAGGGAAAATTCTCGGTGTTGGCCGCGAGAGAGTCATTTTGTATTGTTATAGAACATTTTTAATTAAAATTTTTTGATATTAAGAATTTTAAAACTAGTAAATTCAAGTAAATTAAATGCTTTAAAAAACACTTAATTTAAATTTTATTAATGGACAAATAACAAATCAATACCAACCTTGGATTATGCCTAACTCTTTTAGATGGATGCCTAGGGTTGTCCTCAGGAGCGGTTGGTTGCATTTCGGGTTGAACATGATTATTTGCAGTATTGGCAGCTTTTCTTTTGGCTCGAGGCATATCTCTGTTTCTCAATTCACTTTTTTCGTCAGAAAGAGAACCTTCGATATCGTCAGGGGCACTTGAATTGCTGCAATATTGAAACTTGGATTGATCAGCACTATTGTTTGTTCTGTCGTTGTATTGTTCTTTGTTCCACCGATCCTGAAAAATATCATCAACAAAAATTATTGAATAAAATTATGATGTTATTCCTACTAAAAATTATTAATAATTTTAGTTAAGTTTTGCTTCCAAAATGGAAACTCACAAAAAAATTGAAATCCTTTTTTTTACTCAAACAATAAAGGAGCAAGATTAACCATAAACTAGTTAAAATTATATGGATTACTAGATTTTGTTTTATAATAGCTGCATCAAACTTATTATCATCAGATTTGTATGGTAAAGTTCTAACCAATGAATACAAGGAAAACCATCCTGGCAATATTGAACTTAATCCATTTTTTTTTAAATTATTTTGTTCCAAAATTTCACTGTATACTTTGTTTTGATTTTTCATTATTAAAGTTTTATGTTATTAAAAATAAAAATTTGCCAAAATGAAAGAGTGTGAGAATTTTGAAATAATTTTGAAAAAGTAATTACTTCAGTGATGCTTGACAGTTACAAAAAGTAACATACTAAAAACATTTAAACATCGTTGCTGGGCAACGGTAAAAGTGTATTGTTTGAATTTATAACTTGTATGAGATTTGAAAACAAAGAGAATAAAAATAATAAATAATATTTTTTCTACTCATCCAGTAATTTGAGTAAAAATACTTTCTTTCAAAATTCTAAAACTGAGTTATATTATTGTGGCTTTAAAAATTTGTAAATGAAAGCAATTGAAATTTAACCTAAAATAAATCAACCTTGGATTTCTCTTGAATTCTATGACAATTCATTATCTTACCAAGAGGTAAAAGATTAGCAATATTGCACTTGTCAAACTGAGATATTCAATAAACATTTTAATCACCCTTGTATTTTGATCAAAATTTCAGTTTAAAAAATCACTCTAATGACCTTAGATAATCTTGAAAATGTTTCATATTCAATTGCAATTGAATAATAACAATCATGAATAGCAACTGATGAATGTTTCAATACATATAATCATATGCTGTCTATTTGAATTCTGAAGATGTATAAAAATAGATTAATTGGATATAGTGGTCCACTTACTGTTCACAATAGGCAAATAAAAAAACGTCATTAAAAGTAAACACGACAGGAGTATCAGTGTTATTCGAAAAATCCAAAATTCATGAATGAATTTGATCTGTACTATTAATAGTTGTACGATCAAACGAGCCTCGCAACGGCACAAAAACTCACCGAAAGTTTAATTACGAAAAATTAGAGATTATAGGAAAGTCTCGTCTCGTCGATATGATATTATCGTGTTTGGGCTCACCTGCTGCGATTCGCTGCACGAGAGGTTCACCGAGCCAAGTCTATCAGTGATGTCGCCTGTACCCACGTAGTCCTCTTGGACCTGGCGATCTTCTCGCTGTTGCTGATTCCGCTGCTGCTCCGTTGTGGCGGAAATTAATTTGATGGATGGAACAAGGTTAGGTTCGTGAATACATCGTTAGGCGAGAAAAGAACTAGATTCGTGGCACCAGAATCACCACCTAGAAGCAGATCCGAGAACAAACGTTGGATCATAGATTCGATTAAATTACCCGAGAAGTCGTTACGATAACGATCGGCCGCGGATTTAATTATGGGGAACGATAAAAACTTGTGCGCTACGCGATAGCGGGGGTGTGTCGTGGATGGGAACGATAAAAATTGACAGACATATCAATCACTTGGAAAATTTTCCACGAGAATCACTCTTTAATTGATTATAATACTCTTTAATTATATAATAATCACTGTTTACGATGCTCTTATCACGGCAAAATTTTTTTACTCAACGATCGGGAAACTCTCGTCAATCACACAATATCATTATCATCGAGCACTAAAATATAAACGCTCTGCACACACCTATGCTCGCAGACCGTAAACACGAAGAGGTTAGAGGGATGTAAAGATTGGCTTCTTTTTTTGGCAGAATTTCTGCACGGCTATCGATGCGGCCCAGAATGTACGTTACGACGGATCCCAGGCACTTCAATCCCGCTCAAGGAGTAATCAGGTGGACCGCGAACTCGACGAGGCGTCAATTAAAGGGCTCTGTTTATGGTCTGCACCGATGCGGAATATAGATACTGCAAATAAATCGTGAACGTATTATTCGCAACGGTTCGCGAATGACTACTGGCAGTGTGCGTTCGGTTTTCGCATTTGTTATATTACCACTGGATCGAGCAGCAATTCCAGCGGCCCCGCGAGGTGACGCGCGCGAGCTCGCCTGTTTTTGTAGCATGATGATAAATTGTTGTCGATTCATTTACTTAAACTGACTGACTATATGGCAATTAGCATGGCTCGAGAAACGAATTATTTTGAAATCGATTCAAATTCAAATTTATCTAGAGAGTTATTTAAAATTTATGAAGGGAATCCAATCAAGTTTATGCTGGAAGATAAAGGGATTTCTTGAATGAAACTTGGGGTAAAAAAATGCGCTTTAACGTGGTTTTTTTTTGTATAATTCATTCATTAGCGTTAATCTTAAAATACAAAGAAAAATAAATACAATGCTTTATATGCGACGACATGAATCGTGACAAAAATATAAAGGAAAACAAATTATTGATGATTCAGTTGAGCCAGATATCATTCTCAGTTGATTACAAATCTTAAGAATAATTCTTAATTTTACAGATTCACTTTTATAATAATTTCTATTAAACAGTAATAAAATCAGTTTTTTTTTTAGTTGTCCTCCGTGCAGAATTCCGTCCAACTCTTTTGTGGTTATTGACTGACAAATATCAGCCGTAAAGGCCAAGGTTCATCACGCTTCTTTAAATGTTGATCACTCTGGACAGTTTTTGGACTCTGTTGAGCAGCAAATCACCCTGTTTCACCATCGCCTGGTACTGCGAGTTTTTACTGTCGGGTCGATTCGTTTCTACGATTCCACCGACGCGATCCACTTTGCAGTGTAGCCGTCCAGCAGCAATGAAACGGGATAATTCCCTGTGAAAGATTATTTTTTTATTAATATTACAGTTGAACAAGATTTTGTTTTGGCGAAATATACCAATTATTAAAGATACTTACTGATCAACATACTCAATACTGACTCCAAAAGATTCTGCCATGTACTGTAAAGTCAATGACTTGTAAGACTCCAGTAATTGTGAATAAGCAAGAATACGCATTTCTCTCACATAGAAACGATAATGTGGATGCATAAGGAAGTCTCGTCTCATTAGTTTTTCAACATGTGCTGAAATTATGTTTGTTTGATTACAACAGCTTCAAAGTATGTTTGTGTATGTTATAAATTAATGATTTACCTAGATTCTTAAAGAAGTCAGCATAGTGGCAGTTATACAGTGAGAACAAGTAGTCTTTACAATCAGGATTACTGTGCAACACTTCTAAAATCTCTGATCCCTTGATGATTTTATCACGCAACTCATTACGTGGTAAACTAATCATACTTAGATAAACTGTATTTCTGACAAACGTATTGTAGTCCATAAGTTCATAGCTAGTAAAAGTACTGATGGTGTCCAAAAAGAAGTCAGCTGCTCTTTTAAAATCTCTCACTGCCATACAATAAGTACCTTGATATACTTTCAATCTATTTCTTCTATCCCAGTCACCTCCTTCTTCAATAAGCCTTTAAAAGAAACAAAAATCATTTCTAAGTGCCATTCTTATCGATTACATATAAATTGTATACAAAAAGCTTCTAAATAGCATTTAACTTACTGTTCTGCTTTTTCAATATTTTTTGTGATAAGATCATGATCAATGTAAAAAAGACCTAATCGAATCAAGTGAAAAATAATGTCTAATCTGTGACCTAAGGACACTGTTTTTTCATAGGTTTTTTTAAAAGCAGCAACTGCTTCTTCTTTATCGCCAATGGCGCACAGATATTCAGACTTTTTCAGATTAGCTTCCCTGACCTCCATTTCTCCAAGATTTTGTTCGGCATCTTCGATGGCATTGTCCAGTGCCTGAAGTTCTTTTTCGTTCACAGCTTTCATTTTTTTCAACAAGGGTTCATCGATGGGCCAGTTAAGGTCTCTGCAGACCCTTTCATAAAATGGAGCCTTGTCTGAATGGAAAAATTAAAATTAATAACATTTTAATGAACCATTTTGAACAATGTAGTGTAGAGATTTGAATGATTTTGTTGACTCTTCAACTACTGGGTGAATGAATCAACATTTTTAATAACGTCATTCAAGCCCGGCAGATCCCAAATATATAACACATCTTATAGGTTATGATAAACAGTCAAACTAGTTAATGCTAACGTCGTTCGCAAAGTTTGGCATAGAATCACAGCCAAGCCATCAAAATCATTAAAATCGTCATCCATAATTTCGCGATCTACATCGCTCAACAAAATATCAACGTTTGACATTGAATATCGCCGATGTAAAAAATGTGCAACTCACTTCCATTGCGAATGGCCGTGAGCAGTCGTGTTTTCACGGTGGTGTCTTCCGCGCACTCTCTCAAGCTCAGCAGGCCCTTCCACTGGGCCAGCTGGAAGTTGGGATTCTTCTCTGATCCATCGTCCTCGTTGTTCTCCAAGGGCGTGAGCCTGGGCTTGGACACGAGTTTGTAGGTTTCGGCGAGAAACATTGCGGACTTATTCGTGCGTGTTTTCGTGTTATATTTTTTTTTTTTTTAGCTGACTTCTCGGCAGTGTATGTCGAATCGTGTGTGTACGCGCTCGGCTACTGCTGTCTGTTGCACACAACACGACCACAGCCCGCTGCCCGATACAGCTATTGTGATGTGTCAGGGTTTGTCTGAAATGTCGGATTAGCGGAGCATACGTCATAAGAGTGAATGGCTGCTCCTACGGGTTAATGCTGATTTTATGAATCGATTTTTGGCAAAAATTAATTTACTCGTTCATGAAATACAAAAATTGCGTACGCGCGAATACTGAGAAATTGAAATAATCAATTTTGAATAAGTCAACCTAAATAGAAGTTTTTCGAGTTTTCTGTCTCAAAATCATTTAGAAAGTTTAATTATTTTTTCAAATTAAATTTTAAATAACAGTTTCTCATTTTATAATTTATTAAAAAAATTAAAGCTTCTGTTTATGAACATGCATATTGATAGATATTGATAGGAATAGGATTATGATATTTGAGGAAAACAATAATGAAATGATTGTATAATTTTTTTTTGTAATAAAATCTTTATTTATTTGTTTATTTATTTTCATATGTACACTTATGCAAGACACTCATCAAGTGAAACGCTATAAACTCCGCTGCAATCGTTCGAAGAATCTTCGATTTACCAAAGTATAAAAAGGCATTTACACAAGTATCCATACACCAAGTAAAAATAATAAAAAAGCGTAGAAAATAGAGTAAAAAAAAACTTGCAGTAAGTATGACTGCTTCGAATTGCCCAGTAAGGTCATCGATCGCGTTGACCGAGATACTTATTTGTTAGGAAAAAATGTAGACACTCGTTTTAATAAATTTATAAACTCTTGGAAACCATGCTGGTTTACTTATTTCCATTGTCATAATATTTAATAATTTAAACGACATTTTTTTACTAAACGACTTGAAAAATTTTGTCTTTTATATTTAGAGTCTAGAGTCTTTTATATAATAACGATTAAATTATAAGTGTCTCCTTTTCCTAAAAAATAACCACCTTTTTTATCATTTAGACTATTTATTTATAAAAAAAATAATACCACAAGCAAATAAAAATTATCATTCCTTACTCACTTTTCAGTCAACTTACCTTTTGGATTTTAAGGAGTTTTATGTATTTAAAAAATCAAGAGATGTGAGAAACAGCTCATACCTTGTTGCTTTCCTCGAGCAGATTTTCAGTAAACCAGAAATAAATGGAAAATGAAACATATTCGTTATTATGTGAACAAATGGAAGCAAATAAAAATGGGTTGATGAGAATGGTTGTCTTTGAGAATTGTCAGAAAAAAATCGATGCAATAGATATAAAATAATTTCAAGTGCTGTTTTTCTCGTCAGTCTTAGTGTTAGCTCATAAAAAACAAATTCAAATACTCTGAGCCTAAGTCAGTTAAATATTCAATCGTGTGCTAGTGTTGAAAAACTGTAAATCTTTCATGAAGTCTATTTCATCGTGTTCAAAATAACTAAAATAACTCTAGTCTTGTCTTATTCTGTATAATATTTGTTAATTGCAAAGTAAGTATTAGATATATTTTAATAGCTATACTACCTCTTACAAGTACAGAAGCTAGCTAGAGTACCTCAGCTTTGATACCTGCCTGCCTCTCATATACTGAATAAGACAGTAAGTCGATAAAAATTTGTTTAAATAATAAAAAGGTTCAACTTTGTATATGAATATTATATATTTACAATAATTAATTAATACTGTTACAAATTATTAGATTTCTCCTTGCGTACATATATAATTCAACCAAATTTCAAATGACAGCATTCCTAGTAACTAAACTATCAAATGATTAATAAGAAAATTAATGAACATTAAAAAAAGTTATTGATTCCGTTTATTTCACTAACTGTTTTGAAGACATTTACAAATTATAAAAGTAGTTTGATTCGACATGGTTTACGTGCTTATTGATCTAAGCAATAGGCAACCTACACATGCTAGCACATTTTGATATACCTAAGCTTCGAATTCTGCTTCAAAGTTGTCTTCATCCTATTATATAACTTAAACATTACACACTATCAAATTCTATTGTGGATAATTTCAATCCATTATCTAAAAAAATTGAGTGGAAAAGTTTGTCCATAGTTCATTAAAAATACAAAAATACAGATGAACAAATTAAATCAACATATATGTTCTCATATATTAATTTATATAACATGCGCATTTAAGAGAAGTTTGGATGAAATTTTTGTTACATTAGTTTACTCCAATGTAGTATTACAAAAATGTTTGCATACTAGTTTATCAGTTAATGTTGAAGTTATTGGGTCAACGCGCTTACATAGGTGATAATTAAATGGTCATTTATAATTGGATGTGCTAAAGTAATCTGAAGACGATTATGAGTGAGATGTAACTAACTCATTCAAATTGATTAATAAATTGAATTGAATATTGCGCGACGTATACTACACGTTGACTTGTAAAACAAATGACATATTCTTTTGGTGCACTCTCGGTTTTTTTTGTTTTGCTTTTTTTTCATTGAAAAAAAAATTTATTTTAAAACTATATTTAAGAGGGCTTATGACTCCCTGACTTGCATTCTATGTGTATGTACAGTTTAGCAATCTCTTCTTGTAGCCTGATTGTCCTGCCTGCAAGGATATTTTGATTCTTATTCCCTGAATATTCTTAATATTCCTGCATCTTTTGCAAATTCATTTGCTTAATGCCTTAATTCACTGTTCCCTTTTTTCATTCAATCCTGCTAGCCTGATTTTTATAGCCTGCCTGCCTGCTCCAACACTAATTCAGTACCAAAGTACTGGTATGCGATTAGAAGGCAAGAAGTAGAGTGGGATCACCTAAGGTTCAAAAGTCAAAAACTAATTAGTTTATGTGTATTTGATAATTTATCAAGACACCTTAATATTGTATCTTTTAATCAAAAACTACTCAGTAAGAATGAATGCATGTTTAAGAAATTAATTTAGTATTGTTTCAAGATTAAGCATGAAGAAACATACAAATATTCTTTCTGCAACATATTTAAAAAAATTATAATCTAAACAAAAAATTAGAGTGATAACAAATATCAAAATGCATAGAATAATTGTAGCATTTGAAAGAGCAATTGTTGGTACCTTACATAATCTATAAAACTTAACTGTATGAAGATATTTCTTATAAATCCTATTTATCATAATATTAATGCAATCATAAGTAATTTGTAAAGAAGCTTTAAATCCCTGGCTTCCTATTAAGAATGAGGAATTCCATTGGGTCAAGCATGAATAATAATCCTTCATTAACTAGCACAAAATAAGAGGTGTCAACTATGTTTTTCCGTTAAAAAAAGGGTATTAAATTTAAAGGTAACCTGACTTTTTGCATCTTTCTACCTCGAATGTATATAATTTTATATGAAAAAATGAATAAATGAAAAGTGCGCAAAAAACGAATGCAAGGCCAAAAATGAAGTAATGCATGGCTCGACATTCATTGATTACTGAAAATCAGTTTTCATGAATATTCATGCTTACCGTATGCAAGTCGAGGGAGACTGGTCATGGGGATGACGGGCGGAAGAGATTTAGTACCTTCTGCCACCGCCACCACCACCCATACCGCCTCCCATACCACCGCCGTAGCCACCGCCACCGCTACCTCCGTAGCCTCCACCGCCTCCGCCTCCGCCACCACCGCTTCCTCCTGTAAATCAATCGATCGATCGGAACATTACGAAAAATTCATACAACTTTGAAGAAATGGTTCAAAAATTAAATTTCAATTTACCGTATGGAGTTGGTCTGCCACCAGAGTTGAAGTTATTTCTGATTGGGCCACCTCCGTAGCCTTGCTGATAGCCGCCACTGAAGTTGTCATTACCCCAGTTGCCGCCACCACCGCCGCCACCGCTGTTGTAGCCGCCGTTGTTGCCGCTACCTTGGTTACCGCCCCATGGGCCGCTTTGGTTTTGGCTCTCCCAGGGTCCGGAGTTACCCCAGGACTGGTTGCCGCCACCGCCACCGCCACCACCGCCACCGCTGTAGCCACCGCCACCACCGCCCTGATTCCAATCTCCGCCGCCGCCGCCACCACCGGAGCGACCACCCCAGTTGCCGCCGCCGCCCTGGTTGCTGCCCCGGGGTCCTCCGCGGCCGCCACCGCCACCGCCGGAGCCACCACCGGAACCACCACCGGAGCCGCCACGACCTCCGGAGCCACCGCCACCACCAGAGCCGCTGCTTGCAGAGGCCATCTCGGCGCGACTCAGGGCCTTCTTGACGTCGACGTGCTTGCCGCGGATCGAGTGGTTGCGTTGCAGGCAGATCTTGTCAACGGGGTCGTAATCATCGAACTCGACGAAACCGAAGCCACGCTTCTTGCCCGTCTCCTTGTCCGTGACAATACTGACTGAGTTGATGTTGCCGAATCCCTGGAAGTACATGCGCAGATCTTCCTCCTCGTGGTCGTCCTTGAGACCGCCGACGAAGAGTTTCTTGACCGTGGCACCGGCCTCGGGGCGGCCGATCTCCTGGCGGGGCACGGCGCGCTTCGGCTCGACCACTCGGCCGTCGACGCGGTGCGGTCTGGCCGCCTGGGCGTCGTCGACCATGTGGGCGCGCGAATAAGTAATGAAGCCGAAGCCACGCGAACGCTTGGTCTTAGGGTCCTTCATGACGACGACGTCCACGATGTCACCCCACTGCTCGAAGTGCTTCTTCAACGAGTCGTCGGTGGTGCGGTAGTCCAAGCCCCCGATGAATAATTTCCGCACGTGCTCGGGCTCGTTTTTTCCGTCCTGCCAAAACAAATAAAGAAATTACGACGTTGAAGGGAGTTGTCACAGTTGTTTATTTTCACGCGTCGTAGTCGTCGGAGGGGTGGGGGTTCGTGCATAAATATACACACAAGCTCGAGGAAAGAAAAACATGGCCGGCCGTTTCGCCACGCCGGCACTGGTGGTGGTGGGTACAATGCTTATTATCACGGTCACCCACGCGTCGTGTTTATCGATTAGGAGCTAGCCCCGGCCCCCGACCCCATCGTCGGCCCCTCGGGAAATTTTAATTATAGCCATGCCCCGACGAGGTTAGAGGCGTCGTACAGAAGCTCGTGGCAAAGATTTCAAAAAATCCCGTTTCGACGCTGACACGACAGCGCAGGCATTTATATCCGTGGCGAACGACGAGACTGTACTAGAAAGGCTGTACGGACGACGCGACGTGCCGCCATGTTTTTTTTCTCCCCGAAACTTGTGTGTATTCGTTTCAGCGTGTCTTGTCGAAAGAGTTGATAACTCCAAGAAAACGTTTTAATTACTAAAAAATTAGTTTTCATTTCATCGTGAAGTATCTAGTTGAATCCGTTAGTGATTCACCGTTAACAAGCAATACGCACTTCGTGAGATAGTTAGAATCTAAAATTAACGTTTTAAAATAACGAAAAAAGCCCAAACAACTCACATCATGTTCCATCTTGACCATCCTCGATGACGATGATCTCCGTTCGCTATCGTAAGATCTCCTCGTTGCGATGCTTTATTCACCTTATAGGGTGAATGAAAAAAAATAACTCGAGGATCTAACGTTGATACCCGTACAACTGCTGCTACACGACTGGTGCTGCGAGCAGTTCGCACTTTCACAGTATTTAACGTTCGCTCACTCACACACAAACTTTGCTGGCCGGAGGGGGGCAACGTTCCATATATGTGTGTCTGTGTGTGTAAGTATGTGTTGGGATACAAACATTCAGGCTCAGATCGATAGTCGCTGCCGTTGGCTCTGGGCAGTGCTGCTTCGCGGAAGTGGGAATACAAGAGTCGTGACGGCGTGGCGCTGCGCGCGTAATTTCGAATGAAAGAGACACAAGTCGATGTGATCTTACATCATATCTTCTTTTTATTATCAAATGAATATTATACAAATTGGTACATTTACTTAGGAAATGTTCTTTTTTATTAACTGAAAAATTAGCAAAATCAGTCTTGTGAGAAAAAGTATAAATGCAAAATGTTTTACAGTTAACATTCATAAATATCACCTATAATATTAAGCATTGTGCGCTCGGAATAAAATTAATGTTTTATAAATAATTATTATTTTTTCTTTTTAATAAAAAATTTCAAGTCTACACCTCAACAATATATGAAAAAGGCAATTCAGAAAGTTCATTTTGGTGCTCATTTACACACGCTTTTATATCGTACAGTTTTTTTTTCTTCCGAAATTTTTTTTTAATAAATACTTCTATTAACTTGTACTTTACAAGCCTTCTCTAAAGAGTTTCAATGAATTCAGAACTACGTTCGAAAGTCTTACTAGATTTTTATCGATTTTTTGCGTGGTCAGTCTACCACTATAGCTACACAATAATACTTATCTATATAAATTACTGATTATTTATTTTTAGTATTAATAAAAAAAGACACACCAAATATATCTTACGTAGATTACAATGTTATTCATGAAATAATGAGATCACTATTCAAAAAAAGATTATACTGTAAAGTTATAAATCTTATTCGAATGGCTTAAGTATTTAACAAATACAATGAAAATAGGATTCTGATATCGTGTGCTCGCTTACTAGGAATGAAAGAATTGATAAAGCATTTATATCTTAGTAATACAAAGTATCACTCATCTCAAAAGAAAATCTAACAACAATAAAATAAAATATATAAAAAAATTAGTTGTCTCACGGACAAAAATAACAAAATTTCCTTTCCATACAAAAAACTAGAAGTACAAAATAATCTTAAAAATTTGTACGATCACTTTCATATCACAAAAACGTTTCCTCTCACGCCACCTGACTATCTTTGCGTACGCAGGCAGCGATGAAAAAGTATATATAAATAATACCAAACGAAAACGGCAGCTTCATTGTACAAAACGTGCTTAAAATTCGTTACAAAAAACGCGTTCCCAAGTACTTTTTCTCTCTCATAAATTGTGCGCATCTTTGGAAGGAGAAATAAAAACAAAAAGATTATTCTTCCACTTCCATGAGCCTTGGCTTCAGAGACTCGGCAGTTCTGCGTCTCCAGTGCTGCGGCACGTCGCCGCCCTTGCTCTGAGACGAAATGATCGCCACCACCCCCTGCTCAAGCTCGAGCTCTTGGCTGTGAATGCTGCTCGCGTCTTCCCTGTCGTCGCTGTTGTATTGCCTGTAATTTTTTTCCAATTATTAGGTGACAACGACACAGAATCATTAGGGCAATCTATTGTACGAGGTAAACACGCACTCATTATCGGCCAACTCGGTGTGAATGAAGTTCGTGGGCGAGTTGCTGTGATCGGCTATACCGATGCGTTCCTCGATCTTGCGATTGATCTCGGCTACTTCCTCGAGTGGTATGGGCTTCAAACCGTCGTCGTCGTATCTCTCGATGATCAGCGGTGCTTTTTTCTAACATTACAAAGTATCGTTTTAATTTTATGCTATAAGATGAATTTATTTAAATAACGTACAATTGTAGATGGCAGTATCGTAGTGACCGACGGCAACTTTTTCGGTCTACCCCTGGGCCTCTTGACGATCACGGCTACCTCGTTTTCCGTCATGAAATTTTCTATCTTCGCGTCTTTGACCAGCTCGGCGAGACTTTCGGCGTCGTTGGAAATTATCTGTCCCTGGCAGTCGGCAGTGCTGATCACGTTGTTGGTACTCAAGACGTTGGTGACCAATTGGGGATGATTGAATTGCAAGTGCATGACGAAATCTTCGGTGCGCGAGAAGCGCTCCTCGCAATGATCGCAAGCTAATACCTTATCACCTTTAAAAAGTTACAAAGAAAAGGTAAAAAAAGAGTCAAAATTCACCTAGCCACACCAAGATCGATGAATGTTTAGTGTATACTCTCTGAGTTGAAGCTTTGAAAAAAAAGTCATTAAAAAAATTACCAAAGTGCGTCGTGACGTGTCGCTGAAGCTCAAATCTGGTGAGAAAAAAGCGATCGCATTGCTCGCAGCCGAAGGGCCGCGCCTGACCGTGAACTCTCATGTGACGATGCAAGAAAAATTTTGTGCGAAACTTTTTCGGGCATTTTGCGCATTTAAACCATTCGGTGGCTTTAAATTGAAATGAAAAAAATTGAACATTGATGTGTGAAGACAGAAGCATGAAACACACACACACACACGTGATAATACAATAAAAAAAAAGAAAAGAAAATGAATCAAGTTATGTACTCACACGTGTGCCTTTCCTCGTGTCGTTTGCGATTGTGCTCGAAGGTGTAAACCGACGGGCAGTATCGGCAGCGAAATCGCTCCTTCTTGTGAACCGTCAGGTGGATCTTTAAATTATCTTTCGAATTGAATAGCTTACCGCAATCGTCGCACTCGATATCGTACTCCTCTGTAATCAACCATTGCGCATTACAATCAAATAATATAAGTCTTATTGCGAATCGAAACAATAATTTCTCGTACCCTTGTGACACATCAGGTGGCGATTGAGCTTTCCCTTGGTCCTGAAGCCCTTCTTGCATTGGTCGCATTTGAAGGGTCGATCGCCCGTGTGGCCGCGATAATGATACAGGTAGTGCTGCTTGGCGGCGAACTCGCGATCGCACTTGTCGCACTTGTACTTGAGACTCGGCGGCTCCTGGCCCGCCACCTTCGAGCACACGCCGTGATAGATCTTGCTGTTGTAGCGGCCGAAGGTCCGATCGCAGCCCTGGCACTTGTAGCGACCGTCGGCCTGCTCGACGATGTGACTCCAGTCCCGACGCGGACGACCTCGTGGACGTTTGGCTTTTGGCGGCGGCGGCGGCTGCTTGGCTATGGGTACCTTGGTGCCGTTCTCGTCGATGTTGTACTTCCGAGGACGACCTCGCTTACGGACGATTGGCGCCGTTTGAGGGGCTGCTGTCGATGACTCCGGTGTATTTTGTACTTTGGATTTTGCATTCGTGTCTTCCGTCGAGCCGTTGGTTTCCGGTTTTTCATTTGCATTCGTGCTAGAGTCATCGGCATCCGAACCGTCGAGTTTCAACTTCATATCTTCTTCCTCGACAATTTCGTTTTCTTTCGCGTCATCATTGTTGCTGTTTTGTTCCTTATCATCACCGGTCCGTGCTTCATGCGATACTTTTTCAGAGCTTTCATTTACAATTGACTGCTTTACACCATCCTTTTTCAAAATCTGGCTGTATATTACCTCGTTTTTTCTCGGTCTTCCTCTCTTACGTTTCACGATAACGTTCGAATCCATTTCCACTCTTATTTTCCTCGGTCTACCTCGTTTTCTCTTCACGACTGGCTCATTTTCTTTTCCGTTGGACAACTCAGTGGTCGTTTGACTTTCCTCCGAGCTGAAAGAATCCATTCTATATCTGCTCGATTTGTTGTACTGTCTAACGATATCCCTCGTATTTAATTCGGCCCCCTCGTAAAGCAATACTTTCGGTTTACGATTTCTACCACCTCGTCTTACATTTTCCTGCTGTGAGTCGAACGGAATCTCTTCTTTTGTATTTTCTTTTGCTGTATCTTCGGTCACTGTTTTTTCTTTTTTGGTATTCTCTTTATTTTCTTCATTGGTTTTGGTCGAGTCATCGCAGTCCGATTTTTCACTCGAGCCGTTCTGTTGCTCGGAATTTTCCATTTCATTGATGTAAGATGCAACCGATGCAAGGCCCAACAAACCTGTTGCATCTCTATTACTATCTTGAATGGGTTTCTCAGCTGAATCAGGAGTTGAATCTTTAAGCTTTTCAGTTATTACTTTTTGTTGATGATTGGATGACACTGATTTGCCATTGTTGGTTGGTGTTAGCTTCTTTTCATTTGTACTGTTGGCGGGCTTAGGCTGTATAAGAGGGTAATTGGAAATTATAATATCAGACTTAATTTTAATTTCTTTTGAAATTTTTCTATCTACAGTCTTTGTTTTATAGCCATTAGACTTCTTGTTTTTTAGATTAGCTTTATGCTTGAGTAGGGATTTTTTATACTTCTTAGTTCGTTTATCGATAAAATCTTTTTCCTTTGGCTTCTTTTTATTGAATAACAAAAAATCTGATAAATCAGCTTCTGGATCGGCAGTTTGTTCATTTTTTTTAGAACCCTCGACAGTAAGGTTGTTGATAATATTAGTGGGATTTATAAACAAATTTTGTCCCTGAGTTGATTCTGGTAATTTTATAGGTATTAAGCCAGGTGCAACATTTTTATTTTGATTGTTGACAATTCTCAACAAAATAATCCTGCACGATGGACCAACACCAACTGGTTTTGGTAAATTATTTATTAACTGAGACATGGCATTTTTATTTTGATTAATATTTGGTGACATTTGTATAGTATCTGAAAATAATTATGGATCAGATTATATGAACTTATATTTAATGTTGCATATTAATTTACCTTTTAAATTAAGACATGTACTATTTGTGTTGGTGCTAGATTTTATATCTGTATCAATTGCAGTACCATTTATATGGCCATTGAAACTTGGAGTTACATTAATAGCAATGTTGTTTTCATTACTGATGGCACTGTCATTTATTTGGCTTTCATTGACATTGTAGTTTATGGTACTTGTTACATGGCCATTTTGTAAATTGTCTAAATCATTTATCACAGGTTCTTTGTCGACAGGTGTTAAGAAATCATCTGCAATGTATTTAAAAAAAAATCAATATCAATAAGTTTTTATCAATGAAAAATATTATCAACAACTATACCTTTAGGCAATTGTTGCTTGTCTGTATTATCAAAATCAAAATCAATCCCAGCAAAGTCTGTATTATCATTCTGACTACTCTCTACCTCCTCCTGAGTCAATTCCAGTCTGTCATCAAAAATAGAGTCTCCGTATATATTGTTGTCGTTCAGTTTATCCTCAATCAGCTGCGGTGCACAGTTTTGCTCATCAAAATCATTTGTCATGTTACTCTCAGGAACTGAATAATCTACCAACAAAAGTAGTTAATTAATTAATTTGAACTCGTCGCTTCTTTTGCAAGCAGAATCAAACAAAAACTCACCGAAATTGCCAATCGCCTCGATCTTGCTGTTCTCCTCCTCCTGCTTCTTTTCGTTTTGGCAAATGGTGCAGCCGTGCTCCTCCTTCAGCAGACAGATCCGACACTTCATGTGGCCGCACTCGTCCCTGATCAACCTGGCGCTGGCTTTGCTGGTGGTCTGGCCGCATAGCGGACAGGCACTGATCGCCGAATTGCCGTCCGGGAAGGCGAGGGTGGCCTGATTCCCGTTGTCGATGAAGTACTCCGTCATTTTTTCCGTGCATATATCATCGTTCGTTAACATAATTACTATCGGCGCCTCCTCCGTCGAGAGTTCGAGTTCAGCTCATGTTGCGATAGGAAGAAAAGCGGGCACCCTGATCACGGCATATTATAATCGAACTGTCATGGAAAACCTCGGCATCGCCGGTGCAATGTGAGTCATTGGCCGTGTAACGACGACCCATGTAAACAATTCACATAGCGCACAACACACGGTATACAAATCTGGAGTATCGGCCGAAGCCACCCTTTATCACGGTGCGCCTGACGTTGAATCGATATAGATACCAAGTTCTAAACAACAACACAAAGACAGGCGTCGGAATCACACGTCACAGTCGAGCAAAACTGCCCTTGTACCATACGAAAACACATCATCCCTCGACTGTTACAGCACTCGGGGGCAGCATTAGTCATAATACATTACGTATTGTCTGCATCATACATGCCGTTGGTATATTAAAAAATAAACACATTCACGACGGGGAGGGAAGCGCGCCAGTGGTGGCGGATACGAGACTAGCGGCGCGGCCGAACTTTGGCAAGATGTCAAGCAGCTATACTACTACTGCTGCTGCTGCTGCTGCACTCAAACACATCCAGGCCCGCTTGCAATGACTTTACCGGTAGAGCTTGAATCTGTATACTACCAAAAATATATATAGCAGCTCTACAGCATGAGGTTATATTATGAAAGCTCGACTTCGAGAGAAAATTACTGTCTGCTAGCATCAATCCATTGTTGCAGCTATCATCTGAGTTGACGTTTCGTTGCAGTTTTTGCGAGGAGTGTTTACTTATACAGCGAGTGACATGACTGGACCATTGCGACAAGAGGTGAAAATCGTTGACAATTTTTGTATACAGAGATCTATCATACACCTCATGCAATTGTTTTCATTTTTGCTTTCGTTGTTGTGTGTTTACAGGCACTCAGAGTGTTCAAACAATTGCACAAGACAAGGCTGAGTGTCTTTCAAGGGGATGAGTATGCCTTAAATTGTAAGCAATCGACTTTTTGAAAGTACTCATTTATTTGAGTAAAGCTTAAGAAGTTGTTTTCTTTTTCATTTCAGTTATGAGGAACAAAATAAATGAGGAATACAGAAAAAATAAGAATGTCACTGATGAAGGAGCAATACAGGAGGTAAATTGTAGATTAATTTATTATTCAATAATTTAAGTATTTTACATTGATTTCTTCTACTTTTCAGCTGTTAAAATTTGCCAAAGAGGTTGACAAGGAAGTCAGAACAACTGTTGTGCAAGCCGTTGAAAAGAAACCTGGAGTTTTTGGTAAATAATTGCTTATAAGCACACATTTTTCAATATCATAAACGATTACTTTACTCGATCATTACTATTTCAGAGGTAAAAATCTCACCTGACACTGCATTACACGATAATGTGCCTTTTGGTCAAACAGTGGATAAAAAGCAATTCAGAGGATGGCAAAAGTGTTGCTCAGAGCCAACGACAAAGAAGTAGGTTCACAAAGAGCAGAGCCACCAATGTTGTGTAATATATGTAAATTATTGCAAGACTAAGTGCATCATTTAGTCAACGATCTATCCATACATAGATTACTAGATAATTATAATCGTTATATAAGGAACCACATGCAGCAGTTAACAGATAATAAAGAGAAAAATTTGATTTTCAACGCACTGTTTTATTTACAAGATCTTTTCTTTACAGCGTTTTTATGTGTTAGTAAATCCTTATAAGTTAATTATTCTTTCATTAAATTTTCAGTTATTATTGTATTTATTTTGCGTTTTGTCACAACGTACAACGCAATTACATACGGTTATTAATATCACATTTTTTTTTAATAAAAACACCCTCTTCGCCACAGGCAGGAATGGAAATACTAATCCTGAGTGATTGGAGCGCCCTCGACAGCCTCCACACAGCTTCGAGTCGTTAAGTTTTATAAACTCGAGTGTTTACTTAGTCATCACCTCGTTACTGCTTCACTGCTTTCTGCAAATGTGCAATCGTGCGTAAAAAAAGACGTGTGAGTATATTCAGCGATGCGTGACAATTTTTTTTCTCATTTCACATGAAACAAGCCAAAGGTAGTCTACGTTTTAATATCGGTATATTTATGGCAGGATTGATTTCAAATAATAAAAAAGACCAAAGATTTTCGAGTCAGCAAAAGTGCAACAGCAAGTATATTTAGAAATATATTTTCGAGATATACTCGTTTGGTGGTTTGTTTGTACATAATCAGAGAAGTTATAAATAAATATGCCAAATTGCTCCGGAGACTACTATATTATCGTTTAACTACCTTCGACCGAGTTTCGCTGAGAAAAGAGAGAGAGAGAGAGAGAGGCAATGAAAAAGTATAATAATAGACAATAGTTAGTAAAATATGATGGAATGTTACTTTTTTGTTTCTGTAGATTCTGTGAAGCGCATTTGTGTGTACGTAAATGTTTCTTTTTTCTTTTTCTTTTTCTTTTTCTTTTTTTTTTCAGTAAAATGAGGAATGTTCCGACATACACGATGAGAGCGACATATGGCACTTGATTCACAGATACGTATTCCGAAGCGTGTATCTATAGAGTAGCGAAAAATGAAAAAAAAAAAATATATATATCAATCAAGCTTGAATTGAAAAATAAAAATAATAAGTCTAAGAGTCGATCTGTTCATGGATTCACGGATGACGATTCGGCGTGAAACGGACGACCGAGATTGAAGTGAATCCTGAGCTTGAGCTTGATGCGATCGGGCTCGTAGGCACCAACGCCAAATAAGTCGCCGACACCGCTCTTGCCCAGCGCAAAGTCCTTCCAAATATCGTCGTCCGCGCAACCGGTAATCGTGCTTCTTTTATTATCGTTATCGGTAGTTACGCACGCGTGCTCGGGATGATTGCGAATCTGGTCGATGAGATCCTGGGGCTTGAGCTGCTGCGTGCAGATGCGATGGACCGCCGTGAACAGGGGGAACTTGTCCTCGGAATTGCAGCCCTTGAGCATGCCGTTGACCTCCTCGGCCGTAGCCGGGCCCTGGAGCTTCTGGCCGTTGAGCATCTCGTTCTCGAGCTCCTTGATGGTCTGTTTTTGAGAGAGCACGTAAGGATCAATAGTTTGATATTCCCATTGTATATACGCGAGATTGTTATTTACCTTGCCGGTTTTGACGAAAGCTTCGGAGACCTTGCGATTTCTGCCACCGTAGCAGGTGGTGATGAGATCGGCCACGCCGCAGCTCTCGAAGAAGGTCGAGATCTTGGAACCGCCGTGGAACTGGTCGACGTAGCGCACCATCTCCATGAGGCCCAGCCGAATGACGGCGGCCTTGGTGTTGTCGCCGAGGCCGAGGCCGTCGACGAAGCCGGCCGCGCAGGCGACGATGTTCTTGAGCGCGCCGCAGACCTCCACGGCCTCGGTGTCCTCCACTACGGTCACGCGGAAATTGGGCGTCTGCATGCAGTCCTTCATGATGGCGCCCATGATCTTGTCCTTGCAGCCGATCGTCGTCTCGCAGAAGTGCTCTTCGGCCACCTCGTTGGCCAGATTGGCGCCCATCAGCACGGAGCACGGGATCTTGAGCTGCTCCTCGACGATCTTCGAGATCAGTTTGATCTTGGTGCCCTCGCCCTGGGCGAAACCCTTGATGAGCGAGAGGCCGACCGCGGATGGCTTGATCTTGCCGAGCATGGCGGCGCACAGGCCCGGGATGAACTGGTGGGGCACGACGAAGATGAGGATGTCGGCGTCCTTGGCGGCCTCGACCACGTCGGGCACGGCGACCTGCGTTGCGGAAAACGATCGCAGGGATTACGACACGCGAGCCGATGCATGTTTGTTTACTCTAATGAATTTGCTCTTTCTCTCTCTCTCTCTCTCGGTTTGTAAAGCAGGTGCGGGAGATTGCGTAAACATCTATTGGATAAACGCGCGAGACAAAATAAGACAACCGATAACGCGCAGTTTAACTCGACTCTTTAGCTACGTACATAAACTGCTTATAAGCAGATCGTTAATAAGAGGCTCATCTCTTTGCATAGATGTTAATGAGATTTCTCAAAGTGTTCTGTTTTATTGAGCACTTCGCGCGGATGAATCAACATCGCGTCGCGTTGAATCACGCCGACTATAAGTTTTGAATTTTCGATTCCGCTAGAGAGATCTCGCGTGTAATTGCAGGCCGATAAAATAATTCGCGCTCGATTGCGTGCGGTGAACGTATACAATTGCCAACGTGTTCGAGCGAGTCCCCCCCTTTTATACGAGCGACGCGACGACGACGACGACGACGATTGCATTGCGCGATGCCCGGTAATGTCGCCGCGCACTCCCCATACTACCATTAAAGGTAAAACCGATCGCGGTGCGCTGGGCTTTTAACTCGGTTCGGCTCGGCTCCAGCGAGTCAGTTGGTCTTTGAACGATCGACGCGGCGGTGGCACGCACCTGTGTGTACTTTCGCACTTTGTCTCGTATTTTTCTGTCCTCTGCGTTTCGACTCGTTTCTTTGGTTCTTCATTGCGTACTGCGAAAGTCTCGATATACAGTCATGAGGTTGAACTCCGTTTTGCCGAATTTCCAAGCCGACTCGACCAAGGGCCCGATCGACTTTTACGAGTGGCAGGGCGATTCGTGAGTACCGTATACTCTATATAATTATTTTTCCTAATAATTTCTATCCGATCGATCGATTGGTGAATAAAAAAAAAATGTCATACACGCCATGCGTAATGTACAGAAAATTCCAATGCGTCAACGAGTTAATATTGCGTTATGTATCATCATGCACGTCGAGTGAAAGATTCTTGGCGTAACGCCCGCGAGCCATTCGAGATTGCATGCAAACAATCCTAATCACTCTCGAGTCGCTTCTTCATTTTTTTTTCTTTTTTTTTTTCATCGATATACAGATGGATCGTGTTGTTCTCTCATCCTGCCGATTTTACGCCCGTGTGCACCACCGAACTCGGCCGATTGGCCGTGCATCAGCCGCACTTCGAGAAGCGAAATACGAAATTGCTCGCGCTGTCGGTCGACAAACTCGACGATCACGTCGACTGGGTGAACGTGAGTAAAATCGAATATAGTCGTCGCGATAGAATAGTTTGTAAATCGATCATTGATATCGTATAGGACATCAAATCCTACTGTCCCGACATACCCGGCGACTTTCCGTATCCGATCGTGGCCGATCCCGAGCGCAAATTGGCCGTCGAGCTCGGTATGATCGACGAGGAGGGCCGCAACGATCCCAGCCAGGCTTACACCATCAGGGCGCTGTACGTCGTCAGTCCGGATCATCGGCTCAGACTGTCCATGCATTATCCCACCTCGACGGGTCGCAATGTCGAGTAGGTGTTTTTTTTTTTATATATATAGCGAAACAATCGAACGGAAATGCACATGTGGGTAATATGATTTTTCTCTTCCAGCGAAATATTGAGAGTCATCGATTCGTTGCAGCTGGTCGATCGCAAGCCCGAGATCGTTACACCCGCAAACTGGACCGTAAGTTCATCGTATTTTTTTGTATTTTTTCTCGATCCTATTTGGTCTTTATGGAGGTTTGATTTTTTTTTTCGTTGTTATTGCAGCCCGGAGATAAAGTCATGATCGTTCCGAGCGTCAAGGAGGAGGACATACCGGCTCTGTTCCCCAACGGGATCGATCGGGTCACCATGCCGTCCGGTAAAAATTACGTCCGCACGACCACCGATTATTGATTTCCATTGTCGCACTATTTTTTACTTCTATACACCTTTACGATATTTTGTTACGCATAAACACGAGAGAGAGAAAAAAAATAAAGAGCCTCAGAGTTTTAACGCATATAATGTTGTTGTTTGTATCCTTACGATGGTAGCTGGCAGCTTGTGTCCGGGCAGGTACTTGACGTTCTCGTGCTGCTCGTTGATGATCTCCGTGAGCTTCTTGCCGTTGACCATCTCCTCGTACACGTACATGGTGACCTTGTCCTCGAACTTGTCGCTGTGCTTCGTCACGTTGGCGCCGACGATTTTGGCGATTGCCGAGCCCCTATTATTTTTTTCGCACACATTTTCAACGATACAAAAATTACAATCGAGTTTCTTTATTTACAATCGAAACGCATCGTGTGTCACGCGCGTTTGTATCGATGTACGTTGGTTCGTGTGTGTGTCTGTGTGCGTGCTCGTTACGTGATTGCGTTCGTGTGTACCGTTCAGAGACGCGTGTCTCGTTGCGCTCACACCTTTGCGTGCGCGAAAATTAATTTACTCACATATTTCCACTGCCGATAATGCCTATGCGTTTACGTTGTGACTTTTTGCTCATTTTTATTTTTTCCTTTTTTTTTTTGTTACTTCTTAATTTTTCAAAATTTTGATATTTACCAAAACGTTAACCAAATTATTGTTTTTCCGACACGTCACGCGCCCTTATACGTGTACATAGTCGTTTGTTTTTGTTTGTGATCCTTAATTATTACAACAAAATCGTGAATGCCATACCAGTTGCCGCTTCCGACGATACAGATCTTTGTCTTAGCCATGTTGAAGAATGAAAAAGCTCGACGTAGGTAACTTATCTGCAATTAACAAACACCGCAGGATATTTTTTCTATATTTTTTCAATTTAAAGCTCAATGATGATAAATAACAAATTTATCTTGATTTTAGATGTAAATTTACAAGGTGTAGCACTGAGAACAGATGAGAAAATAAAACGCGATTAGAGCTAGACGGAGGAGAGATCGTTTGAAGGTCTTCGAGCGCGAGCGAGATAAGACTTGGCGAGGTGTACCACAAATCACTCCGCCTTTAATACTCGCGTCACTCGTGTGTGCGTCGAATTCAAATTTCAAATTACTTTATATGCGATTCGAGACGATAAAAGAGAAGAAAATTAATAATAAAGAAGAAACCACACACTCGATTACGAATCAACGGCACTTAATTGTCGCACTTGGAATTGACACTTTGATCGGAGATGCAAGAGAAAATTTTTGCAGAGTCTCGCTTACTTTCGTTGGGTTGTGATGCTGCGGCGCGAATGTGACTTGCGACTAGCAGGTATCGGAGCTTTAAGTTATTACGAACGAGTTGCACCTCTCCAACTTTTCTTACCTATGCTGCTCTTTTTGCCTGCCTGACTCTGGGGTGGTAGTGGTGGTGGGAAAATATCACATATAATATAATATAACCGAGACCTTTGGCTTGACGCGATATTTGGCCGATCGTCAAGGATGTCACTCTCGCGTGTATACGACCAATTTTTACTACCTGCTGCTGCTGCTGCTGCTGCAGTTCTGATGCGCGTTATTATTAGAGCGGAAGGCCTAACGAGTTATAAAACGATTGGGATGACGCCTTTTTTTTCTTCCGGGCTCTGCGTGGCGAGAAATTTACACTTACCTTTCTTCGCATCATGACGATGGGGCAGCTCTGCGAGCGAGCGACAATAGAGACATTTTAGTACACGCACACACACAATTGGGCCATAATAATAATTTTCCAATTTTAAGCTCTCTCTCTCGAGGTACGTTTGTCAACGCGCGCGCGCCGCTGCGGCATCGTTACGTAATTACGTAACGCGAGAGCTTCGTTCGTGAAAATATCTCGCATTTTTCTTCGGAGAGTTCGCTAGCCCACGGTACACAGATGCTATGTGACAATACAGGATTGATCGATGCCAATTGATTGTCAGAGCTTAACCCTGAAGAGTATATGCACACACAAAAAGACTCCTTTATACATAGGCTCGCATTCGATGCATAATCAATTCTTTGTTGTCAGTCAATGCGATCGACTTAACTTCCTTTTTCCGAATGGGTTCGATAATAACAGATTCCACTCACGTGCGTTTATATACGAAACGTAACTATAGTTATTTTTTATTCTTTTTTTCATACATTCGCTCGTTTCAAACAAAAGGTATATTCATATTTATAAATGCCAACCATAATAATATCATTGTTTATAATGTAAATAATAACTCATTTTATCACAATTTCCGTAAGAACTCGTTAAAAAAAAGCGTCAAAACAAATGTATAAATTGATAATCTACGGATGAACCAGACCTTACATATCGTCTAGTATTATTTATAAATATATTTCTATAAATTCTCTTTTTCAAAAAATAAAAATCGTCTACAAACAGGTATTACACCAAACAAGAAAAAAAAACTTAAAAAAATTAATCACTGATCCCCACATATCACTCACACACGCACTCGAAGTGAGTTGCATTTACACGGTATGTACATAATCAATCGTGTTTACAACAACAATAATGTCGACGGAATTCATAATAAGGATCGTAATAAACGTAATATCGCATATACATCGGTGTGAATGTTGCAAAAATGACTGTAGACTTTGGCATGAGATTAAAAATTAAGGAAACGAATAATGGCTCGTATTATGATCGTGATGATAACAATAGCGATGGTGTTATATGGTGGTGGTGGTGGTGGTGTGCGATGAAATGCGTGCATTCCAGTAATTTGATGATTAATATTGCATGCGTGGTCCCGTCTGCGTTTTCAACTCCTCAAAGATGACACCTCGGCGAGTTGGCCTGCTTGTTCTCGTACGACGCGTCGGTGTCTTCCCTAAAAAACATTGCCCAAATTTATGATGCATGAGAAAAAATAAAAATAAAAATAAAATAACATCTTTTAAATTATAATAATTTAGTTTGCATAAAAAATGCGCATGAGTAAGCTGATAATGATGTTAGCTGATTGGTGCGAAGATAGCGTGCAAGGTTTGCTCTTCTTTTTTCATATAGTTTTTAAAAAACCAGTAATATAGTATCAACAAATAATCATATATTTTCTCATTAAACTTTCATTTAGTATACATTACGTATTCATGAGCTTGTACCATCGATAAGTGTCACAAAATCCCTTCTGCATCCTGCATAATCTATATAAATTCATGTTTTTTGTCTATATCTTACGTTAAATATTGAAAACCAAATCAGGATTCAGCACCGTATAACTACTTATAAAGTTTCATCATTTTTGTCGGACCTTGCAAAATTTTTCATCGTCAGCTCTCATGAGTGCACAAGATATCATTATTTTTAATCTATATCAAAGAATATTTGGCTACTTTTAGAAGCCTACATTGTCTAACGTGCACGTGCTTTTTTTCTACTTAGTAAAAGATTAGAACGCGAACGTGTGAACAACATTCGGAGAGTTTTTAGTTTTATCTTCAATTGCATTGAAATGCATGTGTTGAATTGAATGAAATTTGATTTTACATTCAGTTTCAAATTGCAGTTACAAAATAATACAGTAACCATATGTACAAATGTATACAAACTTTACACAAGCTATTTTCGGTAAGTTAACAATCAAGATTGATAAAAGCAATAATTTGTAGGAAGAGAAAAAAACTCGTGATTAATCACTAATCTATCAAGCACCTTTTTTAAGTTTGAAATCAGAACAGAAATTCGTCATAGATTATAGCTGACGTCAGTTAATCGTATATCTAATGGAAAGAAAATCTCATTTACGCGACACGCTGGTATCGCGGCATATTTCGTTATAATCATAATAATAATAATTAATAATTCATAAGAATGAATTTGTCGGTAAGATAGAGAGCAGCTATTTGTCTTTCTCTATTTTTTGTTTGTCTCTTACATGTGCTCGGGATGATTGCGTATGCAGTCGATGAAATCGGCCGGTTTCAGCTCGCCCACGCAGATCCGATGTACGGTCGTGAACAGGGGGAAGCGCGCCTCCATGCTCTTGGCGCGCAGCATGTAGTTGACCTCCTCGGCGGTGATGGGTCCCTGCAGCTTCTGTCCGTTCAGCATCTCCTTCTCGAGCTCCTCGATCGTCTTGCCGGTTTTGACGAAGGCCTCGGACACCCTGCGATTGCGTCCGCCGTAGCAGGTGGTGATGAGGTCGGCCACGCCGCAGCTCTCGAAGAAGGTGTTGATCTTGCCGCCCGGGAAGAAGACGTCGACGAACTTGATCATCTCCATGAGGCCGAGACGGATGACGGCGGCCTTGGTGTTGTCGCCGAGGCCGAGGCCGTCCACGAAGCCGGCGCCGCAGGCCACGATGTTCTATACATTACACGAGCAAGAAAATAATTACTTTCGTACTTTTCTTTCTTTTTGCGGTATTGAGATGTGTATCTGCGTACCTTGAGGGCACCGCAGCACTCGACGGAATCGACATCCTTGACAACGACGACGCGGAAGTCGCGGGTCTGCAGGAGATCTCGCAGGATCGGTCCTTGTACTTCATCGGTGCAGCCTGTGGGACAAAAAATTTTCCATACATTATTCCATATACAGTCGTGCATAGAGGCACAAGAGCAACGGAATAACTCTTGCTTCCTATCGGCGCGGCTTGATTACGTCAAAGTCACGCGCGCCCCGAGATAAAAGACTAATTCTTTGCGACGTTGTGCATACTGCACACACGTGGACTTGTAGTACGCCTATAACACGAGCGTCGAATAACTTGTGCAGCTTCTCTCGCGTGCACGATTATGCAATGTCGCGGCGTGGCGTGGCGAGAGAGTCTCGTATGTCTCGTTTGTTTATCGTTATCAATTTTTTTTTTCGTTCTTTCTTTATTTTCGGTATATGAAATAAACAACTTACCGATGGTGGTCTCGCAGAACATCTCGTCGGCGACTTCGGACGCGAGATTGGCACCCATGAGCACGGCCATGGGTATTTGCAATTCTCGCGAGATAATGTGAGAGATGAGCTCGATGCCGCCGCCTTCCTTCTTGTCGAAGCCCTGAATAGCAATAAAGAGAGATAAGTCGTGTTAAAGCAAAAAACTGCTTCGTCTCGATGATTAATGTATTTTGTTTTTCCTTTTTAAATTTAATAAAAATTACCTTAATGAGCGAGATACCGATGACATTTGGCTTGAGCTTGCCCAGCAGCGTGCTGCATATTCTGCGTATGAATTGATGAGGCACGACGAAGATGAGAATGTCGGCGTCTTTGGCCGCCTCCACGACGTCTGGTACGGCGACCTTGATCGAGAGAAAGAAAAAAAAAGTTAACGATGAGACGATATTTTTTTCGGCTTTAATTTATTTTATTTCATTTCGCTTTATTTTTTAAGCTACATCACGCTGACGTCGTAGTCTGCGGTTTTTAATCAGAGTCGATAGGCTTAAAAAAAATTCGCGAAACGAAAGCATGATTTGTTTGTTATGTAGGAACGAGCGAGCAAAATCGACGTGCCGTTGAGGTCGTTTAACTCGTCGTTTTCACGGCACAAGAAGTGAGACATAATATTAGCATTATTCATATCATCGGAGTATACAATACAATACAGCAACGGTGTTTGTACATAATAAACAAAAAAAAAAAATGAGCAAAAAACGCGAGCACACTTATTTGTTGATTCTTTTTTTCATCTTTATACACGTTTTTATAATTCTCTCAGGATTAACCATTCTCTTCTATTAAGTGCATCATCGTGTAAATCACGCGCTCGACCGCAAACCATGATAATTGCAACGACGAGCGCTCAAATTTGCGCAACACATGATAATAAACATTTTTTTTCCGTTCACGGCTCGTCCGATTACACATAATTCGTAGGAAAAAGAAAATTTTTTTAACGCGAATGCAATTTCATCGGCGTCGAAGCGCGCGCGCGAAATTCCATTCTCTCCGCGCTTACGCTCTCCTACTCCGCACGGAAAATTCAAGGTCACGGCTAAACCTCGCTGCAATAATATACCTGCCTCAAGTCCAAGGTAAAGCGAGGTATAGAAAAAGGATCGTTGCAGGTGACGCGCGAGCTCGCTCGCAATTTGAATAAACTCTCTCGCTCGTATCTATCTATATGTACGTTATCGCGCACGCGAGAGCTTCGATGACGTCGCGAATTATGATGAATGAAAAAAAAAAAAAAAAAAAATGATAATTGATCGTCCTTTTTTTTCATTTCATTGTTGCGATTTAACTTACGACGTTCTCGGGTAACTTGTGTCCGGGCAGGTACTTGACGTTCTCGTGCTGCTCGTTGATGATCTCCGTGAGCTTCTTGCCGTCGATCATCTCCTCGTAGACGTACATGGTGACGCGATCCTCGAACTTGTCGTCGGCCGCGGCATTCTTGCCCACGATTTTGGCGATCGCCGAGCCCCTATAATATAATGGTCATGGAAATTGTCATGGAAGAATCATCGTGAATTTGCTATATTTCGCTGGGCCTGAGCTTGCGGCGATCTGTATCTGTGTACATTTGTATGTATAACTATATATACATATTGTGTAGGATGGCTGCAGAGAGGAAGAGAGAGAGAAAGAGGTGTAAGGTCAGGGACGCAGCCTTCAGCCGCAATGTTAAAAGCACCAGTGGTATATATATATATAGGAATAAAATACAGCGTTGTATCTATATCTATATAACGTCATAAGCAGCGACGCGACGCACACGTGCTTTTTTCTCCAATGCTCTCTGCGGCTCTTCTCTCATAGCAACTCCCGTGTTCGGTTAAACCGTATCCTGCATCGGTGCATATAGCACGATCGGATGCTAAGATTTATCGCCATATACGTGTACGTATTTGATTTTAAAATTAAACACACGCGTGTCTGCGTAATTACGATGTGTTCGACTGCTATCGACTCGTGTCGATTCTATTGCCACACATGCGGGTAAAAATAAAATTACCAGAAAAAAAAAAAAAAAACGTGTCAGCCATCTCTCGATGATTAGCAAATGTTTGACGATTGTATCACAAAACTCGGCCCATTCGACGTACGTTAGTGTAAGTCGAGAATTCACGAGATTGCGAATTCTTCCGCGTCACGACGAGCCTCGCGTAACATAAGATAAGCCCCGCGAGTGGCCCGCTACGACGATTCATTCGCGAAAAAAAAAAAAAAACAGTCTGGACGAAAACCGGTATCCAATGAATTTTTTATGGGAAACACGTGAGAGGACTCGTAAAAATTGCGAAACACCTACTATATGTACATTAACGACGACCGAGATAAATAGCTTTTTTTGTTATTTATTTGCTACTTATGGTGATTGTCGTCGTCTCACAGACGCGTGTGGTATAAGTATTTCAATACGCGACGAGAGAAAGAAAAAACAGCGAAGCTGCATTGCGCCTGATGCTGCTGCTGTGTATATATATCGATATACGTTATGCGTATACACGCGTAGCAGACAAACAACTTTCGAAATACCCCATGCTGGACAGCACCGATATAGATTATCATCTGTATCAATACAAATGTACACGCGCGACGAGCGATACACAGTTGTAAGGTGATTATATTTTTGTGTGTACACGAAAAGAGGCTCGTATACTCATTAAGCAGAAAAGCAGTATGTGTTTACTATACGTTGTACACACGCACGTGTGTGCGATGCGTAACGATGAGTCGGTGTTCTTTAAAAAACCAGTTTCTTATTTTTTTTTTTTTTTATTTTCATTTTCGCTCGCGACCGCTTCATCGGAATGATGTACATATATTTGACCAGTGCATATCGCTGGTCGAGTATTCACACTCGCTCCACGTTTTTTTCCTTCGTTTTGAAATATATAAAATTGAACGATTCGCGTTATCGGGTAAGCCAGCGATATGCCAATGTGATCGTATGCGAACGTGTATTCGTAAGTACCGCGAAGTTTTATAGTATGTGCGATATACAGTACTACGTACGAAGCTCGCGATTGATTTTTTCTAAAAAAGACGAGTAACTAAGGTGTACTACTATATCTAAGCGCAAGCATCGCTTGTAAGTAATGAGCACATTTTATCACCGAGGCGCGTGAGCAAGTAGATTAAAATGAAATAACAGAGAATCAAGGCGAAATTAGAGCAGACGATCGCCGATAATGCGGGGAATAATTAGATAATTAAACACGCGCGACCGACCGCCCGTCTGCCAGACGTTGTTTTTCCACTGTGGTAATAACCTAAAAGCAACGGGTGGCGAGGAGAGATTAATGGGCAAACAAAAAGAGCTTAATTTACCAATTGCCCGAGCCGATGATGCAGACGCTTTGCTTGTCGGCCATCCTGATTTACTACGGATCAAACTTGTAACGAAATTGCACTGGGCGCGAGACTTTCGCACGGATTTCGTTGGTATTACGACGGATAGAGTGTTTATAAAACGTCCAGAGCAGTGAGCAGAGGCCTCGTCGCAATTTTGTGCACGCGATTCTCGTGGTGTGCCAACGACGACTGACGCGCAGCTGCGAAACGACACAACAACGACGGCAAAGCGCGCGCGAGGAGGCGAGAATCGCCGCCGTCGCCCCGCGAAGCAGCAGCGATGACTCTCGTGCGTGTGATACATCGCACGCATGTATGTGTGTGTGTGTGTGTGTGTGTGTGTGTGTGTGATAGTGTAGTTTATTCTCCAGCAGACTGCTGGCTATTTTCTGCACACACCGACCAGAAGAGTCGCGGCGGCGAGTCGGCGCGGTGGGAGCTCCGCCCTGCTATATACTGCTGAATCGTTCAAATTTTGCATTATCGATGACGATGTTGTTTGGATATAGGTGGATAAGACACACAAACGATTTTTTGGTTGATAATACTTGTTAGATTTATTCAAATTTTCCGTATAGATGTCAAATTTTATGTTTTTCAAAAAAAAAAGAGTAAATAATCAAGACCATTTCATGTGCATACATAACGATCGTTTTACAATTCATTAATTAATCAATCGTGAACAATAATAGGGCGCAACGTATCTTATATATATTATATAATAATAATAATAATAATAATAATAATAATAATAATTTCGTTACTTCTTGGACTTTTTTATGTAAATATGTACATATACGATTTTTAAAATGTGCAAAATACAAAATCAATAGATATCGATCGATAAACGAACTTATTACATAACTTCGCATCTCTCTCTCTTTCTCTCTCTCTTATAAGCTTTGACTTAGTCTCTTCAAGTCTTCAATACTGAGATAGTGCAGGATCCTCTCGATGCACATTTCCGGCAGCGAGCCGCCGTCCGGCCTCTGCCAGCACGAGCGCAGACCGTCCTCCGCGGCGGAGTACAGCTTGGCCCGGGCGCGACCCTTGCTCAGCTGCACCCGCAGCAGACTGCCGTAGTGTCGGTAATCGGCGAGGAACGTCTCGGACTCGACCAGGCGGCAGAACTCCTCGTTCTTCGAGTGCTTGACGAGGTCGTCGTCGGACTCGAGGCGCGCCACGTCGTACAAGCTGCTGTAGACGTTGACCCGCACGGACTTCATGCGCTGGATCTCGTCGAGGCAGGCGTCGACCTGGGCGTCGATCGGCGGAAGCGGAAATCGATACGAGTACATCTTCATGAGCTCGGCGAGCCGATCCTGATTGCGCTTGGACACTTTGCGACCCAGGAGCACGAGCTTGGCGATGTGCAGCCTGATGCAGACGACGAAGCCGTTGCGCTGGTCGCGCTGTATGCGATAGCAGGCGCTGTCCAGGGGCGTGTTGCCGTACTCGTCGGTCTCGTTGATGTCGGCCCCGGCCTCGAGCAGCAGCTGCGTACCGCACAGGTAGCGATTCAAGCAGGCCCGGTGCAGCGCCGTCTGGCCGTACTGGTCCTTGGCGTGCACGTCGGCGCCGTGCTGGAGCAGAGCCAGCGCCATGTCGTCCGTGTGCATCGCCTGCTCGTTCTGGATGCCGTGGGCGTCGATCACGAGGTGCAGGGCCGTGGCGTGGCCCAACTCCTTGGCGTGCACGTCGGCGCCGTGCTCCAGCAGCATGTTCAAGAGTCTCACCGAGGTCTCCGAGTAGGCTGAGTGATAGATGAGGCTGTGCAGGGGCGAGAAATTCTTCTGCGACGAGCAGCGTATGTTGACGTCGGCCCCGTGCTCGACGAAGATCTCCGCGAGGCTGAGAAATTGATTGCGTATGGCCAGGTACAGGGGTGTCCCGTGGTCGCTCGCTATCGCGTTCACGTCGGCTCCCCGGATCAGCAGTGCTTTGGCTACCTCGACTTTGTCCTGCTCGTGAAACACCTGGTCTCCGCAGGCAAGATCGTAAAGGAGCGTTATGCCCTCTTCGTCGGCGATTCTCACGTCGGCGCCGTAACTCAAGAGCAGTTCGATCAATTTTTTACGCTTATGGATGAGATTTCGCCGAACGAACTCGTCTATCTTGAATGGATATATTTTGGCAAAGTTTTCCAGTGCGTGAAAGAATGGGGTTTTTCCTAACTTATCTTTGGTATTGACGTCGCAGCCTTTTTTCAAAAGTATCTCGGCAATTTTTACTTGCTCGTTTTGGTTTAGTATCCAGTAATTGATTTCAGCTTGACTGTGCGATTTGCTGGATGTGAGCTTGCTGAACATTTCAGCGTTGTATTGACAAGCCAAGTGAAGAGGGGTCATACCTTCTTCGTCTTTAGCATTGATATCGACGTCGAAGTTGACCAGAAATTCAACCAAGTGTGGTTTCTGCATGACGACGGCATAATGCAACGGAGTCCAGCTTGTCCAAGGAGAAGCAAATTTAACATAGCGTATGACGTTGAAATGAATCATGTGTTTGTAAAAGAGTTTTTCGTGAATGACTGAAAAGCCATTATCACTGACAGTATTTTTGTTGATTGTGAAATGAAATTTTAGTAATAAGTCTAGAACAGGCTCGTTTGGGCATTCGCAAGCCAAGTAAAATGCAGTTTTACCTCTTCCATTCTTTTTTATAACATCACATTTGTACTTTGTTAATAATAAATCTACAGCATTTGGATTCTCAGACTGAACGGTGAAATGCAAAGGAGAGTAGCCAGAAAAGTAACAATCTGACGAATGAACGCATAAATTTACATAATTCCCCATTTTCAAAAATTCCTCCATTAAATGAACATCGCCCAGATAGCAAGCTATGTGAAACGGTGAAATCCCATAACCGTCTATTGGATTAATTTTTCGCTTAATAAAATCATCTAAAACTAGAGTTAATACTTCTCGGTTATCTTTGTCTAGCAGTAGCTCAAAACATTGAGTAGCACTGAAATCCATGTCACTCAGGGACACTATTTTCAATAGTCTCTTTGTCAAGCCAAGATTCTGTTTGTATATGGCAGTGTAGAGAGGTGACTGATGAAATACCTTGATCGACTTGATTATTTTATTCAAATTTGTAATCATCTCTATGTTGTTCTCCTTATCGCTGTTTTCAAAAGCTGCCCTACACTTGTAGTAGTAGCCCAGCTCTTCGTCTCTGATGCTACAACAAGTGGACGAATCGGTGTCACTCATTTTTCTCGATCGAATATTTCTCCAATCTGAAATGACAATTATCAGATCGTTTGTATACAAATAAAAACAAATATTGCATCGATCATAACCTACAAAGAAGTTATTTACAAGCAGTGAGTCATTCGAAATGAACGAATGCAATTTCGTCCATGGGAAATGATTTTTCGACCAACTGATTAAACCTCTTCAAGCAATAAATGCTTCAACACTGTCAACACAAACATAAACAACAATCTTCATTATACATAAAGATTCTTCGCTGTTTTGGCGTTGAGACCCGAACGGAATAGTTATTCTTTCATTACTGAGTGTTTTCGCTCACAAGTCACAGATGTCATTTCTGCGCGGTGCAAAAGCGAATTTCACTGCCCGCTCTGCGCTCTGCTAATATTGTAACCTAAAGGATCTGCCAGTAAAGTATACCTATACGCTATACTACTTATACAAACTTATTAATTGTAAGCGGAATCTACATTATCATAGAAATCGTGCGAAATCAATACAAAAAGAATGTTAACTTTATATAATAAAACTACCGACAAAAGAATTTTTTTTCATTCTACTAAATGCATGACTATTCATTTTCAAAATGACAAGTTTAAATATATCAACGCGATTTGTTTGTTAAACACAAACTTATCTATCATAGATCGTCCCCCACGTATGATCTCGGCAAGCTGAATCAATTTCGGAAATCCGCGTAGGCATGCCGATACCCAAAATGGCGTTCATCGATCATTAGAAAGCTTCTAATATGTCAAATTAGTTTTCACTTACAGTCCGAGAAACTTTTTTTCTACGTTTTTTTGAAAGTAGAATATTCGATTTCAGCTAAATGCATTTCAATAAATAAAATTACCGTCGAGCAGCTACCCCCTAACTCTATTTCAATTATTAACGCGAAATATGATGACTGATAAAACTACAATACAGAAATGCCTTGAGGCAAAAAAAGGAAAATGTTGCTTGGAAACAACAAAATAAAAATATACTATAGCAACTTTCGCGCATGCAGTTGTAATATTTATATTAGTGTCAGTGGCATATATTATAGTGCGGCCCGCGCGCAGGTCACAACACATACAAGCAAAGTCGATAAATACATGCACACACGACGACGACACGGATTGACGGTGTTTACATGTATATAAAAGTGCATGGTCAGTAATGTAGAGAGAGAGAGAGAGAGTCAGTGCGACTCCATTAGATCGTTTAACATTTATTAATTCGCACACACACGCGACTATGGTATATACGGTTTTTGCAATTGATGCAGCACGAGTAAAACGTATGTAAGCTCTAGCGAGCCCCCCAGTCGATAATGATTATTTAAGTATAAACCTCTATATGTGTGCAGCACACGGCAAACGGCTCTGTGCTTTGCGAATTGCGCCTAAATGTAGTACTTTTATTCTTTCTCTCTTGTTTGAGTTACGGCCTATATTAAGAACACACACATAGTGGAATTGAAATTCGACGCCGCTGCGAGTGTGAATACCCGGCCGCCAGCTTATCTGACACTTTTTTTCTCAACGCAACGGCGAATTTTGCGCCGGTGTCCGATAGGAAGCCGAGGCTCCGCAAACTTTTCTGCTATTATATACATGATAACAATATATAGTAGTGGAGTACCGCGAGACTGCAGCCCCTTTCGCCTTTTCAGTGTCTTAAAATCTATGCATGTTTACTTTATACAAACAAAAGAACGCACAGACATCAATAATTCGCGAACAAAAAACAAGTATAGGCGGTTTTGTTATGGATAAATAAACGCTCGGGCTCGCGCGATAATACGATCGCGACGGTGTGCAGCGGCTACGGCGTTATTATGAGGTTATTTTCATGTCGCAGTGCGTGAACATTGTGTTTACGAAATTGATTAAACACAGAGTGTTGAGCGGAAATTGGGACGGAAAAGGCCGCCAGTGTCCGGCAGCCAGCGGAAATTCGCACGGAAATGACCGGCAACAGTAGCAGTAGCAGCAGCAGCGGCGGCGACGAGGGTAACAATTCGCCCTCGTCGTCGTCCAAGGGCTCGAACAATCCGTCCGGCCAGCGCCATCGACGAAGCAACACATCCTCGGGTGGCGGTGGTAGTGGTGGCCCTGGGGGTGCAGGTAGTGGTGGTGGTGCTGGCGGCGGCGGCGGTGGCTTCGTCAAGGATCGCTACTTCAAAGCAACAAAATACGGCCCTTGGTCCTACGGCCTGTCGATAGACCAGGACTGTCAGAGATATCGCCAGGCGCTCGAGTGGATCATGAACTTTCAGGATCGCGTCATACTCGACAACGAGAGTCAAAGCCTTATATTTTCGTCGAGAGCCTCGGAGCAGGCCTTCTTCAGAGCGACCTATTACCCGTGGAATGGTATCAATTGCTCCAGAACGCTGCTCGCTGAGTGGGTCAGCAAGGCATGGAGACAGATGAGGGTGGACTATCGCAGGCTCAGGCATGCTCGTTAGTGTTACTTTTTTATTTATTACTGAAATACAGAGGAAAATCATTAAAATTTTCAATTAATGTAATTGTTTTTTTATGCTTAGCTAATGGTGACTTCATGAGCATTCTACAAACAATTGATGCACCATCTACACAAGAAATGATCGATGAATTTGAGAATTTGTTTCAAAGTATAATGGATTTCTTAAAGGAAAACAAAGATCATGAAAGATATAATCAAATAAAATACGTACGGGAACTATTTTATCAAGGCAGTGTTGGCGTACCATGGGCAGCACTGAGATACACCATAATGACTCCAACGACATTCAGAAATATGATCAATTGGTTTCATAGTAAATGGCGTTCAGATAACAATAGAAAAATCCTGTGCACTGTATTTAGACATTTGATGAAATCTAGCAATCCTCCTTATGAGCCACCTGCTTATATTCCACTCACATCTACACGTTTGAGTAAGTCAATATTTATACTTCAATTACATTTTAGTTTAAATTATAAAAATACCTAGAATTTATATTCAATTTGCTTTGCAGTACCTGAGTACACACCTGATCCAGATCAATTCAAACCAAAGCGAAATCAATCAAGATCTCCGTCGCCAACTCGTGAGCATCATAAAAGCAAAAAACACAAGGAAGCATGAATTCTTATGCGTATCCACTGTATAAATGTTTGTCAAATATTCTATTCTATTAACATTTGCAGTAAGCTGTTAATATATAAGATTGGCTATTTTAATTTGTTACAATTAGGTTATTAGTTAATTTTTTATCTTATACGACATTTTTGAACATATGAAAGCCAAATTATTTAAATTATAGTTCCATTGTAAAAATTTTTAATTTCTATTACTTTTTCATTATACTTACTGTTATAAGTACATTAATAAACTAGAGACGAAAAGAGTATTGCAATTAATTTTTTTAAATTATTTAATGATTTGGTGAAAATTTTGAAACAATTTTTTCTTATCAATTGATTATAAAAATACCTACATGTTTCGGGAAATTTGCGATTAGTTACTCGCTGAAGACCTACAAGGGCGAGTATGACATTTGCCAGTCTTCTCGCATATATAACTAGTATTCATACGTTCAGTTGCACACGGAAACTTGTTTCAACGCTGTTGCGTAGCGCAGATACAGTTGGAGAAATCTGTCGACATTTTTGCACGAAAAAAATCGCGGAACCATGGAAAAAGAAGAGGAATTATTAATCAAAACATTTAAAAGTCACAAAAGTAAAATCGAACGAATATTCAAAGAAATATCAACTATTAATCCGAAAAATTCTAAAGAATCGAAAGAAGCGAGAATCAAAGGGAATAATTTGTACATTAAGGGCAAGCATACTACTTTAACTCATAGAGGCATATTTCATTTTTATTGTCAAAGTATTGCCTTGGCACCCAAAAATTCAAAAGAAGAAGCGCAAGCTCTTGGAAATTTGTCAGCATTTTTATTACATATAGAAAAATTACAAGAGAGCATACAAATAATTGATAGAGCTCTAGCTATTACTCAATCCCAAGTGTTGAGAGTCAAATTATTGTGTAGAAAAGCTGAATGCTTAGCTAAATTAGGGTCTTCTAAGTATGAATCAGTTTTAGAAGAAGCCCAAATGACTTATGATAGTATCAGTGATTCAGAAAATGAAGAAAAATGTAAACTAAATATAAAAAAATTAATTGAAAAAGTTAAAAATACTGGTGGAGTTACAAACGAAATTTTTGAGAGAAAAGATCACAAAGATGCTTTGAACTTACTTGCTAAAATAGAACAAACAAGTATTAAACAAGCTGTGTCAGTTGATTACAATGAAAAATATGGTAGACATTTAATAGCTCAAAAGGATTTTAAACCAGGAGATGTTATCTATGTTGAAAAAATATATGCTGCAGTAACTGATTCTGATTATAACTTTAGCAATTGTAATAATTGCTCATTAGTTCCTTGGACTTCAGTACCCTGTGATTATTGTACTTGGGCAGTTTACTGTTCAGAAAATTGTAAAAAAGTAGCTTGGGAAAAGCATCATGATATTGAATGTTCAGTCATGCCAAATGCTTTTAAATTAGTATCAAATTATATGATGTTTTACCATGTTTGTATTAGAATGCTTATACAAGGATTGAAAGAAAGTGGTAGCATTGATCAGTTGAAAAAAGACTTGAAATCAGTTGAAGACTGCTCAGGTAAATGATAAAATTATAAAACATTATATAAAATGTTGATTTTCACATTCATACCTAATTTATAATTTATAGATGTTTGCAGTAGAGGTTTTTCAGAAGACGAAACATTTTCAACATTCAAAAGTATATACTCACTGATAAAATGTGGATATAAGTATAACTCATCATATTTAGATATGATGGCTGAAGATTCATGGATCATCTTAATCATATTAATAAAATTGAGTCCTTTGCCTGAAAAAGAAATTGATTTAACTAGTTTTGATTATTTTGAAACTGATAATAATATTTTATATGTTGGAAAATTATTGATGAAACTATGCTACATCAAACATAATAATACATTTATAGTAAGTATTTTTAAATATTTTTTAATCTCAATTCTAAAATTTAAATGAAAAAACATCTATTTAGTACTCTCCAAATGAAGATGAAGATCCAGAACCTGGTTTTGGTGCAATAAATCAATTAAAAGATGAGACGAGCAGGGTTGTGATTCCACTAACCAGCCTTATAAATCATAGTTGTTTTCCTAACGCAAAAAGATATCACATTCAGGATCAAAAAGTGGCTCTCTGTGCTTTACAACCAATTGGGAAAGGCTCACAAGTAATGTCACGTTTTTTACACAAGCTATTTTTTAACAGTTTCCATCAGTTTAATATGTTCATAAACTTGTTTGCAATAGCTATTTATATCCTACACTTCAATGTTCTTTACAAGAAGTTATGAGGATAGAAAAATGATTTTAGAAAAATATAATTTTGAATGCGATTGCCAGCCTTGCATCGAAAAATGGCCTCCAATTTTATTACCAATTTTGGATTGTTCTCTGGTACGCAGTGATATTCTATAAAAAATTATTGCAAATATAAAAACGTAATAATTCTATAATATTTTAATTAGAACATCGTGGACATTGCCAAAAGCTCAATAGAACGAGAAATTTTAAAAACTTCCCAAGAAGTTTTTACTCTTTATTTCGACAAAAAGTATCATCTTTTCGATAGAAAAGCCATCGAGACTCTATCGAAAGCCGTGGAAAAATCTTTAGAAACATTACCGCAGCCTTCTATTTTAACTTGCTACATGATCGAGTGCTTGCAATCTGTTTTGACGTTCGTTTATGGGCACTCGAAACGAACATTCGAAATGGACTGTATGAGTTCGAAGACCGCAGCAGTATCTCAAAAAAAGTAATTCTTCGGTTATAATTTGTCAGCGAAATTGAGAATACTATATTCTATGATTCTGAAATAAAAAACTTGTAAAATATTTACCTATGACTTTTAATTTCCCACTCGCTTGATTAGAATCATTACTTTATTTTCACAACTCAGTTCTATTCTATTGAATAATTTGAATTTTCATCACTTCGCGGTGTGTGTATGTGCGTGTAAGCTCTGTGTGTGTGAGCTGTGGAAATGCGGAGTGTGTGCCGCTTCCGTGCGACAGTTGCAGAGGCCGCTCTTTTACAGTGGAAGAAATCGGTGTCGTCCTCGTTCGTTGAGTGTTCACCCGCGCTTTTGTTGCAGCTAAACTGTTATTCAGTTTCCAGTTCGAACAAGTTAGAATTTGGTCTGCATGAACCGTTACGTTCGATCAAATTTATTGTCTGACCAGTAAAAATAATAAGTAATTAAAATTTAGTTTTCATTCGAACGTTACGGTTAACAAAGTTTATACGCAGAGTGCAGACATGTTAAAATTTAGTCTGAGTTCAAAACGTAACATTTAGTGAACTTTATTATTAGACCAGTCCATGCAAGTTAGAATTTGTTCTTCATTTGAACCGTTACATTTAGTCAAATTTACAACCTTACTCATACGGATATAAATAATTAATCATATTTTACGAGAATAAGGAATCTTGATTGAACTTTGAACAGGTAAGGAAAGGAGAATAACGTTCGAAAAACGTACAATCGAATTATTTTACTTTTTTTCATGAATCTAATGAATTGTACCAGTTTTATTGTTTAGAAATATAACGTTGGCGTAATTCAATTACGAATTATATCACAGTGACTTTGTTGGATGCACTCTATTGCGACCCATTTGGCAATCATGTACTACCCATATGACTTCGACTATGTAAGTTTTTTCTTTCAGTTTTTTTATCAGTTTTCATGAGCGGCATTCGCAGTTGATTATCTAACGAAGTAGAACATTGTTAATATCATTTAGCTTATTATGCATATACAAATATCATTACTTTTATATACAAATTATTAGTTCTCATTTTACAATCAATAGTATAGATGATAGTATTTTAAAATTTTTTTCCTAAAATTTCATTTGAAACATCAGTTTGTTACCATAACTATTAATTATGTCTTTGTATGTTTATGTTTTAATATTAAATTACTAAATCTAAAGTTTTTAACCATAAACACCATTCGCTACAGCTAAACCTTTGGCTAGAATACTATTTTTAATATAATGTGTCATTTTGAATCAATTAAATGTAGTTAGTGAATTCCAAAAATATCGTAATAATAAGTAATAGATCTTCCATTCAGTGGTTGAGCTCTTCTGTAATTATGCTCATTATGATTTTCCATTCTAAGTTTTCTAAATGAGTCCATCTATTACAAAAATATTCAAGCATATATTAAATTATATATTTCTATTAAATTTATAACTGAATACCTAATACGAACCTCATCCATTGTCACATCTTTGATACGCACTGACAATAACCAAATAGCAGACTCGTTGCAAGGTGGTGTTGTAAGTGAACCTACATATGTAACATATCCTTCTTTAAGTAAATCTAAGTCGAATAATGTGAGAGGAAAAGGTTCGATTTCTGTGGTTTGCTGAGGTCTTAATATTTTATTAAAACTGGCACGCATTCGCTCCAACCCTGTGTTTGGATTTTTATCCACCTTTTAGAAATTAAAAATGTTTATTATGCACATTCTTTATGATGTTGATATTACTAGCTATACGTACAGACATAAGGTATCCAATAACAGCTAAACCATCGTCATGAAGCATAGCTTCGCTTATATTTTCATACGATTTTTTCCAATGAACAAGGTGCATTTCCAGAGGGAAGCTAGAAAATAATTTTATGATTTCCATACTGGATTGATATTTTTTAATTTTTAAGAATATCAAATTACTGCATACCTCTGATTAGCTACTGTATGTTCGCTACCTGCGGTATTATCCGGACCCCAATGGAAATGAATTTGAGCAAGTTCGTACAGACCAGTCAATGGTCCTCCGTAAATGGTCGGTGTATCCTTCGCGGGCCACTCGCCGCTCAATTGAACTGTACCAAAAAAAGAAAAAACCAATTTCAAATTATCATCCGCCACCGTCACGAAAAAAAAAGGTAAGTAAATCATCGGACTCTCACCCGTATGACCATTATTAACGATCTTCATTCTCGTAGGTTTCTTGTCGTATCCAAATCTACCGAGGGGCGGCCTGCCCGGCTCCATGGACCTGACATGGTGGAGCTCGATATTGACGGGCGACTGCCGATCGCCGGCGCAGATCGGATACTCGTTCGGCCACTCGTCGCTCTTTTTGTAGTCGAAGTGCTGACCTCGGCCGTTAGCGTCGTGGCTCGTCTCCTCTGTGCTGCTCTCCTCCTCCTCCAGTATGTCCTCCTCTATGCTTTGCAGCGACCCATCTGCAGCAGCAGCATGTATAGCAGTGCACGCGCGCTCGCGTACACGTTCAAAGTTATAATGAAGTTGTGCACGTACTGATGTATGTATATTATAATGTCTATGTCAGCGCGCGTATGTGTGAGCCTGATTAGGGATCGTCACTCGTGCTCTAGTGCATGCGTGCAGCATACAGTCGATGCAGTATGTAAGCGCGTAACGACGTGCTCCACTACCTGTACACCGCTGTGTCTTTGCTATTTTTGGCCTTCAATTGTCGGAGTTTGAATTCGCGATGCGCGTTTCCGAATTGTCATATAAAAGAAAAAAGAAAGGGAGTCATGATCGACGGATTTTGAAATTCGTGAAAGTGGGTGCACTTGTGTACAATGTATATATCGAGATCGGTAAATTTCCCCTTTCTCGATATGAATATCGTCGGATAACGCACGAACGAACTCGAGCTTGCGCAATCCCCGAAAAATATACGAAAACTCGTTTAGAGACGAGATTGCTATTAATAATTTAATCGCGCGATTGTGCGAATGTTTTATTTATTTATTTTTTGGTTTCGATTGAATAGTTACGCAAATTTACCGGTTATCGAGTGTACAAACGAAAAGAAAAAAAGAGCGAGTTCGGTAGTAGCGTGTGTAAAGATGCTATCAGGCTAAAGAATAGCTGCATTACTACCCAAATTTGTCCGTCGCTGCTGCTTGTAGTAGATAGTACAAGATGATAGTTATTATTATTTTTTTTTTTTTGTTAACAACGTGCGCGCCGCAGAGTAAATTACTCGCAAGCACGACACCTTCCAATTTTCCTAATTTTGCGGAAAGTACATGACGCGATCGTGTAAATTCGACGACAACGACCGATTATCGTGTTGAAAAATAATTAAGCACGTCGATAATTAGTAATAATGAATTGTATGCAATTACTGTTTTAGGGCATTCGTATCGATAGTACAGAAAAGATGATTATTTTTGAAATGATAAAATAATTAAATTATCAAACTCACCCTCGTCTTCTCGTGCGAGCCTTGGCAGCCTCATGGCGTGGTTGCCACCTATAATCAGTGTCAACGCCAAACTCATTATTACTAACCAACGACTGAGTCGCAACGAAATCTCCATTGCTTTTCGTTTAGTGTTTTATCTCTTTCGCGAAAACGATTGTTTAAATTTTCCGAATAAAATCGAAAAAATCTCAAGGGCCGCCCGACGCTTTCGTCGTCACTCCCATGACAAATCGACAGAGATCCGAACCGATTCGCGCCGCAGTACCCGACTCTCTGGACTCGCGCTGCACTCTTCACCTTGACTCGCGAAAATCTGGACGTGGAGTAGTAGTACGAAAAAACTTGGGCACGCAGGCAGGCAGGCAGGCAAGCAGCAGCAGCAGCGGTGATATACAGAGACGAGACTGGAAAGAGAGAAGAGACTCTGCAGTGGGGCAAAATATAGACTCGCGCGCGCGCTTCGGCTCTGCTCCTCTTTTTGCACGAGTCTCTCTATGTATGTATATATTCATTATGTACACACATACACACGCGTTTTATATGTAAAAAGGACGCCACCGCCGCGATGCCGTTGATGCCGATGATAATGATGATCGGTCGCGCTATGACGCGTGCCGATCGCCGCAAGTCTGCTTCCAATCTCCTCTCCGCGCGCGCTCGGGGCTTTTTCGCACATGGTGCCATTATATTATGATCGTGTATACACGATTTCGCGCGCGCGGCCGCGTTTATTTGTCGGGGGAGAAAGAAAAGAGTCTGGCTTGCGTTATAAACGCAGCGCAAGTTCGTTGCACCACGGATCATCATCGCATCCGCGGGCGTTTCGCGGAGATTTCGGCGATTGCCAAACGCTATCCCGCGTACGCACTGTGTAGATTTTTTTCTCTTGCCGTTTTTTTTTTTTTTTTTTTTTTTTTACGAAAGTCCGCTCCCGAGAATCGTTGTAAAATTGGAAACATTTTTTTCTGGCAAAGATGGTGGGCCTTGGAACCGCATAAGAAAAAAAATTCGCGCATTCCACTCTTCAAATGAATATTAACGAAAAGAACGGAGTCACCTTGGATGTCTTGTGTGTCAATTTCCGTGCGAGCGGTCAAAATCCAGTATAGTGCGGTACTCGTACGCCGTATTACTCTTGGTTTACCTTCGATCGATTAATTATGCCAAAATCACGCGTTTGCAGCTGTAATCTCTCTCGTCTATTTTTGTGCTAAATGGGAATATACATCTTGATTGACGCTTAAATGTTAAGGTCAAGGGTACTACGCACGATGGAATGAAAAGTGTCACGACACTGCACTCATTTACACCCGTCGTCGGCGTAATTGATGCGTGGATCGGCGCGTGAATTATTATGGAAGTGGCGCACGATATTTTATAATATATTTTCATAAGCGCAGAGTTATGAAGCTGAAGCTTTAAAAGCGCAGAGTTTTAAAGCTGAAGCGTTGAAGTGCTGTTTTGCACGCAGGCTTGCTTCCCAATTTTACGTTTGCTAAAACGACTCGTTGTTATCTGTTCATTATTTTTTTTCATTACCTGTTCACATAGTTTTCTATATTCTAGAGCTTTTTTTCTCTTAGGTGAGCAATAAAACTTGAACGTTCAAGCTCAAGATCGTGCATCGAAGTAATCTCTAGAAAACTCACTTTGACGTCGATTTTCTATTCAGCTGGAGCTTCCATTGGCCGATTTAGCCTCTTTAGCCGAAGTTCATTTGTTTCTTTTTTCTAACTTTTTTTTTTGCAAAATATTGGCCAATTGCAAAATATTTTAACTTTGATGCTTCTTCGTGTTGGGCATTTGCGTGCTGTGCATGTGACTTTTTTGTCCTATAATGCAAAAATTGATTTTCGCATGCGAATTTTTCGCAAAAAGCTCAGAACAAGTGGTTAATTTTTGCGCAAATTTATAACTGGCTCGTTGGTCTAGGGGTATGATTCTCGCTTCGGGTGCGAGAGGTCCCGGGTTCAAATCCCGGACGAGCCCACACCCTCTTTTTTTGCTCTCTCTCCAAGAATTGGTCGGATTCGCGGAAATGAAAATTTTCGTCTAATTCGTATCTCCGAACTTTTTCGGTTTTCTTTTTTTTGATTTCAAATTAAAAATTGACTTTATTATTAGTTCTGTGTCGGTATGAAATGTTGTTACTATTTCAAGAATGTTCATAATTAACTTAAAATCATGAAACATTTGAGACAAAACTTGAAAAATATTTCAATCCCCACATTTTTCCGTAAGTATTTTCCTATTTTTTTCGAAATAGAGTAAAAATGAACTAAATTATTCTTATCATTACTAATAGATAAAAATTATCTGAATTGTTATCAACTAATCCTACTGGCATTTAATTTATAATTATTTATACGTAATAAAAATCTACATTTTTCAGAATAGAAAATTGAATCACTGCAAATTTACTCTCGAAACATAAAGCATTTTCATCGAAGACATAAAAGCTTTACTATATTTATTTTGCTTAGCGGTTGCAGTGGCGCCACGTACGGAATTTTGTACGTCACATATTGAATCCTGGAGCAGTAGTTTATACATAGTGGGTAAACATGGCAAGCTTTTCTCAAACAAGTAAACACAGCGACAAAGAAAGGTAAATTTGTTTCTCCGTTATTATTTAAAGGTTTAATTTTTATTAGTTGCACGGCATCCGGTTATTATGGTTTTTTGCTATTTTGTTTGCATGAATGATTCATCCGTACGGCGACTTAACCTTGCTAAGATTCTGCTAGTATTGGCAAATTTTATTGCTTTAGCACTTGTCATGAAGTTGTTTTTTCTTATGTCTATTGCACAATGTAATTTATATTATAATAGTTTATAGCCTCTTTCCTTACCTTTCCTTAGAAGTAATTATTATGGTAAAATAAGGTGATGACACTAACAGATGTTGCATGTATTACCAGATATCAGAATAATTAAAAATTACATTTTTTTCTGTCTGAACTTTTTTATGATAATGTTATTATATAAATTTTATTTTATTTTACAGATGGGTTTGCATCTATCCAGCTTACTTGAATAGTAAGAAAACTCTAGCTGAAGGACGCAAATTAAACAAATCAAGTTGTGTAGAAAATCCAACGCATCAAGAAATTCGTGATATTTTGAACAGTGCTGGATTAAATGTAGTGGTGGAAAACAAATTGTACCCAAGAGAGAATAGTAAAGAGTTACTTTATCGAGGCAGAATAAGAGTTCAGTTGAGAAATGATGATGGGACACCTGTTAACCCAAATTATCCTACTAGAGATTCTCTCTTGAAATTCATTGGCACAAGCATTCCCAAACTAAAAACTAGACAGGGCAAAACATCCGCTCCTGAACCATCTTCTCAACAAACAGCTGCTACATCTAAGAAAGGTAAAGGAAAAGGTCGAAGATGAACAAGTTCAGTGAAAACTGTGTTAATATATATGGACATTGTTACTGAACATTTTTGTGTTGATCACTGTGTATACTATTAGCTACAAGTTATGTTCATTACACGTAAGAAAGAATGAGAAATAGTTTTATGTATTTCTGTCAGAAAATACTTTATTATTAGCATAGTTTAAAAGCTGTGCAATAAATATATAAGTTTTGATATAAAAATTAAATTTTTCATTTAGCTATTAAATTAATATTACCACTATCAAAAGATTAGAGTAATTATATAATCTAGTGAATAAAAAGATAATATAGTTGCAAAATTACTTTTTTATTAAATGCATAAAACTTGAAAGTAATTTGAATATCCTAAGTTTCCTTAATTCTTAATTTACTTTACTTGAATTTTTGCTTTGTACTTATTTTGTAATATTTATACTTCTCTTAGATGCTAATAATTTTTTGTCGCTGATTGGCTTTTTGGTAAACTCATCCAACTCTTTGCTGGATTTAATTTTGATCATAGTTCCTTTAGTTTCGGTTGTCTCATCACTAACAATTTTTATATCAGATGTTCCAGAAATTGGTTTTTGAGTAGTAGTTCTATAAATTTCAGGGACTGAAACCATATCAGTCTTACGGTTAAAATTTTCATTTGCCAACATGTACATTGAATCATTAGATTCATCTTTTATGGTTGAAGAAACAGGCTTTACATCTCTTTTAAACTTATTTGAGTATTCTATATATGGTGATTTTTTACAAATTTTTTTTGGATATGGAATTTCTATTGTGAATTCTGTTGGTGCTTCTTGACCTACATTATTGAGATTTTCGTATGGTTCAAAATTAGTTAATATTTGCTCATTAGTCGGTTGCTTATACATGAAAGGTGCATTGAAAATTAAGCTGGGTAAGAAAGAAGCTGGCATTGATGCTAAATAAGTAATAGTAGGACTGTTAACGGCTTCAGAAGGTACCCCAAATGTACTTGAATAATTTGGTTCTTCCATTATGAAATTAGAAACTGTTTCAATTTCTTTTTTTTCATCTGTATCTTTTGGCATTAGATCTGGAGCTACTACTAAATCTTGTTTACAATCAGGCTCACTTGTAGTTGATGGTGGATTTGTTACTACTTCAGGAAATTCTATTTCCAACTCTTTTATAGTTGCAATTGGTATGGGTTCTGTTGTTACATCTTGCACTGGTGGACAATCTGTTTTCACTGTAACTGGTGGACAGTCTGCTTTTAGTGGAATTTTTGCTTCTACTCTAAGCGGTTTTTCCGTTTGAACAATTTTAGGAGGAGCAAGCATAGTTATTACTGGAATACCCATGAATCTAATTATTTGAGTACCTTGCACAGGTACAGATGCCTGAACTGGTGGTTTGTTCAATTCCTTACAATTACACTGCACAATAAAACGTTTCTCGTTTTTAAAATATCTTAAAAATGTTATTATCGCTTTAATAAAATATTTACCTCGACACGCTGATCATTAACATCCATCGAAGGAGATACCGAATTAAAAAAAGTAGGAGAATTTTCCTCGGTGCTCGGCGTGTGAGCCATATTTTGCAAAGTTTGGGGTAAACTCGACAACTGACGTTTCAGTTCGGTTATCAGCAATTTCAGCAGCGACGGAGTCAAGTTCTGCTGACGTCGAGGCAGCTTACAACGCGAGGTCGGCTCAACTGTCCTCTGTGCGCTCCCAACGAAATTGGGATTCGTGGGCAGGGAAGTTTTTGGATTTGGAGATGATGATGTCCGAACGCCTGTCGGACGACGGTTTGGTTTGGTTCTTACTGAAGTATATTTGCGTAGATTTTCCATGTTAATATTGCCAACGATCTGTTCGACTTGATCATTATTGCACTCAATTGGCTCGTCGATTTTTTTCTCGGCCCTCGGAGGAGCTCGAAATATCGATCCAACGATCGGTCCGTCGTTCATGAAGTACTTCGCCACTTGCTCGATGTCATCTAGAAAAAATGACGAATTATTTCTATTGTAATAGTCTAACAATCGTTATTAGTTATTCAGTGCCCCTTTACTTTTTCGAAATTTCGAAGCGACAACGCATCTGGTGGTTCTTTTCTCGCCGCTCGAGTCGTCGCACGATACAATATCTACGTTGAGAAATTTCGCTTGGCGGAGCTTTCTCACGAAACAATCTTGTCCTTCGAAAATAACACGATTAGAATTTTTTTTTTATTCAATATCCGAAAATTAATTGAAAATCAAATTTGTGATTACCCGCTGGTAAATCTTCTGGTACTGTACATTGACACATGCTGTTAACGTAAGATGCCTCGCCCCCGCATTCGGTGCAGATGTCTTGGCAAGTGCTCGCATTGTCGAGTCCGAGGACATCACACTGCACTGTATAGAAAACAACTTGTACTCTTTATTTTTACTACTTTTTAAGTTACTTTTATTTGTATACTTGTAAATGATATACCTCTGGAAAATATTATTAAAATGGCAACGATAGGGAATATCTTCCGATTCATTTTGGAAGTCTCTTTTATCTGTTTAACCTTTGCTCGAAGAAATTTTCATGACACTGAATCGGTAATTTCTTCGAACTCGTTAGTTTGAACCGTAAGGATTATTTTGATGTTACAACAATTTTCACCTTGTTGTATTAGTCATCAAATTTTTTCGAAAGCCGCGCAAAATACTGCAATTGAGCACCGATTCATTATGTGTGCTACATTTTTTTTTCATGTCAATTGTATCGATTTTTCGTAATCATTAAAACATTACTCAAGATGTTTTTACATGTAGTAAGCGACAATACTATCAAATATCCAAGTAGGTCCGAGTAAAATAGGAAATGGAACTTCGGATACCTTTTTTTTTAGAATTTATCTGAAAAATTATTACCAAATCAAATTTAATGAATTTGTAGAAATTCGTTGAAGCCAAAATCATAGATAGATATTTTCAAACGAAAAAAGCGCAAAAAAATTTAGCCATCTCCGTGACAACGTTCCGTAGGAACGTTGCCGTGACCAGGATTCGAACCTGGGTTACTACGGCCACAACGTAGGGTCCTAACCACTAGACGATCACGGCTATGAAGGCTGTTGAACAAGTGGTTTCTTTAGCTGTATAAAAGGCCTCTCGGTTAACCTTTGACCCGGACAATTTTTATTCGCTATAATTTCCTCTGTTGACCTCATTAACGCGCTCTTTTAACTTCGTTCTAAAGTCTTAAAGAGAAAAACACGTTTCGATAATTATCGCGCTGTACAACGAACTTGTACGACCTCGCCGCGTAACATATGTGGCCGTTATCGACCGAGCTGAAAAATTTCGCCGCGGCGCGCGCGCGAAGGTCTTGTTGTTATCAATGGTCGACCATGTATCGGTGGGCGCCACCGCAGCCACTCTCGATAACGAGCAGTACGACGCGCCGCGAACCATGTGTCAGGTGCCACTTGCCGGTGGTGGTGACTCTTGGCATTCGAAAAATTAACGCCGCAAAAATGAAAACCCCCCTGTCCACGCGCGGAATCGATATCTCACATATAGGGGAGAGAGATTCATAAAGACATACCGGTGTGCGAGCTCACTCTCTCTCGAACTGCAATAAAAATATTGAGCGAGGCGGCGGAATTTCATGGTTATAAGAAGTTTGCATCGGTAAGAATTCTAAGCATCGCTTGAATTTTTTCTACTTTTAGTGCAGTATAGATAAATATCAGGGTAAAAGTTGATATTTTCGATGTAAAACCGGGGATCGGATATAAAATAAATAATAATATCGAGAGATAGTTTCTGAGATTTATATGAAATATTTTTCTAAGTATCTACGTTAATGTCTAAAAAAAATTCAATTCGTATAACAAGTTTTTTAATTTTTTATTTCATAAATTTTTTAAAAACATTTTTGGTCAGAGATCATATCTTGTTGATCTTGATAAGTTTATTTTGTACACAAAGTATGTATTTATATCAAAAATTAATATTTGCTCACTCATTACTATAATCAATAACAAATAAATCAATACTACATTGGTTGACCACATGAATAATCAAGCATTTACAAAATCAGCTCGATCAGAGTTATATCGAGATTCAAAATGCAACGCACACACGTCGATAACGATCGCGTCTTGCCACTTGATCTCGCGCCCCTCCCATCTATATATAGAATCTACTTTTTCAAATTTTTTTACTTGAACCTCTGGGTTCTAAGAACCGTTTTTCATAAAACAAGCGTTTTTTAGCCATAGATGCTATAGCCTTCAATTAAAAAATTTGAAAAAATTCAAGGTTATGTATTTTGACCTGAAAAACAAGAAAAAAATTTTTCCAGATTTTTTAAAGCTTCATATCGCCCTAAAAAAATTATTTTCGTAAAAAAAGGGCGTTTTTCGGCTATAACCGCCAGAGTTCTGTCTGAAAAAATCTGAAAAAATTTGAGGTTATGTATTTTGATGTCAAAAATAAGTGGAAAAAAAAAGATCGGGCTTTTTATTGCATCGTAGCGCCGTATATGAATTTTCAAAATTTTCAGTGATTTTTTCTGAAGGCCTGAAGCAATTAAAAAATCTGAAAAAATTTAAGGTTATTCAGTTTATTAGAAAGTATTTTTGTGAATTTTTTCAGATTTTTTAATTGCTTCAGGCCTTCAGAAAAAATATAGATAGAAAATGGACGTTTATAGGGGTGGAGGAGGGTAGGAAGGGGGAGGGGGTCTAAAATGTTGGTTTTGGGACCTTTTTACCATGTACTATAACATAACAAAAGCGCGTCAAGAACGGTGACATACGAGCGCAGGTTTATTTAAAAAATTCTGAGCCTTATGTTACCGGCAAAACCCGCTTTTAGGCATTTCTACTTTTGCCTAAAAACGGGTTTTACCGGTAACATGTATACGCGCGTTACTATTTTCCTTCAATTCATCTCCAGCGCAGAGATTAATCCTTGACCCATAGGATTTTGCGATTCTCACTCTTGACGAACTATCTCTCTGTCTGTGCATCGTCCTCCTCTCCTTCTCTCTGCGGCATTGCTAAACCTCTTATACCCTAGCTACCCACCTCTCCCTTTATCGTAGAGAGTCAGAGAGAGAGAGAGAGAAATATCCAAAAGCTCGCCCGACGAGAGAATCGAAGGTTCTCTCTGTGCTGCGAAGGGACAGGCGCGTCCCTTTTTCAAATAGAAATGCCAACGCTGTGTATGAAAATCAATAAACCGATTATTAGTTGTCGGCCGCACACGTACACACACACACATGTTTATGTTATATACGTATACGTATATACCTTATAATACGCACGAACCCGTCGTCGTCGGTACTCTCCTCTCGGCATGCATGCGATGGTTTATTGTCGAATGCTAAACGGAGATTACAATTCGTTGTGCTGCGCAGACACACACATACACCCGATAGAGTTTGAAATCGCTCGTGAGGGATGATTCTGTCTGTCTCTTCTCCTCGTCTCCTCTCACCCTCTATAGCAAACAACGCATCTATGTATACACGTACGTTGAATAATAATAATAATAATGATAATAATAATAATAATAATGACCATGACGCGCCATATACCCTACGGTCGATAGGCTTGTCTATATATATACTACTACTACACGTGAAAAAGGTGATCTCGACTCTCGGCCAACCTATATACGTCATTCCCGACTATAACTACGCACGTATACGAGAGGATAGGAAATCCGTTCCATTTAATACTCACTTGACGATTCCTCGCGTATGTGTGCGTATACCTATGCTTATATTCCGCGCGACGACGAGATCGTGACTGCAGAGACGCGCGCGCGAAACGGATTCAAAAAGGAGAATCGAGGTTTCATGAAGATTCGTTTTTTTTTTTCTTCTAGATCAGAAACGTATTGTTTGAATTTCGAATGTACTCGGTTTAACAGCAGAAACTCTTACACGTGTAATAATAACAATTCGTATGTACACGCGCGTTTGTATATTGTTTGCAATAACGAGCTAGAAACATCCATGAAACATTCACATTTAGCAGCAGCCAGCCAGCCAAGGCTAATGATAAACTTGTTGTTGTACACCTGTCTGCCTCCGACTCTGCTGCTGCTGCTGCAGCAGCAAATTGAACTCTCTTGAGCCATCCTCGGCGGCAGCAGCAGCTAGCTCTGCACTGCTCACAATTGTAATTTACAAGTTAGCTCTCGCAGAGATTCTCTCGTCAATTTCATACGAAAAATCACGCGTTAAGAGCTTTTCTCTGCGCCTTAAGAGTATATAACGATTGTATATATACGTATTATAAAAAATGAATACGAGCTTCAACTTGACAAGCGGCTTAAAATAATGCATAGTTTTGTCGTGTACGAGAATGTGTGTGTGTGTGTGTGTGTATATCAGGGCGCTGCAAAATGCAGCAAGATGTACTCGGACGGAGGGCTACATCATTCAAGAGTTTTATCCACGTACTCCTAGCTGTGATTCTGAATTTCCTGTCCTCTCTACGTACGCGCGTATACACAAGGAAAATTATTTATACCGCCGAAGGATTATTCGCTCGATAGTTACGATCGTCCTCGGCCCGTAGCAGCATAGTAGTTTTTCTCCGATGATCGAATTTTCCCTCTCTCTAGTAACCTCGCTCTGATCGCGTAAGCAAGTTATATCCCTAGTGGTCGAAGCGATTACGCGCTTGCTCGATGCTGCGCGATCGCGCTAACTTTCGGATAACGAAATTTTTGGGGAGCTGCACGCTACTCATGCTATAAGGGCTTTAAGGCAAATCGCGTTAAATCGGACACGGATACATCTTTTGGCCGTTGAGCGATAAATTTTGCATTTTCGCAGTAACCACCATCGCTACTGCGTCGTGTTTATATACATCGACACGCTCGTATCCATGTTGCCGCTGCTAGCACATCGTCAAAGAGGAGACGAGCGAGAGAGAGAGAGAGAGATACATGCCTCACCTCCTGCGTTATCAGCCTCGAGGCTACTCTATCGAGTTCGAATCTTTCGCTTGGCGAGTCGCGCAACGCAGGCAAGGGAGGCAGGCGGCAGCCAAGCGCGTAGTATACACGTCAGGGTGAAATCGATCTAAAAATATAATCCTTTGCCGAAGCGGCAAGCTGCTGCTGCTGTTACCACCACTGCTGCTTGTATGCTTCCAAAGGTATGTGTGTGTACTAAACCGTTCATGCAAGCTTGTCGTCGCTGTGCCTCTCTCTCTCTCTCTTTGCTGAGCACCCTGCACCATATCTTTTGAAGCGCATACGTGTGCGCACGTGTACGTGTGTGTTAAGTCAGCCAGAGCATAGGGAATAATCCGTTTGCGGTTTGTGCCACGCTACGCGCATAATATTCTTACGCTGTACGCGACGTGACTCTTTTTCCCTGCGCGAAATACATGTATTTGTAGAGTTACAAGAAACTTTATATAGGCAGGAGCTTTACGCAAACGTCCGATTTCTTCGATTTCGTTATCAACTTCGATATTTGTAGCCTATAGCGACGCCGAGCCGTGTACTCATCATCCACTTTGACTTTTATCCTTCCCGATCGTATCGTTGTAAACATCTAG